GGGGGGGGTAATTGAGAGATTGAGAGAGTGATTGGATGTAAGATGAGGTAGTTGTAGGGGAGTTGTTTAGGGTATGTGGCAGAATGATGTTGAGGTGCGGCTCAGAGAAGACGTCGTCACCCCGGGGCAAGCGACGACAAGACGACGAAGACATCAAGACAATGAACATGGACGACGGATTAAGGGAACATTGGCAACATGCAGGATCCATTTTGATCATCCACTGACCTAGACGGTTATATGACATCCCGCCCTTCTCGATTCGCTTCTCTAATGTTTTCTATCTCTATTTCCTTTCTATTCCTCTCCTCTCCTTTCCTCTCCTCTAGCCAAGCAGGTATCTTCCCTGAGTCGTCCTTGTTTCAGGCGCCTGTCAGAGAGACAAGCTACCTTGGTAAATTCTGTATTAGCTGGTGAGATTTAAGTCTGAGATCGGGTGTTGTCTCGTTTCAGGTAGGCGGTTGTTCCAAAAGATACAATTTCCAAGATGAATAAATGAGCGTTGATTGCCGATATGCTGATTCTGATACAGGGACTGGAATGGTGATAGTAAAACAAAAAGAGAGAGAAAAGAAGAAATAATAACCGCTCTGGTTCTGCGAGGCAGGCAAGGAATGGCAAGGCTGGTCACCAGCTGGCGCAGTCCACACCAAGGCTTCAAACTCGAAACTCTTCACCAAGGAGCCAACTAAACTCTTTAAACCTGGATTGAATACGACACAAGCGAGCTGGCCAAAGAAAACAGAAGAAGAAAAAGCAGCGACAACAAAAAACAAAAAACAAAGCAATTGTTTATTTTGGACCAGCTAAAAATAACCAGGCTTCCTATCATACCATTTGTCCGCCGACTCAACAGGGCGCTTGTTGAGGCATTCCTCGATAAATAACTCCACTATGATTCTGTACATACAAACTTCCCCCTTCTGTGCCACCACTTTAGGTGGTGGCTGTGGTGGCTCATGCATCAAATCATATCAAATGTTGTTGTTATCCTTTTGGGTGGATCCCCAATAAAACATGCGATGCCATGGAAACCAAGCTGGAGGAGCAAGGAGAGGTTATTAAAGGCACCCCACTCGGAGAAGGGTTTAAAGGGGAGGAGGGGTGTGTACGGACGGGCAGATGGAAATCTCTACCCCGATCACGGTTCATCTTCCTGGCTTGTCCATGGATGCTTTTCTAGCTCGCCCTTCCGGCCCTTGAGATTTCGAACTCAATCTCATCATCCCGGTCGCATCAGCCACCGTCCAGCCTACATGCGAAGGATGGGATATTGCCTGGGTAACCACGAACTATGGTGCACTCCACCATTTAACAACCCTACAATTCAAATTATACAGAAAAAATATATATAAACTATTCTCTACACTGAGAGCATGTATGAGCTGAATGTTCAATGGCCCCCCATACACTCTACATCAAGATGCTGCACACTTCCATACTGTAGAAGTAGATCAGATTGCTCGCTTTCTCTTTTCTCGTGAGCAGTAGTTAGTTAGACCAGAAGGTGGTTGGTTGGACTACGTTAGTTAACAAAGTTAGTTACCCTCAAGATCTCTGCACAGCCACGGCCACAATCTACCTTTGAAATTATTTTAACTCACAGCTAATGGATGTGTATTGAATCCTTGCGCATAGAAGAGCCGAAAAAGGTGCAATGAGGAACTGTTATTAATATCCGACTGTTCACTATTACCATCTATATACCCATATTTCCATATTTGAACACACAAAGACACGGATGATTGAATGGCCTACCTTTCTGCGACGCAAAACGAGTTAAGCGATAATCCTAGATTCTTGCGCAAATCTTTCGTATATCGATACCATTCTACAAAAGTTAGGGCCAGAGCAGCGCTGGATCCCGCCCAGATAGTTCCGCTCTAATAGGCTACATGTCAACTGGCCTGGCAGTAACTCGTCTCTCTGCTCAGGCTTGAATGAGGAGGCAGATTTGGGGCTCAAGTGATCTAAAGAGACAGAGGGAGCGAGAGTACGTAACATTCAGAGCTCCTTTTGGTTCGAGTTACCACTAGGTTTTTCATCTCCCCTTCTTTTCTCCTCTCAACTGCTTTGCAGCATGGGTTAGAGATTTCGTTGTTTCATAAACTACTGTCAATAATCTCAAAAATTTCCACAGCGCGTTGCATTTTAACGAATTTAACGAACTTCAATGACACCGACTCTGGTAAAAGCGTCGTGGTAAGTTACCCCGGCGAGCGTCAACTTTGCGGTGGGCAATACTGATGTTTTCCTTGAACCATCGCTTGACGATAACAACAAGTGCAGATCTCAAGCGATCGACCCTATGCGTTGCGGCGAGTATTCGATCATAGTCTGACTGCGGAAACGGCCGACTCACGACCCCCGGATCTTTGAAGGGAGGGAGGGGAAACATCGACTCCAGACCCAATTGACGGCGTGACACTACGCAGTGCGCAATCGAGCCCTTGCCATTGCTCCGTCCGGCTCTCTCGCGCAACCAGGACTGCACCACTCCACCGGGGACTTGCTTAGTCGCTGCCGGCCTGAATTCGGTCTGCTCTGAAGAATGCTCTGGTTTCCGAAGCAACTCTGGACCGTCAAGCACATTCTGCACTCTTCTCTTAAGTAGAGGTAAGCTGATCGCACCTCTATCTATCTGTCGGGCAAACCCAAAAAAAAACAAAAACCGAATCAGTCTTTGGACCTGCGGTGCTGCTTGATTTGAGGTGAACGGAAGCTGCCCAAGTCTTTACAGCAGTGCCTAGACTTCGCTCCGGTTCATGTTTTATGGAAATTGCAATTAGTGAGGCGAGCCGCTACAATGCAGCTTTTTCTCTGTATTATTTAGGGACATCGAAGTGTTTTAAAATTTGAAGGAACTAGCTGGATGGTGTATTCCCAGATGGTTGACAAGGGCAACACCGTAGTTTGGTGAAAGCAATAGATCCCTCGTAGAAACAGAGCTCCTCGTAGAAACAGAGCTGATGCCGGTTGGATGGTTTATACATCCGAGCAAGCCCAAGGCTTTCCCTTGCTCGCGACGACGCGGGGGCGAAGCCAAAGTTACATCGAACCACGCGGTTGACCATTTCCCCAACGACTCACATAAACAAAAACTCACGAATTAGTTTATTAAATAGCAAACTACCCAGGGAAGTTTCGCTTTGACCAAATAAGTGCGCATGCATGAATACATCAAACAAACCTCCTAGCTGCAGATCCAAAACCAATTAAAAAAAATTAAAAATTAAAAAAATTAAAAATTAAAAAAAATAAAAATAAAACAAGTAATCAAATGGATATCCAAGAAGTGCCCGTGCCACTCCCTTCGGCCCCTCCAAAACATCTCGGCCCGAACATCACTCTCCAACCGCCACTCTCGCGCCGTGGCCATGGGCCGGGTTTGCTCCTTGTGCTTCCGGATGGCATGGTCGCAGATAAAACTAAGCAGACGCTGGATCCGCCACCGCTGCAGAAATGGGCGGAGGAGGGATATGCGGTGGTCGAGGTGCGGGCGCCGGCTACGGCTTCCGAGCATGGGTCCGGATCGGGATCGGGATATTCTGTTCTCTCTGCATTGCGGGAGGGATTGGAGGCGTTGAGGGGATTGGATGAGTGTGATGTGAAGGATAAATTCGGGTTGATCTGTGAGGGATACTTGATTAAGCCAGAAGTTCATGCTTTTAATTATGACCTTTCCGTTATCGAAAACCCGAAAAAATACATATATATAAACATATAAGCGCTAACTCTATTATGCCAGTATACGACGCTAGCACACTCAGCGACGAAAGCTGTCGCTTCATTCTCAACACTCGCTGAGATCGGCGCCATAGTTTCATATGGCGGAACGCACGATGGCAACGTCAACACCAACATCAACATCGCAAGACTGCTCCATCTTCCGGGCAATAATGCACCCACACCTCCACCAGGAGGCACTCTGGTTGTTCACAAATACCCAGATGCAAAGTCTGCCAACTTCGTTATTCCCCAGCACGCGGATTTCGACCCCTCCGCGGCAGCAGTAGCACATACCCGTACTCTATCATTTTTGAAGACCAGGATCGGCGGGCCATTTTTCGATCTCGAGGCTATATGGGACGAGCACACGTACTTTGAATTCGGTGACAGGTCTGTGGCGAAGACGATGGGGACGATGGTGCAGGAGCCGTATGTTAATCATATACCGACGGTGAGTGGTTGGTTTGGCCGATATAGATATTCCCCCCCCCCCCCCCCCCCCCCCCGGGGGCAAAAGCAAACAAGCAAAAAAGGGAATCCTAAAAGGGTCGCCCGTTGTCAGATAATAATAGATGAATAGATGACAGGAGGCATTGGTCGCGCCCGCCTCTCCAATTTCTACCGCCACCATTTCATCTTCAATAATCCAGACGACACCCAGATAGAACTCATCAGCCGCACCGTCGGCATCGATCGAATCATCGATGAGTTCATCTTCAGCTTCACACATGACAAGGTGATAGATTGGCTGTAAGGGCAGAGTTTCCTCCCCCTCTCCCTTCCCCCGCTTGGAACTTAATCACAATTCACCCTTCCCCTTTCTCCAATTCCATTCCACATCTCCCAGCCCTTAACTAACTCTACAAACAGCATCCCAACCATCCCTGCAACAAACCAACGCGTCCGTCTCCCCATGGTCTCCATCGTTAATGTGCGGGGCGACCGCCTCTACCACGAGCACATATGGTGGGACCAAGGCGGCCTGCTGCGCCAACTGGGATTGCTGCCGGAATACCTGCCGTTTCCATATGCGGTGGCGGATAGCGATGGTGGCAGCGTAAGGGTGCCGGCTGAGGGCAAGAGGTTTGAGTATAAGGTTCCGGTGATGGGGATTGAGGCTGCGGAGAAGTTGATGGATGAGGAAAGCGTGGAGTCGAATGGGATGATTGGGGGGCTGGTGGTTAGGGAGGTGGAATGATGGTACGTTTGCAACATTGGCATTGGGCCGGGGGCGGGGGATTATTGTGTTTGTTGAGTTTGTTGTGATCCATTATTACTGTATTAAGTGGATCTGTAGACTGTAGGACGCTGCATCAAAGTGTAACAATATTTTATTCCTCTGGGATATCTATGGATGTTGTGGGGATATTCCAAAAGTTCCAGGGAAATTCAATATTTCCAGCAGAGAGTTTACACATCAGTAGTTGACCTCTTAATTTCGTTCATCATGCTTGATCATCCCGGAGGATAACGGGCAAGTCAGTGGCCCGTCTCCAACCGCTCCCTACGACAAGATTGACGGCAGTGCACAGCGCATGATACACATCCCACTGGCAGCAAAACCTTCCATATAGGGAATATACCGTCGTCGGCTTCAAGAAGGGGCCCGAGACGGAAAACTAAGACTGCATTGCATGCCCAGGAGCAAGTAATAATCCGCACATGGGACGGTGGGAAAACAGCACCAGTACAAGCTACGCGTGTATAAATTTTGCAAGCTGATATACATGCTCACCACATCTTGGCCGACCCCAACCTGCCTAGAAGGCGAATGAAGCATGCGTCCTTGGGTAACCGAAGATGATTCAAGGTTGCGACGTCCCCTACACGAGCAGTCGCGAGGACGAGGACAGAATGTCAAGACAAGATCCACCAGTGCTGCTAGGAGGCTAGTAGATGCAATAAAGCTTCCCATCCTCCCTTAGGATATGTCTGCAGCAGCCATCCCGCTGAGCATCAGGGGGTTGTATCAGAGAGCAGCTGGCAACGGACTGCTCGAGAAACCTGCGCAATTGGAAGCCACTGGAATAGGTAAGTTAACGGGCCCGATGCTGTTAGAGCCCCATATCTGACCCAAGCTGTAGCTACGTTGAATAGCGAACAGCGGACCTCCATCGCCCTCTTGAACAGAGCATGTTAACTCGACATGCTCCGTTAGGCCAAACAAAAAACAATACTCGGAACTCGGCAGAACTCATACTCCGCAAACCTCTCATTGGCTATTTTCCGTGCAAAGATTCGGCGCGGAATAAACTCTTCCGATTGGATGCCATTCCAACACGTGATCTCGTGCTTGGTTGGTTGACGTGTGGCTTAATCAGCGAAAGGTATTCTAAGTTTAATAGTTTGGGATCGGCCCAGAGAAGATGGGAAAAGCAGCAAAGATACAAAGCAATTTGAATGTTGGTGGAGAGGGCAAGGTATAGGTTCGCAAACACTTGCAAAGCATTGATGGCCATAGCTAATATATATCATCAGGGTTCTGATCCTGGTACATGAAGTGTCAGAACAGGCCTACAGCCGCCGGATCTATGAGATATTGAACTTTACAAGAACCAGTATATATTTAAAGTATATACATAAATACGACCAAGCCTGCCATCAACGTATCCTACACGGCAAGACCAGCATCCAAAAAGCCTACATAAGGGCTTTTTAGTAGAACGGGCCCAAAAAAAAAAAAAAAAAAAAAAAAAAAAAAAAAAAAAGGAGAAGCCATGACTGCTACCGTACGGGCTCGCACCACCACCCTCACCACCTCTGCAATCTCAAGCAGAAAACGGACATCTCACACCACAAAAGCAGCAAAAGCCAACCCCAAACCATCCCTCACCACAACCCCTAAATCCCCTTCCAGCCCCATCCTCACAAACCAATCCCAATCCCAATCCCAACCCCAACCCATAGACCCAGCCCTCCTCCCCACCCTTCGCCGCCTCACAACCCATCCCTCCCTGACCCCCCACCAACGCAAAGTCTACCGCACCCTCCTCTCCATACCCCGCGGCCGCTGGACCACCTACGCAACCCTAGCTTCCCACCTCTCATCCTCCCCGCGCGCCATCGGCAACGCCATGCGCACCAACCCTTTCGCCCCCGACGTGCCGTGCCACCGCGTGTTGGCGTCGGATCGCACGGTCGGCGGGTATAAAGGGAAGTGGGGGAATGGGGGGGACTATGCGACGGAGAAGATGGGGCTGCTGAGGGGGGAAGGGGTTGTTTTTGATGGGAAGGGACGGGTGGTGGGGGAGTGTTTTGGGGGAGTTTTGGGGGGGGGGGGTGGGGGGTGGGGGGAGGTAAGGGTGATGTTGAGAGGCAGGTAAGGGAGTTGGGATAGTGTGTGTATGTGCTGGGTTCTGTTGAAGGGAAGGGGGTTGTGGAGGAGGTCAGATGGGTGGAATGTTCGACAGGTTCAACTGGGTTTTCTTCTCTCTTTTTCTTTCTTTTTCTTTTCTTTTATCTTTTTTGGTTCCCTTGTCGAAGCTGCCCGCGATCTCCTGCTATTCTGTCGATGTGAGGATGAGATGGAAAAAGGTTGCCAATTTGAATTCCATCAAGACCTACAATTGTGTTTAAGGCTTGCTCATGCCTATATGTCTGTACATAAATAATAAATGATCCACTGTTCATTTCCAGATCCTATTGTAGTTACATTCATGAATGCTATTTAACCATACACCAGGCTGGTTTAATCTACATAACTCATAATCAATAGGAAGTACATGTTGAGATTATCCATTGGGGTCAAATTTACCCGTATATAGCTAATTTAACTACGTACTTGAGAAAGAGCAAGGAAAAGATAGTGCACTCTACGATAGGTTAAGTAAGGGGTAAAATGATCAAGGTTCACTCCTGCTGATTAAAAATAAAGATGCAACACAGTTATATACATGAGGTAATTGCGCAGACAAAATAAAGTAGGAATTAAACATGCCATAAGATAAGGAGTTAACTTTCTAAAAGCACAGAGTAGAGAACAAATCAAACAGACAGTCGTAATATACACACTGGAAGTGCGAAGGGGGAAACGAGTCGGGGAAATATATTCGTTCGACTTTGATGTACAGTGGGTGTACTTATATCAAAACGAGGTCAGGCAGGGGAGAAACCCCTGCAAAGCCAGAGCAACGAATCACAGTTTGTCTCTGATATTTCCATTCAAGAACGACAGATGTGGAAAGAAAGATGGATAGCAAAGATTGAGAACTTCGGAGGTCCAAATTCAAAATATACACAAGGTAGCAGCAAAAATATAAAGTAGAATGATGGCAAATGTCAAGATACACATATAATTTACAAAAGCAGAAGGGCAGGCAGAGAACACCAAGAAAAAGAAATGAAAAAGAAAAAAAAACAAAACAAAAACAAAAAATAATACTACTAGATTGTAAGAAAACTGAACATATGCAAGAAATCGACTAATAGACAGATGGAAAAAAAGGTAAGATAAACAAGAGAAACGCTAATGATACTATCTGCAGTAATGAGTGAGCAAATTCGAATTCCCTTATATTCCCAATCTGATGCTCACTGTGTAAAGCAGAGACATGTGAAAACTCAAGGAAACAGAAAAAGAAAAAAAAAGGAAACTGAATAATTATAGTAGTAATAAATATATAGCAGAATATTAGGCCAACGAGAGGGAATAGCGGTGTAGTCTGCGGTGCGCGAGTAAAGACCATCAGTCTCTTCTAGTTCGATAAGCAAAGGTATCTCCCACGCACCATTCTGACATTTTCCACATTTAGGATTCGAGAACCAGCTCTAATCCACATGGCAGAGAAGAAAAAATATTAATACGGATGATAAATAACACATGCGAAATAAAAAGGAGACCAAAATAAAGTCAGTAGGAACGGTGTATTATGGAGGGCACGATAGCTCTATCGTCCAGATACCGATAGAGAACGGAGAACGAGAGATCGATTTAACGATACGTCTCGGGTCCTTGCGAGGACTTGGACGATCTCCGCTTCGCAACGGGCTCCTTGTGATACTGGCGCAGATGCTCGTTGAGATGGTCCTGGCGAGTGAAGCCCAGCTCACCCTTACGCGAGCATTTGGGTTTTGGGCAGTTGAGTCGCACGGAGTCCGGGAAGTGGACGGTCGGGTAGTGTCGGCTGAGATCTGCGGAACGGCTGAAACTGCTTTCGCAGCGCGGGTACATGCAGACGTATCTGCTGCCGGATCTGTGGGGTGTTAGTTTGCGTGGGTGGTTTTGCGGGGGCGGCAGTGTGAATAATCTATAGAGGTGGTCCTTCGGAGAGCTGTTTGCAACATCATTGGCAACGTCAAAAAAGCTTACCTTTCTACACCAGAGCCCCTAGATGATTTTGCCGGCGTCGTTGGGCTCTGCTGAGTGACCATTACACAGTCCTGGTCGGCGTAAGGGGGGTCAGTTTGGCGTAGTTGTTGATGACAGTTTGGGTCTGTGAAACTTGAAGTGGTGGGATGGATATAGTATGCCGGCTGTGCGCTGCCCATGGAGGCCATGCTGGACGCCGTCCTCGTGGAACTGTTGCTATCCGTTGATGAGGAGTAGCTCATGGGCGGTGCGAAGGAGGAGGTTGGATGTTGGATTGCTGGGTTTTGATACTGAGCAGTCAAGGCTTGGGTCAGGTCTGGATTTGCGTAATCTGTTATAGGCAATTTGCGACTCACGGAGCTGTATTGGTGGAAATGCTGGGGTTGATGTTGTTGGTAGTTCCGGCTGTGAGCCATGGTGTGGTGAGAGCTTTTGGAGCTTTTGCGAGAATGCCTGATTCTGACAACGGCTTTGTTGTATGAGAAGGTTACTGTTTTGCCCTGTGTGAGGTGTGGGAATTAAGGGAGATTGCAGAGAGAAAGACGGGGAAATGTGTAGGTGTTTCTATATGATATAGATTAAGAGCCGTTGAAAACTGACTTTAACACAAAAAGGAAAACTGACAACCCCAGGGGGATGTATATATATATTTGCCGCGCTGCAAGCATGCCCGTCAGAACCTGTACTCTGCGGCTCTAGGATAGGGCTCTCCCATGCCTCGCATTGCCTAACACGTGACGTTGGGATGCAGGCCAGGACCCTGATGATCGATGGCACTAAGCCACCAATCGCCAGGTAGATTCTGCGGGGAGGGAGTTAAATTTTGAACATGGTATCATACAGCAGAAAAAGAAAGTGATGCGAACAGTCTGAGCCGTGCATATCATAGAGCTCTGGAATATCAACCATGACAGAGGCAATATACGATTTGGTCTCAAGTTCGAAGACAATCTCCACGCGGAAGATATCCGAAACACCGACCCATCGATTGGACATTTCGAATAAAACATCGACGTGTAAAGTAGAGATCCAGTTTGGATAAAAGACAAGAGAAGGGAAAATTGGGAACAATAGCTGCCCAATAACAGGAGAACACCAGTCCAAGCGGCCAAGCCCACACCAAGTATTATTATTCATGACCTTACGAATAGTTTTCCCCGTTGGGTCGCCCGACTGTCCCGCGGTTTTCACGGCGCAGGCACCATGGGCCAAAAGATAAAAATAATAGTCAAGCAGAAATCAAACCACCTAATTCTGAGCAAAGAGGGTGATAGAAGGCAGGCAGCAATGGTGGGGGGGGGGGGGGGGGAAATCGGATAATTTCTCCCCTCGATTTTCCTGTCCAACATTCCAGTGATAGATAGCCTTGCCCTTGTCTTCTTGTCTCCCCGCCTCATTTTTTTACATGACAGAAAACTTTCAAGGTTTTGCCAGGCGATCGGGGTCTCGGAACGGCCCGAAAAGAATGTTGTTTGGGATTGTACCAAAGGGGCCTGCTTAGGTGTCTAGAGGTCTTCTTTTCCGTTCAACAACAGCCAGATGGTTAGGCCTTCTGTCCATGACGGCATTTGAATATCGAAAGCGTCCAACGATGCATCTCCAGCGGAGATTTCAACCAATTGGGCTTCTCTTCCGTACAAATGTAAGCAGCAACATGACGACATGGATAATGCAAGGGGTCAGGTCCCATCTGCAAAGTTTGTTTCAGATACTTTGGAGCCGGTTGAGAGCATATAGGAGTGCTCAAGACAGTGCATTCCTATGGATAATCCAGAGAAAGGAATGACCTGTCAATGAAGTAGGCGAACCAGGTTCAAGGTTGCCAATATCGTCAGCAACAGCAACGGTCTGAAGTGGTGGCACCAATCAGTCGTGGCGCCGTGGGACTGGTTGAACGCACTGGAACGACGAACAGATGAAGCTGCGCAGTTTGTTCCTGTCAACAGTTGGTTTGGGCAGCGGCAGCTTAGTCATCCGCCGCTGTTTAGGCTTAGCGACGTTCACATCAAAGAAACCCAACGAAACAGACACAGCCTCACATCAACCGTTATTAACAGCAGCAGCAGCAGCAGCAGCAGGAGGAGAAGAAGCAGAAGAAGCAGCATCAGAAGCACTGTCAAACAACAAGCTACAGCCACAGTACAGCGCAGTGCCACTTCCACCTCTTCTTTTGAAGAAGGTGCCATTTTAACCCCCGCCAATTTCTGGAGAAAGTGAGGCGTGGCCTATGATTATAGCTCCCTCGCTAATCCCTCGACCTACCAGCCCTGAGGAATGTCGAGCCTCAGGTTTTTCGGCACCGCTCTATGTGGGTGCACGACAACTACATGCTGAACCTACATACATGCATAACTACGTAGTTATGTACTTATGCATGAAAAGTTATCTTCTGCAAGGGCATGGCATTCCCCTAGATACACATCAACTACGTATGATGCACTTTCTTGAAACACGCGGCCGCTCCGTGGTCCCCAAATGCTTCACCGCAAGCCTCCCTGATAGGGAGACCTTGAAACTAGTCTGAAAAAGGCCCACTCTTCCGCATCATTGTCAGCTCACCAGGATCTTGTTGGTTGTCAAAAATACACCCCACAAACCCACCTAGCTCGGAATGACTCAATGAATGGAGGGGAGGCTGTGTCTAGTGATTCAATTCCAGGCTGGAGAAGGCCTGTACCTGACATATGGTCCGCATACATTGTTGTCAATCTCCATACCTCGCTTGGCACCGTTTCAAAAACCGGAACCCTATCCCGCACGGACGTCCCAGCAGATATCCATTTCTCATTTGAACTTGTGCGCAGGCCGACTTCCCTACGGAACACTTTTGCTGATGAGAACCAAGGGGCTTTTTTTTTTTATTTTTTTTTTTTTTTTAAAAAAAAAAAAATGCGGGCGGAGCAAAAAGTGGCCTATGCATGTATATCAGTCCAACTTCTTCGAGGACGGAATTCTTCGGCATGCACGTAAGGGGCCCTAGAATGTAGTATCAAAAATCGTACATAAACCTGCCCCATTCCATTCATTCCCTCTTGAGCTAGTGTAGGACCAGCTGGAAAATACTGGAACCATCTAAAATAATGAAGCTGCTAGTGAACTTGTCCCACGAGAGAACTAACAACCACATAAGCCCCCATCAGCAACATTCGTGGGCAGAATTTTCTCCTTCTCTAGCCCTTGACGGTCTTCTGTCATATAAGTACCTTGCTACACCTTTGAAAACTACCTTGCATCTTCCTCCCACCCCCTGGGTCTCTGCAGCTTTTTCCATTCTCTGTTTTAGTTAACGCTTCCGAAAAATTCAGTCAGAACTCGGACTTGTTGGAACTCTTGCCAATTTGTGTTGAATCTTATCTCTATTCCACACGTGGTAAAACAAACAACACAGCAGATTAACTGGAAATGGAAAGATTTTTCAATCACAACATAACTACATCAATCCTAAAAGCAGAAGCCTTCTCATGAAACCACCGCTTCGTATTCCGCAGTATGTTGTCTGACGCTGATTTCCACCTGGAAAACCCGAGACTACGATATCCACAAGACTCCGATGCCAGGTCATAAAAGTGAAGCTGTGCAATAACATAATCACTCCTTAGTAAGAGTAATAACACCCATTTACAGAGTAGTTCAATAGTGAGAGAGAGAAAACTATGGCCGCCTCACTCGCTCTACTTTCACCACCTGTCCAGGACTTTCACATGTCAACATGTCGTGTATTGTGTCTGGTAGCTGTAGAACCATGCCACGACAGAGTCATACGATTTAAGATCTAATTACTATATCGCCTTAACTGCAACGCACATGATGATCATTTACTAACCCGTAAAGGAGCGACGGACGGTGTATATGTGAAATGTGAAATGTGAAATGAAAAAGAGAAGAGAAGGCGACACAATTGTTTATCTACAGCAGGCAAGCTGCCGCAAGGCTGAGCTGAGAGAACCTTGGCCTAGCCTTCGATTCAGGGAATGGGGGGATGTGGTAGGGGCTGGCGGCACAGTGGGAACCCCAGAGGGGGGGGTTTTCGGGGAGATGTTGATGCCAACAGCGCAAGTGGACGGAGAGTTTAGCGGGATAGGGATACGGCATCCAGTCAGCACAACAAATGACTCCAAATATTGTCTGAGAGGAATGATCAAAATTTGTAGACCATGGTCTCTTATACCTAGCTCGTGCTCCTCTCCTCTGCTCCTCTCCTCCTCTCCTCCCCGCCCCCCTACGGTGATGCACGTAGATACAAATACTAACAATCCATGTACCCTACCTACCAGGAATGAAAGAATGCCAGCAAGACGGTACGATTTTTTTTTTTTTTCAAGTTAAATTCATATGAAGTACTTTAATTTGGAATGTGCCAAAGGGATATTTTGTTTTTTGGTCTCAGATAAGTTATTTCATCTTTTCATGGAGATGTGAATAATCTAAATATTACTTCCTTCTTTCGTAAAAAAAAGAAGTTTAAAAGAATACTATTTACAAGTCATCTTCCAGAAATTTGTAGACGAATTTGAAATCGGCTTTTCGGCGGTTCATCCTGTGTTCATAAAAGTTAGCAATGGAAGAAGATCAAAAAAAAAAAAAAAACGAACAAGAAAAGAAAGAAAAAAAGACAAAAATAAAAAATAAAAAATAAAAAATAAAAAAACTATCGGTTGATAGATCAATAAAAAGAAACTAACCATGTACTCTCATAGTCAAAAAACCGATACGTCCCCTGCTCAAACTCCTCCGTAATTGTCTTCGGCTCCTCATGCCTCTGAAACCACGTCTGGTACTGCTTATGGAACCGCCAGCTCTGATTCTTCAACGACTTCGCGGCCAGGAACTGCTGATAGCTCGCCTGCCGGTAATAGAATATATAAAACAGCGTATCAGTGTCTATGCGGCTGGTCTCGTAGAGGCGCGGGTCGTCGAAGATGGGCAGCGGTTCTTGCGGGTAGTAGAGAGGGGTATTGTAAGGGGTTTGTGGTCTGTAGTGGTGGGGTCGTTCGCAGTCGCTGGGTTCCGGGCAGGTGTGGTGGGAGGCTGTGAGGAGACGTTGAGTAGAAGTTGAGGCTGTGCTGGTTGGGTTCATGGAAATACGGGATTTGGTTAATTCGAAGGATTGGATTAGGTCTTGGAGGCCCGGGGGGAGGTGGTAGACGGATTCGTCGGTGGTAGCGGTTGTTGAGGTGTTAGTGGTTGTGGATTCTTCCTTTGCGGAGCCGTTGGGTCCCTGGTGTCGTTGTTGTTGTTGTAGTAGTAGTAGTTGTTGTTGCTGCTGCTGTTGCTGTTGTTGTTGTTGTTGTTGCTGCTGCTGCTGTTGCTGCTGTGGCTCTGGCTCTGGCTCTGGCTCTGGCTCTGGCTGCTGCTGCTGCTGCTGTTCTTGTGGCGGGGAAACGGTTTCCACATTATCCATTGCCGGGGTTGGTGGCTCTGTCGCTGGTTGACTCGCCGCGGGAACACTGGGACTCAATGTTGGCGATTTGGATTGCTGTTGACTACTAGATGAATCATCCACGCTGGCAACTGCAGATGCGAGCCTTTGCACAGGCTGTGCGTGATGCACCTGTGGCGAGGATGTTGAGGAAGCCTTGGAGACGGGCAACGCATGCGAAAGAGCCGGGCTTGCACCGGGCGGCGGAGGAAGCGGGGCGATCCCAACTCCACTCTTGTCACTTGCTGCAGCCGCGGCAGCCGCTGAAGCATACTTCAGCGTTTCGCCTGGTAATCGCGTAGGTAGAGGCGCAGGCTTCATCGTGTTACCGGATGAGGATGAGGGCCCGGAGAGGTGTAGCGTAGCTAGAACGGGTAGTGGTGATTTCACCTGCGTTGATGACCGTCGAGTAGCACCAGGTTCCGCTTTCGCCTTTGATGGCCTCGGTACACCCATGTCTGCATCATCATCCTGTATCGACTGTGTATCCTGCGATGATACGCGGTCAGTGTCGTTGGGCATGCCGAATTGCGCCTCGTCGTCCCCGAGCGTTATATCATCGTATATCGTCTCATCTTCCCCACAAAAGTCGGCATTATGCCCATCATCTGCGAAGTACTTGATGCTGTCCTTGATATCCAACACTTGACTCGTTTCGACGTGGCCATTTTGTAGAGAACGGAGAAGTAGTTCCAGTTTCGCCAGGTGCCATCGATGTCGTTCTGAGATCCTCGCAATATCGGCTAGCCGGGTGGTCTTTGCTGCATCCTTTTTCCCTTTCTTTAACGACGCCTGTATCATTTCTTCCTCAGCTTCAAAAGCCTCGATCTTCTGCTGTAGGATGTCGACGGTGGAGGACAGGAACTCGCATGTTTCGGTCCTCTCCTTTTCTTTCGGATCTTGCCTGGCTGCCGCCGATAGACCCTCTTTCGAGTAGGCCTTGGTTTTCATCTCCTTCTCAACGGCTTTGAACTGCTCCATGCACTGTTTATTTCTCAGGTTAGCTTCATCACGTCCGTGGCAGAGAAGTCAGGGAGGAAGAGAAGAAGACCCGGCCGGGATGATGGCGAAGCGCACAGTTTCAATAGCCCTCCGCTGCTCTAACAGCGGGCCTTTGTCTTTGACTTCATTTCCTGCAGCCCATGTCTTGATCTGGTCACGGAACCGCTGTAGTTTTTTTATTTCGCGTTTCAGGTTGTCTTCGAGCTTGTCTCTTTGGGCAGCGTTTGAGGAGGACTTGATCTTCTCGTATATGCTCTCGAAGGACTGTATGCCTTCACCAACCTTCTTGAAGGTCTTGTCAATTTCCTGCTGTGTTTTTCGCGATGCCATGGCTGCTCTTCATAGACGGAGCCTTGCTTGCTGCATTCAAAGTGGTCAGTTAGTGATGATACGATGAAGTATGTGGTGGGTAGTGGTAGTGGTAGTGGTGGTGGTGGTAGTAATGGTAGAATGGTCGTGATATAGCGAGGTGGGAGACGTGAGGAGGTAGCAGAGGAATGCAAACCGGGCCTGTGGTGGAGACGGCGTAGGGGCAGCTGGTGGGTTGATGCTGTTGTCGACCTGTTGTCCGATATCAGAGTCTGCTGGGCAACGTGGGACCTAGAGTTCGCAGAGTTCGTCGAGTTGGGTGAGTTTCTGTGGCAGTAGCTGATGCCGTTCCGTTTGACTGGCTGCTTTCGTGGTCAGTGGTTTGTTGGTGGTTGGTTTAACTAATTAAATGGAGGAAGCGCCAAGACTGCGGCGGACACATGTTAATGCAATCAAAACCAACTACAAACGACGAGTCCACTGAACACAGCTACACAGTAGAGGGGTATTTTGTTATTTTATTTATTACGTGGGATACATATCTCCTTGTTTGTTGTCTCGAAGATCCAGAGAGCGCCTTAAACTGATGTTTGCTCTGCGTATTATCGAATATACCGATATACGGTGCTTTGATGTTAGTGCCACTCTACGGGGAAACCGCAATATGCTCCGTATCGAATAGCTGTCTATGCAGAAATCGCTAAAGGATAGAGAGTCCACCCACCCCTACATACATATTTAAGCTCCATACTCTTGAAGAGATCGCGATTCCGATCCTGACCTCCTACAGACCATATCGAGATCATCATGAAAGGTACAGCACCTCTTCTCTCCTATGCTTACGGAGCAACTTTCGCCTGATCTTAACATCTCCTCTTCCAGCTGTCCTGCAACGAGTCAAATCGGCATCGGTCACTGTCGACAAACAGCTCGTCTCTTCCATCGGCAAGGGTCTCCTCGTCTTTGCCGCGGTCGGCCCCGAAGACACTCAGAAAGATGCAGAGTCCCTGGCAGCGAAGGTGCTGAAGCTGAAGATATGGCCTGATGATGCCGGAGGAACGGTATGCCCTTAAACGCCTGACCCATGCTCCAGTTCTGGAACAGTCTCTAACTCCTGAGTTAAATTGCAGTGGAAGAAAAGCGTACAAGATATAAAGGGCGAAGTTCTATGCGGTACGTAAATACAAACCTCAGTTCAAATGGAAAGCAACAGATTCTCGGGATGATTTTTTACAAGTTAAGAAAAGAAAAGAAAAGAAAAGAAACAAAAAATACCCTAAACTTTTACTGACAGGTGGAATGATGTACTACTCCCTTCTTTCTCTCTGCGTAGTATCCCAATTCACGCTCCACGCCCAAATAAAACGAGGAAACAAACCCGACTTCCACCGCGCAGCCGATGCAACAAAAGCGAAAGAGCTGTACGACTACTTCTACAGCAAAGTGAGCGAGATGTACGAGGCAGACCGCGTCAAGAACGGCGTCTTCCAGGCGATGATGGATGTGGGGCTGGTGAACGACGGACCGGTGGGTGTGGATTACCGCAGCGAAGATGGAGCGGTATATGCTTAGATTCTTCTTCCTACCTCCTCTGGGCTACCTTCTCTATGTCCCTTTTGGATATGCGTGCGAGTGGATATGACGTGGATGCTGACGGTTCGAGCATAGGTTACCATTCAAATCGACACGACGTTGCCTAAGCGGGAGCAGAAGACGGATGGGAATGGGAATGGAGACAGTAACAACGAGAAAGTGAATGGAACTGCAAAGGGACCTGGAGAGGATGCAGCGAAGAAAGATTCCGTTGGGAGACAGCTCTATGAATTCAAGCTGCCGGCGTCATTGTTGGAGTGAAGGACGGGTTTTATTTGACGGTGTTAATTATATATATATATATATATATATCCACTGATTATACCACATAGAGGATCTGAACATGAATGTACGACTACTATGCATATATTTGCCATTTAGTATCTGCATTTCCATCTGATAACAGTTAACTATTTCTTGCAATCTGATATGCGATGGCTGGTGGGGCGGTTTGCACTGTTTGTCTAGAAGCTTCTACGAGACTCCAACCACAAAACAACATCTATACCAAAATCTATCTATAAGTTTATACCCACCTACACCATTATCTCACGCTCGCTTTCTTCCTCTCTCCCACTCGCTTTCTCCTCTCTCTCACTCGCTCTTCCTCTCTGCTGTCTGTGAGTCTCCTTCTGCCTTCACTATGGCCGAAGCTACAGGTACCTCCTCTGACTCACTCCCCTTCCAACCAAAACCCGCAGCCCCCGTGATTGCGCTTGAACGTGACTGACATGGTATCTCTGCTGTGCTGGGCACGTAGGTCGACCGCGCGTCTTCTTTGACATTGAGATTGGAAATAAGCCTGAGGGTCGCATTGTCTTCGAGCTGGTACGTTACTCTCTTCAATGTCTGGAGAGTTGAAAGTTGTTGAATTCAATTCCCGATTGAACAGGGGGAAGCTGACTGTGCAATTCGACTCTAGTTCGACGATGGTGTGTTTGTTGCGTGACTACTGCTTGAAATGTCCAATGTTTATTAACTCGTCATACAGTCGTCCCTAAAACTGCAGAAAACTTCCGCGCCCTCTGTACTGGCGAGAAGGGCGAGGGGAAGTCGGGGAAACAGCTCAGCTACAAGGGTATGCATATCCATGGACCTTCCACCCCCTTCGCCCCGGGGGACGCACGAAAGAATATCCAATTGCGCATAACTAAGCGCCTCAAACAGGCTCCATCTTCCACCGCATCATCAAACAATTCATGATCCAGGGTGGTGATTTCACTGCATTCAACGGCACAGGCGGCGAATCAATCTACGGCGAGAAGTTCGACGACGAAAACTTCGATCTGAAACATGATCGCCCTTTCCTATTGTCTATGGCCAATTCCGGCCCGGGAACCAACGGCAGCCAGTTCTTCATCACCACCGTCCCAACCCCGCATCTCGATGGGAAACACGTCGTCTTTGGTGAAGTCATCACTGGCAAGGGGCTCGTGCGCAAAATCGAGAAGTCCCCGACAGACACGAGCGATAAGCCACACAAGGAGGTTAAAGTGGTGGACTGTGGTCAGCTCTCTGGTGACAGCTATGAAGCTGCGAAGGAGGTATCTGTCGATGAAACCGGTGATAAATACGAGGATTACCCAGAGGATGCCGGGGAGACACTTTCCGGCGCGGAATATTACAAGATCGCATCTGAGGTGAAGGAATTTGGCAATAAGGCGTTTAAGTCAGGAAACCTCGATCTAGGTCTTGAAAAATACCAAAAGGCCCTCCGCTACCTGAACGAGTGCCCGGAGCCCTCCGACTCCGATCCGCCAGAGCTACAGGGCCAAATGTCCGTCCTGCGCTTCACGTTACATTCCAACTCGGCGCTGTTGGCGAATAAATTGAAGCGCTTTGACGATGCGCAGAGCTGGGCTGGGTTCGCGCTGGAGACGGCCACGGCCGCGCAGGCGAAGGATACGGATCGGGCGAAGGCGTATTATCGACGTGCGGTAGCGCTTGTGGGGCTTAAGGATGATGAGGCTGCGTTGAAGGATTTGGTGGAGGCGAGTCGGCTGGCGCCTGGGGATGCGGCGGTTGTGAGTGAGACGGCTAGGGTTAAGAAGTCTATTGCTGAGCAGCAGAGGAAGGAAAAGGAGATGCTTAAGAAGTTCTTCCAATGAAGAGCGGAGCTGTAAAGGGGGCCAAGGGGATGAGGGGTTTGAAGGGCTAGTGGGAGATTTGTGAGGACTGGTGGTTGAGTGGTTGTTTGAGGGGCAGTGCAAAGTAGAGCGGAGCGGAGCTTGATATATTACCTGACTACCTAGATTGTTAATTACGGAGGAAGTTTGTTCGCGGCATATCCTCGGTTGTGGTTGTGCTTGCGTTGGTTGTTTTTGATCAAAAAACGGAAAAACAGGAAAGAAAATAGAAAAAGAAAAGAAGAAAAAAAAAAAAAAAGGAAGGACAAAAAGAAAAGAAAAGAAAAGAAAAGAAATACGCAAATATTGAACCAATATCTGCTTTTTGTCATTTTTGTTTACCCACCCCTCCCCCTCTTTTTCCCGTTAGATGAGCGTGTTGAAGTTACTGTCATTAAATATTTGGTTGAAACCCGGTTCTTCTCCATACTTAACGTCTTTTCTGCCACTGTCTTCGTCTCCCGTCTCTGCCTTTGCGACCTTCACCTGGCCTTTACTGTTCCTTTTTTTTATCTGGGGCGTTTATGATGCCGAGTACTCACATAGATAGCTATGGTTGACCCTGATCAGGTTTTGTCTGCTTAAACCAACTTATTATGTTTCTGGTTGCGAGTTCTCATTCTCATTTCTCTAGTTATATATTCCAATTTTTTGATGGATCGGGCATCAAAGGAACCCGTTTTCAAGTTCATGCCCTCAGTTCTCAGACCATCTTTGCATGCAGCATGCAAAGCCCCGGATAGATTATCCGCTCTGCTCAACACTCCCCCGTTCGCCATCCCGAGACCGTACAGCGCCAGATTAAAGCTTCAAATCGGCAATGACAGGGGCTGACTGCTGACATATGTCAAATAACAACTATTGCCGAAGAGTCAGCTACGCTGCCTTCGTTTTTGCGTATTTCGTTTCTGTCAAGTTCCAATGGTTTTCGTCTAGGATAACTATATGTGCTCGACGCTCGTGGCTGCTCGAGGCTCTCAATTCCTGGCTGCCTGTTCTCTGAAAAACCAGCGAGAATAATCTTAAATACCAATGGAGTTCTCAGCGTTAACTACACACACACACAATACATGTATATGCCCTCATTTCCTGGGATAAATTAAACGTTTCACCGCCAACACTGATCCCAAAACGGCGCTGAATCCTGCCTGGCGCAATGCGTTGCTACATTTCATCGTCGCTGAAGGATGACGGGATGGGTCTCCCGTTGAAACAACCAAAGGTCATCATTGACCACATCACGTTCAAGAAGATGGGTGTTCTTAAAAAACTAGCGTCGAAGTCGGGTTTGTATTCTAAAGAGGTTGGGTTCAACCCCTTTTCTTCCTCTCGTTTCCATTTCTGGTTCCACGGGGGGTACATGGCGAAAATGCAATACCTCGTGATATGACCTCAACTAATATTCGGATAAGATGGATATATTCGACCTACGCTGGCAGCCATGTTGCATTTTGGTTCGAACTATCCACGGCTGAAACAAGCTAAAACGCAAGTATGATTCCGGACGGGTTGCGCGGGTACTGTTTGTGTGTTGGAGGCGGGGACTGAGTTGAAACCAGGGGAAAGACTGCCGAGTTGGATGTGAAGGGGGGACTTGCAAAGCGGTCACCGTGACGAATCTAGGTGACCATGCTGAACCATTGATTTTATGGATGGACGCGGTAGCCGCGGGATACTATATTACGTTGTGCAGAATTGGCAATTGGGAGTTTTGAGCATCTGAAAAATGGATGTAGGTTGGTTGAATGGTTGAAAAAGGTCTGCTGTCAGTAAAATTTGTGTCAAAGATAAAAAAAACTCTCTGTCCGAAATGAGTGGCGGACGGAATATTTACTCCCTCAACCACATCAAAGAAACAACTAAATAAAATACATTCGTGCAAAGCTTCGTTCGAGGCAAACTCCCTCAACTCAAGAATCATTCAACAGCAGCATTTCAAACATCGTAGCCAAATAAATGAATAAATGCATACAGACGGACGTACACGCATACCAACGTTTAAGACGATAGATAACAGCTCCAAGCAGTCCCCAAACCCAGAAGAACACCCCCTACTTCATTCTATCACTTGTATACGCACAGCTGCCCATGTCCATCTTCACCACCTTCGACTCAGGCCGAATATCAAAATCAAAAATATCCATGGGCACCCCCAGTGTCGTGCACGCATTTGGAATATCCACCAAGCCTGCAATATGCCCTTGCACAGGCGCACAACTCAGCAGCAAATAAATCTGGTAATCATCATAGCCATAGCGGCGCAGGTACTCGATGACACGCATGCAAGTTTCACGATACGCAACCGTGGCATCCAGGAAATGCTGTTTGCCGTGGTGATCGACACTGAAACCCTCGAAGGTCAAGTAGCGGCCAGGGCTGAACTGTGGCTCCACTGGTCCCGGGTGGAAGATGGGCGACTTCATTCCCATGTGCGCCATGCCGTTCTTGATGACGTTGAATTTTATGGTGATGACGCCAGCCATCTCGATGGCACCGCAGAAGGAGATTTCGCCGTCACCCTGCGAGAAATGGAGGTCGCCTACGGAGAATTTGGCGCCCTTCACATGGACGGGGAGATACACCTTACTCCCCCTGCTGAGGTTTTTGATGTCGCAGTTTCCACCGTGCTCGGGCCGGCCCTGTGGGTTGTGGTGGTGGTGGTGGTGGTGGTTAGAGTTTTGCTCGTAATGATATAGTTGAACGCGGAAAGGAGACGTAATCTTACAGGAATGGTTCTCGCTCCCTCCCTGCCCACTTTCGCTTTGATGGCATCACTAGCACTGCCTGCGTGCACATTGATTGGCTCAGGTGGCTTAGCCACAACCTTTACGGAACCCGCATTGGCCGAGAGGAGATCACCTTCGCGCCTGTTCCATTCAGCTAGGACCTCGGCCGACGGGGCACAACCCAGGATCCCTGGGTGGATCAATCCAGCAAAGCGGACATGCGGGATGTGGCGAGACGAGCAGAATATGCCCTCAAAATCCCAAATTGCTTTTGCGCTAGGTGTCATATGTTTGATATAAGTTTCTGGAGCTTTGCAAACGCATACGTAACTAAAGGGGGGGCAAGATGAAACATCCGAAAATTACATACGCATTGGGATAGAACTCGTCCAGAAACCCGCCTCCATTCTTCGCATCAAAGATGCCCGTGAACCCCCATGGCTGGTCCTGGAATGGCTGGACGTCCTGAATCTCCACTAGTAGCACGTCGCCTGGTTCCGCAGTTTCGATCTCAAAGGGGCCCGTCAGATAATGCACGCGAGTCAAGTCGATATCACGCATGTCGTCGGCGGAATCGTTATTTTTAATCTGTCCGCCGGTCCAGTCCAAGCATTCGATCTTGACGACTTCCCCATTCTTGATCGATGCGCATGGTGGAACTGAGCTCATACGTCTATTAGCTAATATATACATATACAGTAGAGTACATCAATCCTTATGGATAACCGGAGCATCAGTTGACGTTTACGTACTGTCTGGATGCCAGCGGTTCTAGATACAGAAGGGGGTTTGAGTAGTTAGCCAGGCATTGTGATCTTAATAGCACACAGTAGCTGAGGCATGTTCAAATGAGATCAGCATCATACATGCAAGCCCTTCTGCTCCGATGCTGGCTTATTAAGATCGACCTTCATGGCCGTGCGAATTCCCTTGAGACCCATGATTTGAAGATAACTATGGTGTCGCTCGCTGGTAGGTCTGTTCCGGAGGATTGGAATATGGTATGTATGGGAGGTGAATTGTCAAGTCTATCCACTGCGTAACCAGCCAACAGAAAATAAAATATACTATACAAAAGCAACAGAAAGCCCGAGGAACCAAACGGGAGAGGTCCCAGGTTTTATCTGCCCTGCTCATAAGGCTAATTGGCAGGTCTGATAAATCTTCCCCGCCAGCTACCTTAACATCCCAAGGTTTGGCAAGCAACAACCCCGCATCGGAGACACGGAAGTTCAAGTTTTGGAGACACTAGTTAGTCGGCAAGTCCATAGGGCAGGAGAATAACTATTACGAATCATCGAGCAGGGGATAGTTCCAGGATAGAGTTGAGGCGTCTCAACCATCCGTCATATCGGAACCCGGGTGCTATCCCTCTCTGAAACCTGAAAATACTGGCGTGAGCTAAGAGCAAAGGATAGCAGCTAACTCACTATCACTAGTTAGTAGTTTGGTTAGCTGGCTACGAGAAGACGCCGCACCTAAGCAGAGTTAATTAGCACCTGACGATTTGTGGGGGCGGGGCGGGGGGGGGGGGGGGGGGGGGGGGGTGTGTGGGTTGGGGTTTGGTGGCTCTCCGGCTATCAGTATGGCTCCCTCTATCGGCTATTACCCGCCAGTCGCCACTAAAGTTTAGGTGCTGCCAGCCCCAACCGACGCCAAAATGCGGGGAAAGCTTTAACTAAACCAAAGTCGGGGTGGGCCCAAACGGAACATTACCGCGGGGGGGTTGGGGGGGGTGAGAGGGCATTGCTCTGGTGGGGACTGCCTGTCCAATCAGGGCAGCCAAGCTGCTAATCTTGGAAAGCGAGTGAAACCCTAAATGGCTCATTGGACCCCAAATCCAACACAAGACACGCATGTTTGTTCCCAAGCGTCTGGACTCTTTTGAGAAACCACAAGGAACGATGTCGGTTGTGGGCCACCTACCGCGAAAATTCCTACCCGGGAATTTTGGATCCCCGGACAATCATGGAATCCACAATGCCAGCTTATCAAAACGTGTCAACCCAGTCTTGAGCCTTTATCACCTGGACCAAGATACGGGGTTAATCCTCTGTACAGATCTGATGTTGTGTGGAGGGAGGGGCAGAAGGCCGGTGGAAGTGGTCTAGAAATGACCAATAAAACCGCTGTTTGCTAACTAGTTACAGTCAAGAAGGCCCAATTCGACAACTTGGTCGAGATGAATTGCTGTTAATCTAAAAAATCATACCCACGCTTGTTGAAAGCCCCAGTGAACGTGAACGCCGAATCCATCCCCCTGCTGCCAGATAACTAACTACATCTGTAGTTGATGGATTTCCAGGTAGAGTTAGACTCAGAGCTAACCCAGGTCAAGCTAGTGGTCTTCATCATCAGGCAGACTTCTGAATGAGCAGACGGTCAACAACAACAACATCAACATCAACATCAACAACATCATCATCATCATCATCATCATCATCATCATCATCATCATCATCATCATCATCATCATCATCATCAACAACATCAACATCATCATCATCATCATCATCAACATCATCATCATCATCATCAACATCATCATCATCATCAACATCAACGACGACGACAACGCCAAGTTGAGGCTTCCTCGAAGTGCCCTGGGCGTCCCATCAAATAGCTGGTGTCCCTTTATTGGCTATTGTTGCTTGTCTTGCCAGTAATTTTTCTTTTTTTTTTTTTTTTTTTTTTTTTTTTTTTTTTTTTTTAGGAAAGTCAATTGGTCCTGCCCATCCGTGGGACATCGTTGTTTGAAATCCCCCTCCACAACAGCGCTCCATGCCAAAGGGTATGAGAAAGGCGGGGCTGAAAGTACAATGGCCCCCGCGGGGATCTATCCAAGTCTCCCTCTCCCTCCAGAGATCATACTCAGCGTTGTCTGGAATATGGAGAAGTCAAGCCATCGTCTGAACTTGGCTTTATGTTCTCGTTATTTTTACGATATAGTTATCCCTTTCGTCTCTGAGAATATCAGGTTGGTCGAACCCGAGACTCGGGTGATCATTTCCCTAGTCCAAACTCTCCTGCGGAGCCCACACATCGCATCGCGCACTTATACCCTCGAAATTAATACTTGGGAGACGGAGCAGAATTACGACATAAACATCGGTGACTCTCCCGAGACACTACCGCGCCCCACGGCTGATCTACGCATTGATAGAAGTCTGGTCAATGAGGCGGTCCAGCGACTTTTCACCCCCACTGATGAACCTGCACGATCCAAATTGATGGCGCATTTGCTCGCTGGCAACGAGGATGCCTGGGTGGCCCTGCTGCTGTTCTCCGTACCCAGGCTTCGAAAATTAAGCCTTGTTGTGCCGTATAACACTGATCATGTGCTGAGATTGGTCAGACGCGCCGCAGTACGGGTGCCACCCTTTGATACGCGACCAGCGTTAAACCATCTCTCCCACCTGTACGTGAAATGGTGGGATACTGAAGGTTATCTTAATTCCTTGTTCGTGTGGCCCTTCTATTTCTTCCCATCTATGCAAAGCGTAACTTGCAAAAAGATTGGAGATCCTCCACTGTATCGTGGTGAAGAAGATGTAGTAACTGAAGGGGAAGTTGAAGGTGGCAATCTCTCTAAAGACCACGTCCTGTCTTTAGAAAACCTTCCCAAAGCTTCTCAAGTGACCCAAATCAACATAACCAAGAGCCATACCAGTGACGGCATGTTTAGCAAACTCCACTTCTGCGAAAAACTCAAGTCTTTCAAATTCGAACACTGCGATAGCTATTCATACTACTCCAGTTTCCAGCCAACTCACTTTTTCCAAGGCCTTTCGCTCGCCAGACACACCCTCGAGCACCTCTGGCTCGCTTACGATTACGATTCCTACGACGGAGACGAGCATTACGAAGGAGACAACGACGCTTTCGGCTCCCTGACCCACTTCACGGTCTTGAAGACGCTGACCATGAGCGCCATTAACCTGATAGGTAAGAACTATCTGCTGGACAGAGATGATCTTAGGCTCCGCCCCGCAGCTGCACAGCGTCTTGCGCAAGTCCTTCCGGCATCGCTGGAGTCCCTTTCCATGATCCACATTGAAGGAAACCAGTACATTCCCGTTTCCCTGCAGGTAGAGAATTTGCTGCAGCCGACAACTCTGTCCGCATGCACGCCTCGGCTGGCTTTTGTGAATCTCCTCGGCGTGTTTTGCGAGTGGGAAGTATCGTCCACTACGTATAGGTATTCCGAGAGAACGCCAGTTTTTCGGCCAGATGTCCTGCGGCGGGCAGCGGAGCTAAATGACATGTGTGCATCCGTTGGGGTGAAGTTTGGAATTATGGACACCCGCGTTGCACTTTTTGCGGAGACGGAAGAAGATTCATATTAACGGGGAAGAAAGAAACACCAATGGAATGGGGATTTCCATAGGGTTGATTTTATTTTATATTTTTTTATTGCTTTGACATTGGGGGCCTCTCGTATCATCTTTGTTTCATTTTTTGAAAATCAATTGAAAATCAAACAGGGAGCTAAGTAACTATATGTAGTTACATATCTATCGATCTAGGTCACACGTTAAATTTGGAAGACTTTTTCTTGAGGGCTGCTTTTATACATCAAGTAAATGCATTATTTCCTCAAAGGGCAATATCAACTTGCTCTCAGACGGTTATGTAGAAGTGTGATATTGACCTGCATCAAATCAGAGATTTGACAGATGCATGTAACTCGCTGCCGCACTCCTCAAAAAATATACACTATTCTAGAATCCAACATAGGCGGATACCCAGCCCAGCTGTTTGCACCCAAAATAACCACAGTGTTCCCATTGTAGCTGATATGTGCCCGACTGCCCAATTGCCAACTCAGAGCTTGCCTGGCACTGCTCAGCCTCTCAAATCCTCACAAGTGGGAGTGTTTCGAATAGATGAAGAAGGATATATCCATCAAAATAGCGAACACATTATTCAGTTCTCTACTAATTTGTGAGAAAAAAACATTATCTAACCATTCTAATGATACTGCTACCCAGCTCAGTCAGCTGTTTGACAGAGCAAGACCCTCACAGTTCCATCTCAATTCTTTCTATCAAACAGGAGTGTTTTTAATACCACCTGCGGTATTCAATGCTAAATGATGAGAATTGGCAAAGTGAATCAAGAAGTCAATTCTTTCTTCATGACAGTACATAAGAAGAGGTTGAGTATAGAAAACAAAATTACACAGGGATAGAGATGCTCACAAAGACGCCTGCTACCTGTAGCGGAGAACATTTCATCAGAAAACACTGTCAAACTATATTGAATTGACAGGTTATAATGTCATAATAAACAACAAAGAGCGAGTTGACTATAACATAAAATGTAAACTTTAGCATTTATATATATATATATATATATATGTATATATGATTGTCCACTTCAAAACTCGGTCAGCAAGGAATAAGTATTACTGTGTCTGCTATTTCTCCGAGCTTTTCTGTTCTCTTCTACTGTTGTCAACAAACCTGCGACACGGGGCACTGATCAGGGAATGGAATTTAGGGGCGGGAGACTGTACACGGAGATGACGCAGAACACGAACTTGATGTGGAGGTGAAGAGACATTCCAGTCACTCCTGTCCTGCTCAGCAGCATACAGTCCATATGACCGATGCTGGATGGAGCAGCAGCACTCATTCCCCTTCTACAGTGCCTGAAGCATACTCAAGAAAATGAGCTACCACCCTGAGCTCCCCACGGTTGAGAAATCGAAACCGTCTGAACATCCCACGACGAGATCGCTTCTCAGGCGATAGACTGTGTGTGTGTTTTATTCGATCTTAGAACACAGAAGTTGATTCGTTGGAGAATTATCCTCGTTCTGCAGAGCCGTCGTACGCCGAGCCAAGGCATGGCACGGGTGGATTGCGGAGGGGGAAGATGATTTTGTAGATATTTCAGCTTATTTTGTTAATAATGAATTGGGCACATATTAGCTACAATGGGAACACTGTGGTTATTTTGGGTGCAAACAGCTGGGCTGGGTATCCGCCTATGTTGGATTCTAGAATAGTGTATATTTTTTGAGGAGTGCAAACTAGTCGGCAGCGAGTTGTATTTGTCAGAGCCTCAGTCAAACCAACCGCTTGCATTTATTTACACACACACGCGCCCTCATGTAACTACTAAACTGAACCTCTCTCCTCTGCAGCCCCAACTCAACTGCGCTCAATAGATGGTATAGCATCAAAGATCCCTAACGTTATTATAGCAGTTCGTTCCCTTTCACCATGGTGAGTCGTGAGGCATTGAGTTTCCTGTTTCTGCTCTCTTTGGCTAACATGTCGAAGTAGATACTGCTCTCCGATCTAGTCACACAATGGCTGGCTTGGGACCAGGTATGTATGCAATGCACATTGCATACAGCACGTCCTCTTGAATAGATAAGCAAGGAACCGCCATACAATTTTACCTTCTGGCTATTTTCTGTCCGCCTATATTTTTGCTGAGGGAATGAATGCAACGGATTATTAACCCTAGGCTTTGCCGCCGCGCCGGTGATATTTTTTATTTTAGGACCCTCAAACCCGCGAGGAAATCATTTGCCTCCGCGATGAGAAGAAGGATGATGAATTGGAGAAGCGGCTCCGAAAATGTATGTCCTTTATGTAACTGCTGCGCAATCAATCAAATCCAGGACTGTGTGTGTCAGTGGTTTTATTTAGCGTTACAGGGTTCCCGTCATAAGAGCGACATCATTGAATTCTCGTCGCTAACATATCCTGTATATATCCAGATATCGAATTCGGCACCGCAGGTCTTCGCGGTCGTATGCAAGGCGGCTTTTCCTCCATTAATGCCCTGACTGTTATTCAAGCCTCACAGGGGCTAGGGAAGTTTATCGAACAGTTTCACTGTCGGAGTCCCGCCCAGGGCGCGGGACAGGACTCGCCCACAGTCATCATTGGCCGCGATGCACGGCATAACTCGGAGAAATTTGCCGCGCTGGCTGCGAATGCGTTTGCTGCGCAAGGGATTCGTGTGTTATGGTATGAGAATGCGGGGCCGACGCCGCTGGTGCCATTTGGTGTGTTGGCACATCGAGCGGCTGCCGGGGTTATGATTACGGCTAGTCATGTGAGTTATTTATATGCTATTCGGGTATACCTGGGCTGTTCTTACGATCTGGTGCTTTTACTGACAGCTTGCTTTCTGATGTGGTGTTAGAATCCTGCATGTGATAATGGTTTGTGCATATGCCAATCGGGACGGTGGTTGCTTGATGTGTGGTTTGGCTAAATAATGTCCTCCATGAGTAATTAGGATACAAAGTGTTAGCTTCTATCTGGGAATATCTATACATGTAGCAATCACTTACCGTGATTCTATAGATACACGTCAGCCGGCTGTCAGATAAATACTCCCATGGACGCCCAGATTGCTCAATTAATCCAAGAAAACCTGGAACCGTGGCCGTCCGCCTGGGCCACATTGGACCAGAACAAATATTTGACCCTGGATTCCTACGAGGATACAGCGAAAATGTATTGCGGCGCCGTCACCAGGTTCATTGTAGGTCCACATATGATCACTACGTCTAATTCGCTCTTGTTCACTTCGAAATAACAAAACAATACTGCAGAACTCAATCAGACTCACCACCGGTCCTCCAAGGCAATTTGTCTACACTCCCTTACACGGAGTGGGCTATGCAACCATGTCCCGCCTTTGCGAAGAGTTGGGGATAACAGACATGATCACCGTGGCCGAACAGCAGGAACCGAACCCGGATTTCCCAACCGTTGTTTTCCCCAATCCCGAAGAAGCCGGCGCATTGGATTTGGCCATGAAAACCGCGGACGCCGTGAATCGCAGCCTGATCATCGCCAATGACCCCGATGCTGATAGGCTTGCCGTGGCAGAGAAAGTCAAGTATGTCACAATTCCCCCCTCCCCTCTCCACTTCTGTGTTTGGTTCTGCTACGTCTGACCCCGGCCCTGATCCACTTGCCTAACACAACAACTGCCTTTTGCTTAACTCAGTGGCATCTGGGTGAAATTCACCGGCGACCAACTTGGCATCCTCCTTGCCTCCTACATGCTCGACGCAATCCAAGCCGAAACCCAGTCCCAGCAAGAAACCCCCACGCAACACACGAAAAAGATCGCCATGCTCACTACCGCCGTCTCAACAAGCATGCTCTCCAAACTCGCCGCTGCCGAATCCATCCACTTCCAAGAAACACTGACTGGCTTCAAATGGCTCGGAAACGTTGCCAGGAGGCTCCAAACTCAGGCCTCCGCTGACGACGCCTACACCGTCCCGTTTGCTTTCGAAGAAGCCCTCGGCTACATGTTCCCTGCAATCAGCTACGACAAAGACGGCCTAACGGCCGCCATGGTATTTCTTGCCGCCGAAACAACCTGGAGAGTCCGCGATGGGCTAACGCCGTACGAGAAGTTGATGGAGCTTTATGGAACGTATGGGTATCATGAGAGTTTGAATGGATATTTTGTCTCGCCGAGTAGAGGCGTCACGGACGAGTTGTTTGAGGGCATTCGCAGGGAATTCGGGCCGGTTGCCCGTGCCGGAAGTACTTCTACGGGAAGCATTGGGTCATTGCCGATTCTGCGGTGGAGAGATGTGACGCGGGGGGTTGATGTGGGAGAGGATTCCATTGCGGCTGACGGTCCGGGGAGTGAAAAGCGGTTGCCCGTCGATCCGAGCAGTCAGATGCTGACGGTGTGGTCTGAGCGGGGAATTCGGTTTACGCTGAGGGGCTCCGGGACAGAGCCAAAGGTTAAAAGTGAGTGTTTTGCGTTTTTGCTGTCTGCTGTCTCTGCACTGTTTCACTCTAGCAACACCCATCCACGCCATGGTGTTGTTTGATTTGATGCAGCTGGCTGGCTGGCTGGTTGGCTAATTCATCTATTGCTCCTAGTATACATTGAGAGCTGTTGCGACTCTCGCGAAGAAGCTGTCAAGGCCGTCTGTTACATGTTTACGACTGTGCTGGAGCATTGGGTAAAACCGCATGCCCCAACGATGACGTGGGCGCGAGAGATGGTTACGTCGTCTGGACATGTGCTTCGTGCGGCATAGCGGCTGTTGCAGTGTTTCCCACAAAGCTTCTATGTGGGGATTCAAGTTTAGTGCATTGGCATGACGATAAGAAGGGGCTATATGCATGCATGATGAATGACCATTTAAACTGAGATTCAGTTGACATGCACGTCGAATTGTGGTCATGATAACATAAGCTGGGTAAATAATAGACATGTATATAGTCTCAAGGTGTGTAAGCACTTTGTTTAATTCTCTTAATCTTTAATTTTTTTTTTTTTAAAAGTCTTTCGCTGTACCAAAAGGAAAATCAAAAATACAAGTTTGGGGGATGTTTAAATGTAGAAGCTTAAGGCGGTAAAAAAAGAAAGAGATAAACGGGCCTTTTATGACACATACAAAATACATGAAAGAATTTATTAGACAGGACAAAGAAAAGGGGTGCGGGAGATCGGGGGCTGAGAAATGGTGTGAGACATTTGGTTGGGAGGATATCGTTCAAGGAGGGGAAGGGGGAGGGGATTGAAGTGAATGGCATGTGCAGGTTAATCAAGGTTCGCGAGTAGAGCGACAGCAAAACACACAGACACACACACACACACACACACACACACACACACATAAGAAAAGGGACCGTACACCTCTAGAAATGAATCGCTTTCGAATACGTAGCCATAGCCGCCTCCTTGAACGCCTCCGATAGCGTTGGGTGAGCATGGCATGTGCGGGCGACATCCTCACAGCTAGCCCCATACTCAATCGCCAAGGTGGCTTCGGCAATCATCTCCCCAGCTCCCGGCCCAATGATGTGGACACCGAGAATGCGATCAGTCTCCGCATCCGCGATGAACTTCACCAGTCCCTCGGTGTCCAGATTGGTCTTGGCGCGCGAGTTTGCGGAAAACGGGAACGTGCCAACGCGGTATTTGATGCCCGCGGCTTTGACATCTGCTTCGTTCTGGCCAACCCAGGCAACTTCGGGATGTGTGTACATGACACTTGGGATGGCTGCATAGTTAACATGGCCGTAGCCCTTCTTGATGTATTCGATGGCGGCGACGGCTTCTTCCTCCGCCTTGTGCGCGAGCATGGGTCCGAAAGTGCAGTCGCCGATGACGCGGATATGCTGGGACTTCGTTCGATATTCCTGGTCGATGACCACGCGACCCTTCTCGTCGACCTCGACTCCGACCTTGTCCAAACCTAGACCTTCTGTGTACGGTCTGCGGCCAATGGCGACGAGGACAACGTCGGCGTCCAGTTTCTGTTCTTTGCCACCCTTGGCGGACTCGACATTGAGAACGACATTTTTGCCGTTGTCGTCGCCAGATGTGACCTTGGTGCCGACGAGGAATTTGATGCCTTGTTTCCCAAGGATTTTTTGGGCTTGCTTGGAGATTTCAGCATCCATGCCGGGGCCGCCGATTTGGTTGAGGAACTCAACAATTGTGACTTCCGCACCCAATCGAGACCAGACAGACGCCTGGGTTGTGGGTCAGAGAGAGCTGGATAAAGAGCCGGGTGAAGCAACTTAGGGAAAGAGGTGAAGAGGTGAAGAGGTGAGAGCAACTATACCATCTCCAGACCAATGATGCCGCCACCGATAACAATCATCTTTTTGGGAACTTCTTTGAGCTGCAAAGCGCCAGTGCTTGTGATGATGCGCTCCTCGTCGATGGTCAAGCCAGGGAAGGGAGTAGGTTCGCTTCCCGTCGCGACAATAATATTTTTGCCTTTCAGAGTGCGCTCACCACCTTCCAGCAGATCCACCTTGACAGAGTTCTGGTCGATAAAGGAGCCCGTGCCCTTGACATATTCGACGCTGTTCTTCTTCAGGAGGAACTCAATGCCTTTGGTGAGACTGTCAACGGAGGACTCCTTCGCCTTCATCATCTGCTCGAGGTTGAGCTTGACATCGCCGACTTCGATTCCGCGCTTTTTGGTGTCGTGGAGAATTTGGTGGTACAAATGGGAGTTGTTAAGGAGGGACTTCGAAGGGATACATCCAACGTTCAAACATGTGCCGCCCAATTTCCCTCGTTTTTCGATACATACCGTCTACCCGATGGTAAGCGCGGTTAGACATACACCTTCAAGACAGATGAAAAAAAAAAAAAAAAAAAAAAAATTGTCGTCGCCAGAACCGACCGCAACAGGGGACTTTGGGAACAAAAGGACGCTGTATATACTTTCAAACCCTCCTGGCCAGCTTTGATAGCAGCCACATATCCCGCAACTCCACCACCTATTACCACCACATCATGTTCCTCTGCAGTTGATGTTATGATGTCAGCGATGTTCTTCCAGCTGCACCAAGGAAGGGGAGGCTGAGGTCGGGTCCCACCTGAGCCAGTAGCGTAACCTCTTCTCGAGTGTCCAAGAACATGGGGCCCCGAGAGAGCAGTGGAGGCAGAGCACATCTGTGATTGCCGCATCTGCCGGCTAATGGAGCGGCCAGCCAGGCGAGGGAGAAGGGGCCGAAACATAGCTGTGATGCTCGGAAGACACACGCAAGCGGAAGCGGACAAGAAAGAAGGGGGACGTCTGGACCTGCAGATAACCAGCCAGACGTGAAGAGGAGAGTAGGGAGACGGCGCAGGGAGAGTCTAAGGCGAGTGAGTAATAGAGAGAGGATGCTGTAGACGCTGTTTTGCAGTTTAGGGTTTAGATGCTCTCTGCATATTCCAAGCCAAGTTCCAGTTTGCGTTGGGGGGGGGGAACTGGGAGATGAGGGATTAGTAAGCGCCATCGCCTAAGTTAACTAACTAACTAGTTAACTAACTAACTAATTATAGTTAGTTAGTTAGTTGAACGATATTCCTTGGAGGACAAAATGACAAAATAACGAGAATTAATGTTGAGTTAAAAGACGGTGTAGGTGAATCCAGTGGGAATTTTTGTGCATTTACAGAGCTCACCTCTGCCATGAACAGTACTGGTGTGGATAGTTACCACTTAACTACCAAGCGGCTGGCAGATCTACTCGTATTTGCCACGAGAAGGCTATAAATATTGGGAGTGAAAACCGGGGCCGAAGTTATTCAACAACAAATCAAAGCCTCCTCCTCCTCCTCCTCCTGTTGAATCTTTCCCTCTGCTTTCGTTTCAGGCCGCTTTGAAACCACCCGCCACTCCAAAAAATAGCCAATCCATCTGATTGTGTTCTGAGGATGCCTGAATTTTCCCTGTTCCCCCACCCCCAACCTGGACGGTTGAAGGATATATCTGCTGGCCAATTCCCAAGGAAATGGGCTGGCGTACGTATGGGCTCTGAGAGCATGAGCTTACAATCGTCTCGCTCGTGAGCCATTTTGGTTTGGACCAACATCAACCATATGATCTCTCTATAGGAGAATGCCCAGCTGGTGTTGGGATGGACTTCTCTCTATCGAAATCTCCATGAAAGCGCATCATCAAATTACAGGAGACATGCATCTGCAAAAAACCATAAACAGGCCCATCACCACGGAAATTGCTGAGCATAAGTCTTGCGGGCAATTCATTGCCACTGAGTTCACACTCAATTGATTAGGTATTGTGATTGCCTGCTGGTTTGAATTGTTTGTTGGTTACGTTTTCAAGAATCCTGCTAAGCTCAAGAAAACGCTTTTTCACACATCAATTTTTCTCCCAAAGTAGATTCAACAGGTCAAAAAGTAGTAAATCCACCATATTTCATACATTTGCAATTCGAGGAGGCTGACCTCTCTCATCCTGGATATTTTATCATTGGACTGTGGAGTGTGTGTTCTTCACGTAGAGGTTTAGCTTTCGATTTAGAAAAGTCGAGCATTTGAACGTGTTGTGACTCCGTTGATTCGATCGCGTAAGGTCGAGGGCGGAACAACCACCGTACGTTTTTGGCAGCAGTTCGTAGTATACGAAATTTTGGCCCGTTTCATAGGCCTCAATGGCTAAGAGAAGCCTTTTCTCTTGATCTGTTGATTCTGTGGGCATATCTAATGATGATGTGAAATATGAACGGATTTGGATGAGAGGTCCATGATCCAATACGTTAAATCACACCAACTAATGACGAACTTTGCTTCTTCATCTATCATACTTTCTGGAGGGAGGTTGAGTTCATCTCGTTCTTCTGCACAGGATCATAGAAGAAGAAGAAGAAGAAGAAGAAGAAGAAGAAGAAGAGGTCCCAACCCAGGTAGGTGTCTAGGGATTTATACATTCCCCCGGCTTGTGTTGTGTTCATAAGAGACAGTTTGCTTTCCTGTAGCTCAATTACCTGGTGACATATATGTCCATCCATTCATGCCCTCTGATTCAACACAAAGAAGAGATGGACCAGTCATGTAGTTGAGACGACAACTCAGCTGTCTCTGTTTTCTCACTGTCGGCTTCGAGGAGTAACATTATAACACACACACAAACTCAAAAACTGTCAAAAATGGACATAAATATAAGCGGAGGCAAGGCTTGGTTTTCTTCTTGTTCTATATCTTCTGCTACCTCTTCTTCTTTCTTCTCTTCAAGGGCATAAGCAACAACCCATTGCAGCCTTCTATTCAACAACTTTCAAGACTTAACAGCCCCCTCTCCTCTCTCTCCCCAATCAACAAATACGAAGACGGTCGATAAGGCCGGAAGCTGAAAAATCATCATCAAGCACCCATGAATCAAGAACTTGATAAGAAACTCATGGATGAGGAGCTTCCCCCCTTGAGGACTACAGGACCGCTTCCTCCTCTGACCATCAGGACTCCTCCATTGCAGAACGGGAAGCAGGAGACTTTTTATTGCACCCACGACCACGACCAGCCATCATTGTCTCAGGGTGTGAACGGAGCTTTCTCCAACCACCAAGGATTGTTGCAAACAAAGAGAAGAAATCCCATGACGGGCATGCTTGCGGGGTAATGATGCCCGACGCTCATTCCTACCACCAAAGCAGACTGTCGCAACCTTGGAGCAAGGGATCCCGTCCCCCAATGCTATTGAAAATGATATGTGAGTATGTGAATGTCTTGAATTCACTTGTTGCCAAATAAGATAGGCTTGGGGAGTTTGGGTATATCCTGAAGCCACTCTCACAGAGCGACTTGGAGAGGAAGAAAAGGTGTGAGCAGTGCGGAAAGTGTAAGTCCGCATTCCCACTTCTATACCTCCGTTGCCCTGGATCCAAAGCACAGTTATATGGACTAACATACAAAAGCAATGGCAAAATATCTTCCCAAGGATGGGAAGCCGCTGAAGGCGGAGGGTGATAAGCCTAGCAATGGTTCGGGAAATTCGGATGGGAATCCGCGGGGGGGAGGGGGGCTACAGGGGAGTCGCAAGAGGTCAAGAGCGAGGTGAAAGAGAAAGGAGAGGAGAATGAGCAAAACTCGAAACCAAAGGAAAAAGTCATTCGGTGCAAATTTCACTCCGGGACACGGTTGCCAAACAAGGTATTGTAAACTCCTGCCACATCAACAAACCATGCTTTGACGTAGTTATATGGTTGTTCGGGTAACAAGCTAAACAAAAACTATCGCGAGGTTGTTAAGAAATGGTCATGCTGCGGCAAGCAAATGTGGGAGAAGCCTTGCGACGGTGCTGAATACCATCATGTTCACCCCTATCTCCCAGGAGAACTAGCAACCTCGTTGGACATTCTATCCAACGCCACAAATGCCACGTCATTCCTCAGACATACGAACAGCGGTTGCCATTGATTGTGAGATGGGCCAGGGCGCATCTGGAGACTCCAAGCTCATCAGGATTACGCTGGTAGACTACTTCTCGTCGGCCATACTCATTGATAATCTCGTCTACCCAAGTGTAAAAAATGGAGCACTTCCGGACAAAGTTCTCCGGTGTCAGCAGATGGGATATCGAAACGGCAGAGAAAAGAGGGGCTTGCATCATGGGAAGAGACAATGCTCGGTTAGCAGTGTGGAGGTATGTAGGACCTAGCACTGTCGTCGTCGGGCATTCCGCCAAATATGATCTAAAATCCCTCCGTTGGATCCATTGCAATATCGTGGACACCTACATGATTGAATCCCTGATACAGAAGCAAATTGAGAAAGAATACAAAGAGCAATGCGCTTCTGCGAAGGACGGGCAGGTGGATGCCGAAAAGGACAGCACAGCATCTGATGGGCTATCGTCACCATCACCCTGTCCAGCCGTGAAGTACAACACTAGCGACGCAGGGGACAGACAACCAAACAAGAATGAACTGTTGAAATCTGACAAGGACAGCAAATCATCAAAGGAGTCGGAGGGCTCAGGGGCAAATTCAAAACTGGATGAGACAGGGGTCAGAGAAAAGCAAGGAAGAACAACCACGACAACAGAGGAAGAAGCCGAAAGGGATGGGCAAGCTATCACTCAAGTCACTTGCCAGGGAAAAACTGGGTAGGGCAATTCAGACCAGGGGAGACAGAGGGCATGACAGCCTGGAGGATGCCCTTGCGGCCAGAGATCTGGTTCATTGGCATGTTTGCAATAAATTGGAAGACGTAAACCGTGGATGCAACTCTATATGTACTGCTAGGTGTAGTTCCTTTGGGAGAGATGGAGGAGAAGAGGACGCAGAGACTCTCCTCCCAAGTTTAATGTCTAACCTACGGAGCAGTTAGTTATATCAGTTAACTACAGATTAGCAATGTAGAGTGCCCACTCTTGAGGTATCACCAGCAGACAGCCAGAGCGCTCCCATTGATGGGCCAGCAACCCTCACTTTTTAATTTCAACCACTTGGCCTCGCACCAGTTTCTTCAGCACCGCCCTTTTCTTTTTATTAATCAGGTTAACTTTTCCCTAGCGAAGGAACTAGGAAGCGGTTAACGGTTAAAATGTTTCTCTATACCATATATACCTAGGGGTGTAGCTGAACATAACTCGCAGACATAATTGGACACCCTTCCAGAGATCCAGCTGTTTTACCTGCCTAATGAAAGCGAGCGAGCTAGAAAACTTCGGAAAATTTCATCGAGGATATCAGAGTGATTTTATGTGTTTGCTCTAGTTTTGGCCTTCATTCTCTTCTCCCTCTTTCTCTCTTTTGCAGTTTCAGCTGCTAGCGGGCCCTCCCCGGCACCGGCATGGCATGGCATGGCAGAACTCTGGAGTTCATTGCATTTTCTCTGTCTCTCGTTCTATTTACCCATTTACGATGCCAGCTCAACTTTCCGGCCGTCACTGGTGGCTGCTGTGGCAGGCGGCAACGGAGGCGCTTCCCTCCCCCTTTCCGCACCAACGGGGCTTGCAGGATCCGAAGGGGATCGAATTCTCCGCGAAAAATTAAACAGCTTCCGCCCTTTCCTCGTCTGCACCCCAGGCCGCCACTTCATCTGAAATACTGGAGAGGGAAGCAACCGGCTTGTCTCGTCATCCCTTTGCATGTAGCGGATATACACCCGGGTGCCTGCCTAGAGATATTCAGACGGAAAAGATGCTTCCTATCAGCTCTTTACCTATCAATCCTCCTGTATTCTTTCTTATTATCTTTGCTCTTCTGTTGCATCCGCTATCAGTGTCGCCATTTTCTCACGCGTGGGAGGAATGGCGAGAAGGAAAAGGAGGAACCTCACAAATGTCCAACACTCAAGAAACGTGATTGGTAGCGAGCGGTGTGAACAGCCGATGACCCAGCCATGCTTCGCGACCTATCGCATTGTAGACGGGATTCTGGTGGAGGACCAACAGTCCCAGCGACAGAATGTCGATAACATGCAAGAACTGGTTTCTGCTGAGGACGGTCAACTGGAGCAGTTGAGTCAGCCTTTCTCCGACCGTCTTTCAAACTTTGAGGTAACTAAGCACTAGCTCTGTCCCATGACAGCGATTCATGTTCTGATACCGATCAACAGCCAGTTCTCCCATCATATTATACGAACTATCTTGTTGGTGACGGGCGTCCATTGGAGGAAGACCAGCAACCCCAGCAATCAAGCATTGAGGAAACACAAGAAGACATCCCCTCCAAGAGCAGTGGTCAACTGGGGAAATCTCGTCGCTCACTCTCAAGGCCTGTTTCAAAGTATGCGGTAAGAACCGGTAACGTTTGTGGCAATTACTCCCACGGTGATATCAATCAACATCTGAATACCCACCCCACCGTATATATTATGCAACCCATCCTGCTGACAACATATGTCTGGCGTAGGACCAGCAGACCGGGGAACCGAGTCTTAAAGAGTGTGATTTTTTAACGTAAGTCATTCCCAAGATCGGGGCCCGCTCTTCTGCTCTCCCTACGACTGTATGTATATATACAGGCATACAGGCATGCTTTCACCTTCATACCTGACAAGTTATCAGCCGGCGCCTCAAATTCAAATGTCTTGTGACGGAGTGCGAGCATATATGTAAGACTTACTCCAGTTATCGCTACCACCTCAAGTCCAAACACCCCAAAGAGGGGGATGATTCGTTGTTTTGCCCGGAAGAGGGGTGTTCGTATTCAAAGGAGAAGGGGAAAAGGATGTCATCGGCTTTGGCGCTCCGTCGGCATATCGCTGCGTTCCACGCCTAGCGTGAAGATATTTAGTTGAAGGCGGGATAGCCTGAGAGAGTTGCAACTGTTCTGCAGCAGGTATTCACTTCATGCTCGGAGGATGATACGAATTTAACGTCAACTTCCGGAGTCCCGTTATAAGGACAATCAAATACTCGTATACTCATTCCGTTCAATTTTGTGTTGTCGGTGCGGTATTGCACATCGTTAGGAATAACTAGGATAACTATTTTCTGCTCAAATCTTGATAGCTTTAAGGACTCGAACGAGTAAAAGAACTCTACGGACCAGCGCAGGTCGAACTTGGGGCCGGGCTAGCTCAATCGGTAGAGCGTGCGGCTCTTAAGATCACAACTTCTAGTGACCGCAAGGTTGCGGGTTCGACCCCCGCGTTCGGCTTTGCTTCTGTTTCGCTTTTTATCTCCGCCAGTATCATTGATTTTGCTTTATTATAAAACATTTGCTGTTCTTTCATCACAGTAGGTTCTTTATAACTTTAATATTATTGATCTTTTTTAATTAACTAAAGCAATGTTAAAAATAATAAATTAGAAATAATAAAAGATTAATTTTTTTTTTGTTTGTAAAGATATAAAGTATAATGTATTCGATCAATGAGCGGATAGTTCTCCCATCTCAAATCCAGTCCAATTGCGGAATTAAGCAACCTCCAAACTAGAATTTCTCATATAATTTATATAGATAGATCTATTTCTTAGATCTGTTGGCAGGTTCTAGCAGTATGATCAACTAACTACATTACACTTGCTGCAGCGTGGTGGAGCTCGATTTCTAGGCGGCTGGTTCGAATCCTCTAACCCCCCTTGTACAGCTTGATCAATTGCTTGAGGCCTAGCTATTCCTTCCTCAGCTGTTTGAGCTCCATACTGAGCTATAAACATATGAGCTTGCTAGGGCTTGCTCCTTCTTGCGCTTTTTCTTCTCAACCTGCAGCTCTCAGCTCTTTATTTTTCTTTGCTAAAATAGCAGCACTATACGTGGCCAGCTGGCATCTCTTAATCGACTGATAAAGACTCGATTGGTCGAAACTGTACAGCAGCTCCATACACTGCTTGATCTTGCTGCTTTGAAGTTCTAACTGCCTCACATTCTTAGGCATTTGAGGAGTATAGAATGACTCAGATCCATGAGAAGTGTCTGAGAGTAGGAGTATGAAGCTGAGTATGTAGATGTGTAAAAAAATCTCATTCGGCTCATACAGTACTAGACCTGTGCCTTTAAATCCATTCTTAATAGTAGAGTTCTTGAATGCCTCCTGTCTGGCTGCAGGATGGAGTGCTTGTTGATATGATTGATCCCTAATCTCATGCAATCCTCAGCCCTTCATCCGTACACTCATTTTAAGGATTCAAAGCAGCTCACACCTAGTGGCTGCAGCAGATGAGATGAATGAGCTGGCATATAGAGAGGTATAATAGACCTCTCTGTGAAGTACTGATCAAATTCAGGCATGCTGTGACTGTCATGTCCCTTCATAATAAACAGCCCATATCTGTGCCAATCTTACGAGCGTGTGCTCCTCAAAGATCTCCTTGAGCTAGAATACCCAGCTTATCCGTGGGTCCAGCCATTTTCACTCTCGTGTGATCTTAGGATCTTCACATCAAACCCACTCGTAGTTGTATATGCGTGAGAATCTGGTCTTTAGTTCCTGTGGAATTAGGAACATTAAATGATTCCGCAGCAGCAGCATATTTGGATGAGATTTGCCTGGCTTTATAGAGAATAGGAGCCTTCCTTCTTGATTAGAAGCTTGATCTTTTGATTTAGGGGGCATGTTGAATGGTATGATTTGAGGAGGAAGCTTATCGATCACGTTAAACTTAGTTAATGCTTACTAAAACAGGATACGTCACGTGAGTTAGTGATCCTTCAGGTAAGTTCTGATAAAATTATATAAAGTTTAGAATAAAAACTGCTAACCATTGCATAGCTAACTGTTTATTGAAAGAAAAAAAATAAACAAACTCAACCACTCCTTTCAACTCATTGGAAACACAGCAAATATGAACCCAACCTCATTCTGCTCTTCTTCATCACTAATCACTGCTTCACACCATCTTCATCCAGTCAACTTGCTCAGCATATCACCTCTACACCATGCTTGCCTCAATAGCGCTCACACCAAGCCCAGTTTTTCTGACTGTCATAACGGCACGATGTGCTGGGGGGGCAAGTGGCCTGAATTTCCCATTTCAGGCCTTGTCCACGGTTGACACAGACAAGAACATATGGGTATCTATTCACACAGGGAGTAGTAATCAGTCATCTGTCATGTCTCAAAAGAGTATGCTATCACATACCGCTGCCCATCGCTGAAGCTGCAGGTAACACGGCCAGATCCTGAGCAGCTAGCCCCAGGTTTGGAAGTGATGCTTGGGCCATTATCAGGTTCGACAGCGACGATCGGGACATCATCAGGCTGAGCCAGGGGAGAAGCGGCGGCTAGACCGGCGATAGTAAGGAGGAGAGAGGCAACAATGGTGATCTTCATTTTGATATGTTAAACGTGGACTTGAGGAATGAAACGATGGATATACCGAAGATTTCTGCTGCTATATTATTCAGTTCAAGGTTGAAGGATGAAATGATATGGATCATTCTAAAACCAGAATAAGAGGTTAATGATCGCCTTTTTATATCCAAATTTTCTGAAGCCATCAGTTAGTGTCTCTCTACCAGAAATCTTGTCAACTTCAGAAATTGTAACTAAAACCCCTGAGCTCGAGTGCAACCTGAGATTGTCATTTTCATTTTCATTTTATTTCTTTTGCGGGTCGTGGATTAAAAATTGGGTTAAAGTGGCCGAAAACCGGGATCCCCAGGTGCCTTTTAGGTGGAAGAGCCTAATATAACTACGGGATGCGCATGCCTGAGGCGGCTTACACCCTGTTCAGCTAGGAAGCGGGCCGAGCAGGGGCCCCTTAAAAATTCCGGAGATATGGCTTCAACCCCCGAAGCTTACCCAGGTGCGTTTTACGGGTCGGGAAGACACCATTAACTATCAAACTGCAGGTTATCAATTAGAACTTAAAATAGGAGTGTTGAATAACAATTGCGCACTCCAGCTTCCCTTCAGAGGGTTTTTTGTATTATTTTGATTCGGCTACTCTTTTCCTTGTAAAATTCCTACCTATTAAGCACGTACGCCCAGGGTATTCTTCGTAATTTCGACTTCACGAGCACAACTATTCGTGCCAGCACTCACTACTCTCACAGTTTACTTTTTGCAACTAATTCTGATTCTCCCCATTTTCTTGAGCACGTTGCTAGTTTATATAGCTAGTTATTAGAACATGATTCAAATGAGACCACTTCGTAAACTACCTACCGTTCGGATCAAAGGTCTGATAAGAAGAGACCCTCGAATCAAGATAACTACCCGTTCACTGTAACTACAGCACATCTCATCTTGTAGTTAAAAGTCAAGCTGACACCCGAGTCTAGTTCTAGCAAACTAACCACCTCATCGAGTAAGACTGAGGCTATGAAGTAAATGAAGCTGTAAGGATATCTCAATTTCAGTAAGCCAGCCTAGCAGTCAACACAGATTGCTCCGTGATAAGTTCTAGTCTTAATCCCGGTTCATAATAATATCTAGGTAAGAATTGGCGGAGATTTTCGAATGAAACTATTAGTTGTAAATATGTTCACCGCCCGACAACTTGAATGCAAAACTAGCGTTAATATATGACTGAATGTAAGAAAAGAAATGCGCTCACGGTCAGAAGTTGTGCTTACAGATATACTGAGCTCTCATAATGCATCTGGAAGCTCAGGGATCTTGTCTCCAAGCTCCACAAAAGCCATAGTTACGGTCCGCCCCTGTCAAACAGCAACCGCAACAACCAGTTTCCGACCAAAATATCTCCGGGTCTGAAAACATATCTTTGAATGAGACCCCAGTAATAAAATAGTGATCAAATGTAACATCTGAATGTGCCCTTCCCACCACATCCATAGAGATGTCGCGCGCTGGGATTCCGATTGGTCGGACCGTGGAATGAGGCAACATCAGGCCTTTTCCTGGCCCGCCCCGCCTATAGCCGCTTTCACCAATCTGTCCTAGAGTAATACGCTGTTTATGTCCGTAGGGTGAAAACACATGCAGTTGGGTGGAAGGACGGAAGAAGCCCCTCGCTCCATGGGAAAATGTTAACTAACCGGGCCTGTTATTACAGAGCCAGTTCTACGCCATCACAACATTACCCTTTTCAGCCTAGTGGCCTTACATTGTCAAGTAGTCTGGACGGGGCTTGTTCTACGCCGTCACAGAGGCCTTCAAAGACGCTGGGCCAGAGTGAGTTCTATCTCAATGCTAGGTTAGTTTACACAATCCAAGATATTGAGGGAAAAAAGGAAATAAATAGCTCCAAGTCATTTCCTCCTCCATTAGGCTCCCTGACATGAAATGGCGTTGCAGAAAAAATATATAGTTCCGACATTCCCTTGTTTCGAACCCACGGCCACTTGCCTGCACAAAATATCAACTCACACATCGTAGAAACTGGAGGCCACTTATATTGATTGGAAAAAGAGGGAAAATGTAAAGCATTAAAGCATCAAGGATCGGTAAGGATAAAAAAAAAACCTGTAGCTTCTCTTTGATTGAGCGTGTCATCCTTAGTGCAGGGGCCATGCTAATCTTCTCTGTATCGTTTCAAAATTGACCAAATGCCCGAAGGCAATAGAGACAGCTTTCAAGTGCATTATATATGATATTTTATTAGTCATCAAAGGATCAACCAAGAGGCGCTACATATTCTCCTGATGGCCTCAGCTTGACAACTGGTGGCTCTTCTGCCTCTGATAACAACCTTTTGCAGATTCAACTTCAATTTTGGAGGAACCATCAAGCAAGGTGAGTTCACAGAGGATACTCTCATTTCAATTAATTTTTAATTACTATTCATATCATCATTGATTTTTATTTATTAGTGAAAACAGACTGAAAAACACACAGCTCCCCTCCTCAACGTCTCCAACTAATATAAAGAAAAGGCAAAATGCCTTCAAATTTCAGAAAAATGCAAGCTCGCTTCTTCTAGTACCAATGCGGTACAGGAAATTCTCCCGTTTCAAGCAAATAAAGCGGTATATTCATATATCAAATTCCCGTGAGGCACGCCGACCAGAAGCTCAAAATAAGGATTGGTGGTATAAGGTAGAGTAAATGCTTTGGACGAAGTCAACACACCTATAAAATGCCTAATAAACCAATTCCACGGGGTTATAAGATATTTGGCCTAGCAGAACATGGGTATATATGGACTTTTTCCTGGTCTAGCCGCCGGCAGGGTATAATGCCTATGTATCAATTCCCAGGAATTACAAGAACAGGATCTATGGTGATGAATCTCCTTCAACAGCTTCCTACAGTCCCTATATTGACTGCTGGGCTGTCTACTGAGTCAGTTATCAAATCCTTCATCAAATCACCCATGGAGCCACCTGCTGAGCCTGTCATTGAATCCTCTATAAGCAATGAAAATCCTGTCATTCAGCAAGTAACTCCTTACTCAGTTTACCTTGACAATTACTTTACCTCCATTTGCTTTATTCAAGTTACTACGTGAGAAGGGATATGGTGCTTGTGGAACTACTCAACCAAATCAGGCTCCATCTCTTCTATCTGAACTTAGAGATCATACGGCAGCTATTTCATGGAATACTCTGCATGCCATTGAGAATGAGAATGTTCTCTGTCTTGCCTGGCAAGATAATAATATGGTATTAGCACTGACTACAATCCTTTCATTGGACACCTTTATTGAGTGTACTCGAAAGCGGCCTGGAGAGCTCTCAACAAATGCTAAAATTGTACGGAAGATCTTTGAAGGTCAGCCACAAAAGAGATTAAAAATTCCTGCCATTATAGATGATTACAATCATAATATGAATGGGGTGGACCTAGCAAATCAATACCGCGCAGCATATACCAGCCATAGAATCACCTATCGAACCTGGCTCCCTATTTTCTACTGGCTTATTGACTCTGCAGCAGTTAATGCCTATAGGCTTCAATATATATAAGAAGCAGCAGGGTAGGACCTGCCTTCTCATATAAGCTTTCATGAGCGGCTTTACCAACAAATTTTTGAATTCACACCTAAGATCCATGACTACCTTCCACCTCAATGATCGAATCCTGCTCTAAATCATCAACGGATTGCTTTACCAAAGCAATCAGTTTGTGTCTGGTGTCGGTATAAACGAAAGCTAGGTCGGCAACAACATAAACAGACACCAAGATCATATTCTGGTTGCTCAGCATGTCAAAATATGCATCTCTGTTTGAAAACTCAATGTTGAGAGGAATTCCATGAGATCACCCAATCTAGTAGTTGACAACCGCAAATCCTCAATTAGAGCCTTATAAACTATATTAATACACGCTAACACCAAAATTACCTTGATTATTCAATGAGAAATCATAACGTAATCAATAAGCGAGTCGGCCACATAAGCATCTGATTCTCCACCTGTTGTCTGTACACTGTTTTCAGAGGGAAGAAGCAGCCAACATCCAATGGCTGGAGAAGATGAGAGGAATGAGGTGGCATATAGAGAGCAATGATCTGATTCTCAGAGCAGAATTGATCAAATTCAGCAGAGGCATGGCTTCTATGCCAGTCCAGAATCAACAGTCAGTGTGTACCCTTTGTATGGGGTAGAATCTTCTTGTTGAACATCTCTTTCAGTCAGTACAAGCCCAGCTGGTCATTTGTCCAGTCATTCTCACTGACTTCAATCACTCAATCCCTGGGCAGTCCCTCAGTCTCATACCAACAGGACTGATGCATCTTTCCTTGAGAATAATCATTGTATGCAGAGCCCAGCCAGAGACATTGACTCCAGCAATGACAGTCACCCATTCCTGATCTTCAGGCTGTACAAGCTTGGGATTCCTGGCTCTTTCAGACTCAGTAATCACTCTGGCAGTCTCAATAACCCCCATCTGAAATCCAGTCTCATCAAAGTTGTAGATATCATCTTTCAGAATCCCATACTTTGCAATGGTGTTTTGTATAAGTCTAAACCATCCACAGATAATCTCAGGATCCTCACATAGTGCACATTGATGGTCATACTTGCAGGAGAACTTGGATTTCAGCTCTTCATGATGTTTGACAAAGTTTCATACCCAGCATTCACCCACTGTGGGTGGGGGGTTGAATCCCCAACTGGTAAGGAGGAGATTGGCCATTTCTCATACAGCTGCAACCTGGGGTGGCTGACCTTGCTCATACATGGCCAGAATCCATTGAACAAGAGATTCTTCCTCTGTAAGACTAAGTTTCTGATTCTTTGAGAAAGTGTTAACACATGCTGTATGACCATGTATCTGATCACCTAAAGGTGGAATGTGGAACATCATACAGCTTTGCTGCAGCTCATACACTTGAAATTTGACCATTTTTAAATGCTTGAATGGCTAAAAGAAGCCTTTCTTCCTGAGTAAAGACTTTATTTCTTTGTGTGGTTGGCATTTTTGATGATAAAGATGTTGTTCTCAGATGAGATGAGATGAAAAGTGGCCGACTTGCTTGTGTGGCCAACTCACTTATTGATTACGTTAACTATAACTAACTATTAGTTAATATACACTAATTGACACCGCGCTAACTGAGCAAGAACTTACGGACGAAGGTGATATTAACTAACTAACTAACTATAGTTAGTTAGTTAACTAACACACTAGTTTACATGCAGTTGGGTGACTAATCCAACCCGTGAACATGTGATTCGTTTGGATCTAGAAACATCCCTGGAGCCAAACTCTCTTACTTTCACAACATCAACAACTCTTCGCTGACCCCCTCTACCCTGACCTCTCCCTCTCGACCCAGTCCTTCAATTGGGTCGAGCATCACAGTCCTTCATTTAGTCCTTCGTTAAGTCCTTCGTTAGATCTCTGGTTTGGTTTACTAGTGAGTCTCGGATCCCTTAACCTCCATTCTCACTTTACGTGGGTTCGACCACCGCCCCTTGTCCCTGCAAGTTATCATGAGCTCCCAGAGCTTCAAATCCTCAGCTTGCCGGAAGGACAGGGTCTTTTCACGGCGAGAGATTGAAGGCCTCATAGCAGATGGCAGGCACATCATAATACTGGAGGGGAAGGTGTTGATGGTAGACGCCTGGATAAAGTTCCATCCTGGCGGAGACAAGTCTATTATGCACATGGTTGGGAGAGATGCTACAGATGAGGTTACTGCGTATGGATATACACCTCTCCCACTCGATTTAAATGCAATCTTTGCTGTCATTAAAACCCTGTGGATTGAAATTGACTGTCCTCCATGTAGCCTGCATTCTCCAGAAGCCCTCCAACGGATGGATTCATTTCAGATTGGTCGCTATGAAGGGCGCTGGTTGAATTTCCTTCCTCCTATTCAGGGTGGAAAATTTCTCCCATACCACGGAAAGGAGTCTGACATCTGTGAGGCCCCCCGTGAGGATTTGTCAGAGCCGGATATCACTGAACCCCCGTCGCCCATATTCGAACCTGTCGAGGGCATATCTAGACTCAGGGGACCAGCATCCTCCATATCCTCCGTATCATCGAATTCTCCCATCGAGCTGCCCGATCCTAAACGGGACTCGAGACCACTCTTCCTAGATGCACGCACCCAGCAGGAAATAGTCATTGATCTCGCGAAATATCCTCCTCTTGATACCAAAACTCAAGATTTCATCGTAGAAAAATACCGCGCTCTCCACGAGCAAGTCAAAGCCGAAGGTCTCTACAACTGCAACTACTTTGCATATTTAATCGAACTCTCTCGCTGCACGCTTCTCGGAGCCTTGTCGCTCTACTTTCTTTTCCGCGGCTGGTACGCAACTTCTGGTCTCTTCCTAGGGCTTATGTGGCACCAGCTCGTCTTCACCGCCCACGACGCTGGCCACATGGGTATAACCCACAACTTCCATCTGGACACGGTCCTCGGTATCATCGTCGCTGACTTCATCGGCGGCCTAAGTCTTGGCTGGTGGAAACGTAACCACAACGTCCACCACATCGTCACCAACTCCCCGGAACACGACCCGGACATCGAACATATGCCATTCTTCGCCATCTCACACCGCTTTTTCGACGGCCTCCGCTCCACCTACTACGATCGCATCATGGCCTACGATGCCGTCGCCAAATTCCTCGTCCGCTATCAGCACTTCCTCTACTACCCCGTACTGGCCTTCGGCCGCTTCAACCTCTACCGCCTCAGCTGGGAATACCTTCTGCGAGGACAAGCTCCCCAAAGAGGTCCCGCCTGGTGGCACCGCTGGTTCGAAATCGCTGGCCAACTCTTTTTCTGGACCTGGTTTGGCTACGGCGTCATCTACCTTAACATACCAGACTGGCCCAACCGGCTCCTGTTCATCCTTGTCAGCCATTCCATCACCATGCCACTACATGTGCAAATTACCCTATCTCATTTTGCCATGTCCACTGCCGACCTAGGCGTGCACGAGTCCTTCCCGCAAAAGATGCTCCGGACAACAATGGACGTTGATTGTCCGCAGTGGCTGGACTTTTTCCACGGGGGGTTGCAATTTCAGGCCGTTCATCATTTGTTTCCGAGGATGCCAAGACATAATTTGCGCAGGTCGCAAAAGCTGGTTATGCAGTTCTGCAAGGAAGTGAAAGTTCCTTATGCTATTTTCACTTTTTTCGACGGGAATAAGGAGGTTATAGGGCGATTAGGGGATGTAGCGAAACAGGCTAGACTATTGGCTGAATGTCAGCGGAGAATTGCTGAACAAGGCGGTGCTGGTCATGCCCATACCCATTAGTCGAGCTCTCGTTTCGCCGGAAGGATCTATCCTTGCTTTCGACGTTGAACACCCCCTGTAACTGTCAGACCTTTTTAAGGCGGATTTATATATCTTTTAAATTTCCTTGAGTTGCCATGTAATTTCCACCGCTTGGTGTAGGTCTTTCTGGATATGAGCATCTCCTTTCCAGTTCTCTCAGTTTTCTCCTGTCTTTCGACTCTTGTGTGCTAGTACTATACAATGCAACGGCGTGTAACATTAACTATTATATGCGGGAGTGTACATACGAATTTAGATACGATGATATATAACGAAAAGGCACAAAACAAATCTCAAAAAGAAATAAAAAACTAAAAAAATAACCAAAAGTGTATTTATTTTTAGATTCGTCAACAGGTCACGGTGAGGTCTCACCAAGTCCAGTCATTCATTCATCCAATTGGATATCTACTCGCAGGCGTTTTCATCCAGGCTAAGCTTCTAATAATCAATATCAAAATATTCATTAACCTATTTCACACCAAAGCTCAAGCAATCCGTCACAGGCCACCTCTCGCCATTTTCTTCGCCCTTTGGTTCCGTCGATTATGGTTCGCCCGACTCGCCTTATTCGCATCCTTCCGTTGCCTCGCCACCGCAGTCCCCCGACCGCCAGGGTAAACATCTGCATTTCCACCATCACCACCATCGCCGCCGCCGCCGCGGCGACCCCCTCCCCTCCGTCCACTTCCCCGCCATAGACCCCTGCCACGACCCCCATGCCCGCCACCACCATCGGTCTCCTCCCCTTCTGTCCCTGTTCCATCCGGGGAGTCCGTGTTAATCGGCCTCCTGTACGCCGTCGACGCAAGCTCCGGCTGCCAACTCTCCCTGCCGCCCGGGCCAGCGCCAAGAGCGAAGCTACGCTCCATCCGCGCCATCCGCTTTGGGTCGCGGGATAACATCACCGCCCACCCTTCAATCGCCTCATCGGTCATTCCCGTTTCCCTGCGCAGATTGGCGCGCGGCGTCGAGCGGCGAGTGGCCGCTTCGCGGGCAAACACGGCTTGGTTGGTTGTATAATGGGTGAAGAGAATGTAGTCGGTGTCGCGTTCACCCTGAGTTCGACGAAAGGGTGCAGTTTCGACGTCTTCGTCGGGTGGAACTGCGTCAACCGTTCCGCCGACGTCGGCGACGTCATATGTGTCGTCGCGCTCGTCATCGTCGGAGTCGAAGGCGGCCAGCGCGGAGAGGATGGCGGCTTTGTTGACTGATTTGCTGGAAGTGGCGAGGAGGGTGTCAGCGGTTACGTTGGGGTTTGCGCGGCCGTAGTGTAGCTTTGAGGCCGGGATGGTTTGGCGGGTCAGCTCATCGTTGTCGAAAATATTTTTGCGCTGGGGGATTGTGGAGGGTGGAAGTGTTGTTGGTGATGGAAGTGGGGATAGATATGGCAACAGTGGTGGTGTGGGCTTTGGTGCAAGGTTGTGGTGGGGAACAAGGTAGTCCTGAAGTTCCTCGGAGGGATCGAGGTCTCGAAGTTGTGGAGCCAGTGAATCCTCAATTAGATGAGAGATAACGATTTCGACGTCGTCCTCGTAGGAACCAAGGAGCTTGGCAATGTACCCCGTCCCCAGGTGCGGGAATAAGTCTTGAACTTGAGTTATCAAAGCCATTTTATGGACGTGCATGATTTGGTCCCCGCGTTCGGGCTTAATTTCTTTTTCACGGCCTTTTCCTTTACCCTGTCTTCTTTTAACACGCTGATACCGGCTATGGAGAGAGCTGCATTCAGCCTGGTACTGGCGGAGCAACACCACGAGATGTTGTCCTCGCTTTGGGCCCTCGCGGGCAAACACCCTTTCCATTTTTGCCAGTAAATTTGTACTGCACATTATGTCCGACAACAACGTCGGTTCCCTCTTGGTTCCCTTCTCATCCATCTTGGCAGCAGATTTCAGACTGAAAAGCTGATCTAACAACAGAGAAGTCGCAGGAGGATCCACTTTCAGCAACGAGGTAAAAGAGACATAAGCATTAGCCACAATGGTCTTATTGAGAGATACATTTATCTTATGAGTGCTTTGATAGGCATCAAATAATGCATCGATATAATCAGAGCCAGTCATTAGAACATGGCCGATCTGGGGAACTGTCAGGGCCAGTATTGTCAGAAGGCGCAGATGATTGTTCGCTCTTGTTATACTGTCTGTGGCCTTGGACGATAAAGATAGAGCATTCATAACCAAAAATTTCCCTTTTTCGATGCTGGCAGTAAGCGCCTGCGATTCTTGCATCCACAGCTGTGCTAAGAGTTGCTTTGTTGCGGGACTAGAAATATACACCTGACAGAAGGATGCAAGAAACTCCCAATCTAGAAGCTCAGGAGTCGGCGGACGAACCTGCAACAGATGTCTGCCTGTAAGAAGAAAACAAAGGCGTCTCAAACTTTTCATCTTCACGTCGGCATCAAGACCGCGGGGGATTGAAAGCCCTCCAACTGCCGCCTCCCGGAAAAAGGAGGCCAGGAACACACGGGCTGAATCATCTTTGGGTGTTGATGATTGAACTTCATCCAGGGGAGTCTTCAAGCGCAATTCAAGCAACGTAATCCAGGCATCTAGACACGCCCCCCATTCCTCATTCTGAATGAGGTTCCGAACTGCAGGCGGGGGAAAGGGGGCGAGGGGTGGAAGAGGGTCGTGTGCCATATTCAATTTAGATAATTTCCCCCCCTTAGAACACCACCCATGCACGCAAGGAGAGGGGAAGGCGAAACCGAATATGTTTTGTTCCTCAGGAGAGGGAATATATTATATATGTTGATATGTTACTCCGTAACCATGAAATAGTTGTTTGATTTGTCGAATCAAAAGTTGAAAGGTCAAAGTTGGATTAAAGTCATGATTAGTCAGTCATCGTCCTCGGCTTATCTAAGCGAGTGCCAAGAACTTTCTCCCCACAATTCTCCCACTTGATCAAAAATAAAATATTCTCGGATTATTCCAACTTCAAACAATCCCCGAGTGTCCATAGCACAGCAGCAGCCGCAGCAGCCGCAGCCTTTCATCACCTTACCGAACTCCCATTGTTCAGGTCTTGATTGGCATCCCGCTGATAAAGTAACTGTGCGTTTAGCCCCGAAATTACACATTGCCTTCACACGACTCCACTGACACCAGCTAACGCCATCCAGCAACCACCCCGTCACCATGTCGTTCCAGAAGCCCGAGAAAGACTTTTCAGAGGGTCCTGTACGTGCCTCCGTACCTCCATATTCACCTAACCCGTATCCGCATTTCAAAAGCTAACTCCCAAAACAGAAGATCCACAAGATCCGTATCACTCTCACCTCGCGCAAGGTCGCCTCGCTCGAAAAGGTGTGCCAGGAACTCATCGACCGTGCCCGCAGCAAGTCGCTCAACGTCAAGGGCCCCGTCAGACTGCCCACCAAGACCTTGAAGATCTCCACCCGTAAAACCCCTAACGGTGAGGGTAGCAAGACCTGGGATATGTATGAGATGCGTATTCACAAGCGGTTGATCGAGTGAGTTTTTCAACCCTTGTTTTATCAGCTGAGCATCTGGTTGGGCTTGTTTTTGAGGAGTGGGAATTGGAATTGGGAAAGCTAATACATGGATCCAAGTTTGCACGCCCCCACCGAAACCGTCAAGCAGATCATCATCAACATTGAGGCTGGTGTTGAGGTTGAGGTTACCATTGCCGCATAAATGTGTAGTCTATGGTCCGTCCCAACAAGCGGGCTGGCTGTTACCCGTAGTAGGGGACGGTTGATGTGGATTCGGGCAGGAATGATTTACTGAGTGTGATGTTTGATACCGGAACTCTTTTCTTCGAAAGGAATGGAGTCTTGGTAGAGTGAAAAAGGGCGCCCTTGCTTGTCCGTCTGTCTGGATGAGGAGGCACCACTTGTTAACGCAAATGTAAATACATATAGCCCTTGATCCACGAAAGGTAAACCAAAAAAAAAAAAAAAAAAATCAAAGGTTCAAACTTGCATACATCCACATGCAATATGTACGTTTCTTCTTCGCTGTACTCTTGAGTGTCTTATCGTAGTACAAATAAAAAGAATGCGAAATATGGCCGGTGATATGAAGCTGAAGTCTTGCGGATTAAAAAATTCCGTTAACTTTGTCTGCCGCCATTTTTACGAAGCGCATGGGTTCTGCCATCTATTATAAATTGATTGTCAATAAGAATAAGTAATGAGAAATATTTTCGAAGAACCTGGCTCGTATAACTATGTGTTAACGAGAAAAATGTAGTGTTCGCCGCAACTTTTTGACCGTTCCATGTGCATCCAAGTACAAAACTAGCTATTTGCGAGCGTCAACGAACTCGTATGTAAACCAAAAACATCACTTCCCGAAAAATTGATACAGATTTACTAAGTTCACCTCCCTCTCCCTCCCAGAATATTTATACATGCCATATACAACACCTTCCATTCCACCCCTAAAAATCAAATCCACACCACTCTGCCTTGGGTGGTACCTCCGGCACAAGCACCCCCTCCCCAAACCCCCGCTTCTCCCTCACAGCCCGGTAAACGGCCTCAATCTCCGACGTATATTCCTCTGGCCTTCCCACAGCATCCCTCAGCATCTCCGGCTGAGGTGGGCCATCGGGAAAGTAAATCCGCACAAACGTCCCCGCATCATTTGGATGTTGGTAGCAGGGTTCGTCGTTTATGTATTTTACAACCTGGCCTTTCCAGGAGATGAGTTTTTTGGTCACGGGGTCCCGGCGGGTTTCGCCTTGGAGAAAAGGGAGCGGGGAGAGGTGTGATTTTGCTTTTTGGGGGAGGGGGATGTCGGCACCGGTGCCGGTGCTGATGGATTGTGTGGAGGATGTTGGCGGGGCGGAAAAAGGGTTTGGTTGCGTTGTGGGTTGGGCGGGAGCGCTTAGGGTAAAAGGGGAGGGTTGAGTAAGTGAACTTTGAGGTTGATGTTGGACCTGGCCGAAGGGCGTTTGTTGCTGTTGCGACTGTGGTGAGCCAAATGCATTTTGTTGCTGTGGCTGCAGTTGACCGAATGGTGATGCCTGTAAAGGCTGGGATGATGGCTGGCCAAATGGATTAGGCTGTTGCTGTTGCTGGTTTTGCGGTTGCATCTGGGCAAAGGAGGAGGGGGCTGGTCTGCCAAAGGGGTTCGACTGAGTTTGTGATTGTGCTGCTTGGGCAAAGGGCGACTGGCCAAATGCTGGCGCTGGTGTGGAGGGCTGCCCAAAGGCGGGGGTAGGTTGCGAGCCTCCCAATGCCGATGGCTGGCCGAAGGCAGAAGGTTGACCAAATGACGGCTTTCCGAATGTTGGTTGCTGTCCAATTACAGCAGACTGGCCGAAAGGTGAAGGGGTGACTGATGGCTGTCCTCCTGACAGGCCGAATGCAGACGTTTGACCGAATGCCGGCGCTGCCATCGCCGTAGTTGAAAATTTTGAGAATGCAGAGGGCTGGCCGAACGGTGCTGACGGGGGCCCCATCTTCCCTTGAATGATATCGATACGGTTTGGGTGCGTGTTCTCTCCCTCTAAAATGTATCTGATGGCCCCTTCAGTATCGTTCAGGATGGTCTGCATCTGAGCTTCTGTCTCAGCGTAGAGCTTCATCGCATCTTGCATTGCTTGTTGAGGGTTTCCAGCTGCCGCGGCGGCATAATGTATCGCTCGCATTTCCTCAAAACTCAGCTCCCGTTCAGGGCCTCCAAAAAGCTGTCTTGGGGCATTTTTCCCCGGCCCGTAGCATGAGAAGATCCATTCCGGCCTCCCTTTTCCAGGGGTAAGGTCTGATTTGATGTCCTCGGGATTCAGCCCGTACCTAGTCCGTAGATGTTTAATAGCCGTATTGCAATAGAACACGAGCAATGTAAAACGTAATTAGTCAACTTACTTGTTATCCTTGATGTCGTCCTTGAGTCCACCTAGAATAGGAGAACTGTTAATATCCTGCATCGCCATTCCCAAAGCAGAAACCAAGACAGCCATAAATAGCCGATATTCCAAAAAAAAAAAAAAAAAAAAAAAAAAAAAACACTGCTTGGGCAGCTAGTTTTCGACTCAACTACACCAAAAAGCTTGCAGTGGGGTAATATAAATGCTTGATATCATATCCAACAGAATCTCAATCGGAGCTGAAGCAAAGAATCAAAGAACAACACGAGGAGTATGACGGGATATGAGGAGTTTTCAAGACAACTCCATTCGTGCGTCTATCCATTCATCTCATCTACTCTCTTTCCAGAGAATGAAGACGTGTTTTGGGCATCAACACCTCTCAGTACACGGGAGCCCAGCAGCCAGAGAATGTGTCAAAAGAGGGGCAGTGAAGAGCGAGGGACGAGGACTCGACACACGATCCCTACGAAATTATAATAATCCAATGGCACAGCTACATACCTCCAAAAGCCCCCGAGGTATATCCCACGCTTGACCCGCCAGCTTGCTGGAACACGCCAAAGCGATTGCCCCCAAACGGCGACGCAGACTGAGCACCCGGATGCTCGTTCTTGCATCGATCTGATATCCAAATCAGCAACTCTCATGTGCTAGTGAATCAGGGAACATAAGCAAGTCTAGAAGCCAAATCTCACCGCCAAATTTGCATCTGCCTTGTTGGTAGAAGATGCAGACAACCATGGTGACGTTTTTGCTTAATTCAAGGAACAAAAAGAACAAGCACAAAAAAAAAAAAAAAAAAAAAAAAAGGTACAGTGTTTAATCAGGAAATTTTTGACATAAAATGAACAGCTTTCCTGTCACCAGGAAAAACTCGGTTCTTGAATATGCTCATCCGTATTCGTTATTGCTGAGAACAATACGACATGGGGGAGTGATGGTTTGTTGCGTTTGATATCGAGTGGACGCTCAACGAAGAGAGGGGTTTACCGAGTGGTTAGAGTATTAGGTGGAGTGATGTTTGGAGAGTAACTATAATATTATTGGGTATAAGATAACATGTCAGAGCTATTACGGTGTGGGATTGTGATGTGATGGGTGCCTTTGATACATGGATAGAGAGGAAGAGAGGATGGCTGGAACTGTTGGACGTTTGGTGTTTGATTTTCCTCGGCTCATTCGAGTCCAAGTCGCTCAACTCAACGCAACTCGACACCAGAGAGGGTTGTCCTCCGTAGGTAAGTAACTGTATCTCAACCTACAAAGTGAAATATATATATATATATATATGTCTGTTGATCGCAATGAAATTTCAGTTGTATTTTTTTTTTAAATTAATAGATGCCTTTAAACAAGAAACGATTAGATTTTATTCGATTCTAATCTCACCGAGCGTATGATTATCCAAGCTTCCCTTTGTAGGAAGCCGTCCTTCAAACCATATGAGGGTAGAGGAATCAGGCGCAACACCCACAACCAATCCCTGTCCTATCTGTTTAATAAACCATTCATTTGAAAAATCCATTCCATTCATGCCCACAAAGGACAACGATAACGCCAACCGCCCCTATGCGCCTACCGCTGAATGCTGAAACAAAACTTCTATTACCACGCAGGGAGGGATAACATAACACCCACTCAACTACTTCCCGTCCCCAGCAAATGGCCCTCCCGAAAGCCGTTCCACAACTGCAAGTGACGACGCCGGCCGCAGATTCTTCTTCAGATCATCCCAATTCAAACCCTCAATTTTCCTCCCGCCCAAGGCCTCCAAATCTTCACTCAACTTCTCCAGCTGCCCCGTTGCCACCCGCCGCATCATAACCGTATCCTTTGCGCCCTGCAGATGCTTGGCTCTGCCTTCCAACAAACACTCTTCAAACCACTTCTCCTCCTCCTGGTCAAACGGTAGGTTAATGAGATCCATCGCGCGATTGGCTCGGGTTTCACCGGGTTTACTCGACAGGACAAAGATGATGAGTTGTTCGAGTAGGTCGCGGTGCAGCGCGTTGTCTTGTTTGCGGGCGAAGTAGAAAGACTCTGTGATGCGGGTTCGGCAGAGGAGGGCGAAGTAAGCGTTCAGAGCCTTGGGGGAAGCTAGTGGTGGAGAGACGGTGAGGTAGTATGCCGTTGCGAGACTGTCATCTTGTTTTTGTGGTGGGAGGGTTGCGAGGACATAGAGGATTTCGTCGGGAAATGTGGGGAGCAGGGAAGGAGAGGTTAGATACTCCAGTGCTCTCTGTTACAAGGTAATGTTAACATGCATCTAGAAGGGGTATTGTATAGATACAAAAAAATAAAGTCGCATATCAACGAACCCTAAACTCCAACCTGTCCAGATGCCACAAACCCTCGACGAAGAGTCTGTATTTCTCCGGAAGATAACATTGTCGCGCAAATTGCAGACTGACATCTCCACTGCCCATATTTCGGAAATCTCTAAGGATATAATATATCAACGCCTGTTTGTGATGGTTTGGAGAGGAGGAGGCGACGATTTGCGAATAGAGGCTGCGGACGGCTTGGTTGGTTTTCGGGGGGTAGACTTGTGAAGCTTTTCGCAATAACACAAAAGAAATTAGAGAGTTATTCTTGCCAATACCCGGAGGAACGGAAGAGGAATTGTTAGGTTATACCAGCATCAATCTGTAGAGCTTTCAGCAACCGGTCGACGAAGAGGATGTTCTCCAGCACTTGTCGGTTGGAGAGGATCTGGTCGTATGTTTTGGAATCATAGGAGACATCTCTCTTAAAGGAGAATGTGGAGTCGAAGTCCTCCCAGGGAGCCATGACGAATGCCGGGTTTTCTTGTTCACTGGATGCTTTTGCCTTGTGTGTGTGTGTGTGTGTGTGTGTGTGTGTGTGTGTGTGTGTGTGTGCCAGATGCAATCCCATTGACACTGCCCTGACTTAAAAAAGTAATTGAAGGGAACGTTTGATGCTTGGGATGACATAATCCGACGGCGCAGCTAGTTTAACTTAACTCTAAACTACTTTAATAGTTAGTTACTTAACTAGGTTAGTTAGTTAGTTAGTTAGTTAGTTAACTAACTTAGTTTTACTTACCTAAACAAGTTGACTAAACAGCTTGGTTGGTTGGTTAATTAATAGTTTAATAATGCAAATTTGGTTAAACATAAACATTCGCGTCCCTTTGAACAACAACAACAACCAACCACCCCCAAAAACGGAACCGGCGACAGAAAGAGCCGCAACGCCTTCAGCTCCAACGTCAACGGCACCAGGAGCCAAAAAAAAAAAAAAAAAAAAAAGGCAAGGGACACTGCTATACCACGACAAGTACAAGGACAAGGACAAGGACAACTCCTGCTTACAACAGGTACTACGACTACTGCTTCATAGCGTATACTCTTAACGTCCACAATGGCATCCGTAGCTGGTTCCAGACCGTCACGCCGCGCTTCCGCCCGCAAAAGTTTTGTCGTCGAAGAAAGCTCAGAAGACGATGCTGCGTCGTCCATGGGCCGAGTCACCCCAGCCCTATCGAGCCACGATGAACAGGAGGATGAGGAGGATGGAGAAGAGGAATTCACACCAGTTCCAAAGCGCACCGTTGCAAAAAGACCTTCAAGAAGACGAACTATAGCCAGTATCCCAGAAACCCCGCAAACTGCCATACAAAATAAGAATAGACGCATTCGAAGACCAAAATCGGGAGATGACGTCGAACAATCTCAGTTTCTAGATGAGGTGGATGAGTCTACCCTTCTAGCAGAAAACCCAGAGACACCTTCAAAGAGGCCAACCGCGCCTAGAAAGAGAAAGATGGAATCCACTCATCACCGCCGCGAAACTCGTATGTCCTCTTCTACATCTGCCATGTCATCCCTTCCAACTCCTGAACCTTCAGTTTCCCCAGACTCTCAGCCGCCTTCGCGCCGTCGTGAGAGCATTGCGCCACTGGCAGACATCACAGAAACTGCAGTCAACGAGGCTGAGGCAACGCCGCGACCACCCGAACCGGAGAGGTCGACGATTGAAATTATAAACCCCATGTCCACTACTCTTGAGAAACCAATGGACATCGTTCTCAAGTCACGGGCACTTGGTGTGCCAGCAGTCGAAGAACCATCAACTCCTAAGCCGCGAATGGTTATTACTCATCTCGTCATGACCAATTTCAAGAGTTATGCTGGCAGGCAGATCGTGGGTCCGTTCCATGTTTCTTTCTCGTCAGTTGTAGGGCCCAACGGATCTGGCAAGTCCAATGTTATCGACTCCCTCCTTTTCGTCTTTGGTTTCAGAGCTAGCAAAATGAGACAGGGGAAGATATCCGCACTCATCCACAATTCTGCCAACTTTCCCGATCTGCAATTCTGTGAAGTCGAGGTACACTTCGAGGAAATTATGGATCTCCCCGACGGAGGACATGAAGTTGTGCCGGACTCACAGCTCGTGGTTTCCCGGAGAGCATTCAAAAATAATTCCAGCAAGTATTACATGAACAGAAGGGAAACCAATTTCGCAACTGTTACGGGATTTTTGAAAGATCGAGGCATTGACCTTGATCATAAGCGTTTTCTCATTCTTCAAGGAGAGGTCGAGTCGATTGCTCAGATGAAGCCAAAAGCTGCCAACGAACACGACGACGGTCTGCTGGAATATCTGGAGGATATTATCGGAACATCCAAGTACAAAACTCCGATCGACGAGGCTGCTGCGGAGGTGGAGACTTTGAATGAAGTTTGCATCGAAAAAAATACCCGTGTCCAGCACGTCGAGAAAGAAAAGGATAGTCTCGAAGACAAGAAGCACAAAGCTCTTTCCTACATAAGGGACGAAAATGAGCTTGCGGAGAAACAGTCGGCGCTGTATCAAATCTACATCGACGAATGCAACGATAATACCCGTGTGACGGAAGAAGCTATATTGCAGATGCAAGAATTGCTGAATATGGAGCTGGAGAATCATCAAGGGAGTGAAGATGCCATCAAAGAGCTCCAGCGATCCTATAAACGTGGTGCCAAGGAGTATGAGCATATGGAGAAAACTACTCAGACGATGGTTAAGGAAATGGCCAAGTACGATAAAGAGATTGTCAAATTCGAAGAGAAACGCAAGTTTTTGATGGGGAAGCAGAAGAAACTCGAAAAGGCTATGCAAACTAGTCGCCTTGCTGGTTCCGAGTGCATGAGTCTTGTCGAGAAACACTCCGACGATATCGTGAAGAAAACTGCAGAAATCGCGGAACTGGAAAAGGAAATGCGCCGTGAGGAGAAAGAGCTCGCGGATGTCCGGGAAGGACTCAAAGGCAAGACACAAGGTCTTTCAGACCAAATTGCTGCTAAACAGAAATCGCTCGAACCCTGGATTGAAAAGATCAACGAGAAGCAATCTGCTGTTGCTGTTGCACAAAGTGAACTTGACATTCTGCGCGAGAAAAGCAACGCAGGCGCTGTTGCTTTGCGGGAAGCACAGGTGAAAATCGAGTCCATTGAAGAAATCCTGTCCAGCAAGAATACAGACCTGGAAAACCGCCGTGCTGAGAAGGCAGAGCTTGAAAACGATGCTATGCTTTTGGAAACGGAGTTACGAAAGTTTGGACAAAAAGAGCCTGAAATCCGCTCGAGGATATCCAGCGCGAGACAAAAGGCAGAGGAGGCTCGTGCAAGCCTTGTTAGTACGCAAAACCAGGGCAATGTTCTTGCAGGCTTGATGAGGCTGAAAGAATCTGGTCGAATCGAAGGGTTCTATGGCAGATTGGGGAATTTAGGGACAATCGATGAAAAGTATGATGTTGCTATTTCAACAGCCTGCCCCGCTCTTGACAATCTAGTGGTCGACTCGGTCGAGGTGGGCCAACAATGTATAGACTATCTGCGCAAAAATAATCTAGGTCGAGCCAATTTCATTCTCCTTGACCGATTGCCCCAGCGAGATATGTCCTCCGTCTTCACACCGGACAGTGTACCACGACTATTCGACCTTGTCAAGCCTATCGATCCAAAATTCAGACCAGCCTTCTTCAGTGTGCTACAAAATACTCTCGTCTCCAGGGATCTTGAGCATGCGAACAAAATCGCTTACGGTGCGAGAAGATGGCGAGTTGTCACCTTGGATGGACAACTTATTGACGTGTCTGGGACCATGAGTGGTGGAGGTACCCGTGTTGCCCGAGGAGGCATGTCCTCGAAGCCAGTCGCGGAAGTTTCCAAGGACCAAGTCTTGAAACTGGAAGCCGACCGTGACGAGATTGAAAGAAAATTTCAAGCATTCCAGGAGAAGCAAAGACAAATAGAAACATCGATAAAGGCGAAGAGGGATGAAATTCCAAAACTGGAAACCATGATTCAGAAAATTCAGCTAGAAATTGAAAGTACCACTCGAAACCTTGCGGATGCTCGGAAGCGTGTTCAGGAGTTGGCGGCAGAACACAAACCTTCTAAAACTGATGATGCTAGATCTGTGGCTCTTGAAAAACATAGATCCTCCTTGCAGAAAGAGATTGAGAAGCTACATGCTGAGACTGCGGGCGTTGAGGAAGAAATTCAAGCTCTCCAGAATAAGATTATGGAAGTCGGTGGTGTTAGACTCAGGAGCCAAAAGGCTAGAGTTGATGGCCTCAAGGAGCAGATTGATCTCCTCGCGGAGGAAGTGTCAAATGCCGAAGTTTCCAAGTCCAAGAATGAGAAGTTGCGCATTAAACATGAGAAATCGTGTGCAGATGCGGAGGGTGAGCTTGAACAGGTGAAACGTGATCTTGAAAAGTTGAATCAGGATATAGAAAGGCAAGAAAACGATGTTCATGGGACGAAGCAGAAAACGGAGCAGGCACAGGAGGTTAGTATACTTCCACTTACTTAACGGGGGACGGAAAATTATGCCTGCTAACTTCCAATTATAGGCATTGGAAACTAAAAAGGAAGAGCTCGCTGCGTTGAAGGCGGAATTGGACGAGAAAGTCGCTGAACTGAATGAGACGCGCGCTTCTGAGATCGAAATGAGGAACAAGCTTGAGGAGAATCAGAAAGTTCTAACCGAGAATCAAAAACGTGGAAAATATTGGCAAGAGAAGCTGGCCAAACTTTCCTTTCAGAATATCAGTGACCTGGGCGAAGAGGAAGAAGCTCGGAGCCTTCCAACGTACACCAAAGATGAGCTGGCCGATATGAACAAAGAATCTCTCAAAGCCGTCATCGCGGCACTGGAGGAAAAAACCCAGAACGCCTCCGTCGACCTCTCCGTCCTTGGAGAATACCGTCGGCGAGTCGCTGAACACGAATCCCGCTCTGCCGATTTAGCAACTGCACTAGCAAACCGAGACAATGCCAAAGCACGTTTAGACACGCTCCGCTCGCTCCGTCTAACCGGTTTTATGGAGGGGTTCAGCACCATCTCGCTCCGGCTCAAGGAGATGTACCAGATGATCACGATGGGAGGCAACGCAGAGCTGGAGCTTGTGGATTCTCTAGACCCATTTTCTGAGGGGATATTGTTTTCTGTCATGCCGCCGAAGAAGAGCTGGAAAAATATCAGCAATTTGTCTGGTGGAGAAAAGACGTTGTCGAGTCTTGCGCTTGTGTTTGCATTGCATCATTATCGGCCCACACCATTGTATGTCATGGACGAGATTGATGCAGCGTTGGATTTTAGGAATGTAAGTAAACTAGACTGAAAGAAAGAAATGGAGGGAAAGAGTCACTAACTTGTTCTATTCCAGGTTTCTATCGTCGCATCGTACATCAAGGAGCGAACGAAGAATGCCCAGTTCATCGTCATCTCGTTGCGAAATAACATGGTACCCCTCCCCCCTCTCCTCTTCTGAACCTTTCATATAGAATGATCCGTTTTCTGACTTGGCAATTTTTAGTTCGAACTTGCTTCCCGACTGGTCGGCGTTTATAAGGTCAACCATATGACCAAAAGCGTCACCATCGAGAATAAAGACTACATTTCGATGGCAAGTTAGGGAAGATATGTTGCAATTTGGCATTCCTCATTCTGTTTTTGTTACATGAGAATTTTTCATGTTCTATTGGGGTTGCAAGCATTGGCTAGCGGTAATTATGGTAACGCAGGGAAAACCGGATGGGAGAGGACTGGGTTTTATCATTTTTGAAATTGTTTTACTGGGTTTGGGTTGTGCGATTGTTCTTTTCCAGGCTCAATGACAGCATCATGCTAAGAAAGCTCTTCCATTTATTTTTTGCCTTCAGGGGGAGTTTATTGGTGTTTGGAGCAAGCTCCCCCCCCTTATTTCTTTCCTTACGCTTCGTATTTTTCATGACTCTATATTTTCATTACTGCTTTATATGACAAAACGCTAGTTGATCAAGTGGAACTGAATTTTGGTGACTTTTTTTATGTCGATGAAATATAAATTGTCTCTCTTTGCCCATTTTGAGGTTTTGGATGAGTCGTTAAGGGCAACCAACTGGGAATATGTGGACGAATTATGTCTGCTCCGGCTTGCAGCTTTGCATCCGATTCGGATGATCCTCCAGGATAACTATATAATTGTTCTCTCTTCTGATCTTCACATAGATATCAACCATTCACCTGGCTGACTGCCCGTCGTTCAAGGGATATTCTAAACGGGGCCACTGAAGAAATGATCTTCAAAGCAATGAACCAACTTATACATCTCTCCTGGCCTCTCTCCTCCGCATTTCTCTGCGCTGCCAAAGAACCTCCGCCAGATACATACCGAACACGCAGGGGCGCTCTCACAACAACATTCACACCGCCGTCCAGCTGTGCAACCGCCATTCGTACTTCCGATATGGCTAGACGGCCTGACCTTCATCGAGCCACCCAGACCATTTTGACTCAAACTTTTGTCGGCAACTCAAACAGCAGCGGAGAGGTAACTGTATCATGAGGAGCCCATCCACAATTCTACCAACTGACTCTTCCCCGGAAGACGAGTACAATTATTCATTATCACATGCAGAGAAATTGTCAAGTTCGCTGGAGCACCCATTAAGCCAGCGCACCATAAATAACGTTTGATGTGTTATCACTTATTAATGCGCTCGGCTCTCATTATCAGTGAGAGGCATAAGGGGGGAGGACGAGAAAGTATAGAGATACAAAAGGCTCATCAACCCTTCATCCTATTCTGCAATGGGTAACAGATCAGCTCGTCTCCGTGTTGTGTTGGGTTGACGTGGAGCAGGAGCAGAAGTTGAGCTTATAAACTCGAAAACGACCTGACTCTAATGACGCCGTGAGATTTTCTTGATTGATTGATATTTTCTGTCGGATAGGTTGTTCCTGGGAGATGACACGCACTGTTGAAAGGCGGATTTCGAAGGATTAATTTGATGTTCCGTGAGAATATAGAGCTAGTGACTGTCAAAACCCGACCAAACATTATCTGTGAAAATGTCTCGCACATTTATATCAAAGGTTTTGGTGTCAAACAAATGGAAAGCCGTCTGAGCCTGTGGCCGTTCCCTAAACCAGAAGACCCAATCCCGCGATGGCGACCATGAATATATTGGCCAGCAAAACCATATCACCAACTTGTCCTGTGGAGCTCAGATAACCCCCGAACCAGGAAATTCAGCCTCGAATTCACCAAAGAAATCCCAATTTTCAAAGCCCTATTTCCAAGAATGTTAGATGGGAAATGGAGGTCAGATATCCATACTTGCACAGCTTGAAAGTGAAAGAATACTCGCTATAACGCAAAAGGAAAGAAGACCACATTTGCAATAATCTTCTTAGAAAAGGTGGCTTCTAACAGTGGCTAATAACAAGAGGGAAGCGAAAGAGAACCTACGTCAAAATCACCAAGCGCATCCGCCCATGCAGGCTGGCCCACAAACGACCGTTCAGAAGAAACAGCAGAAATTCTCTGGGAAACGACGCCGGGGACTGACGGATTTTGAGCCTGAGACGGTCAGTTTCTATAACCTGTAACTGTGTAGGTAGACTGTTTCTTCTTAAAGTCAATAAGAAAAGTAGGGGAAACGCCAAAATCGTACCCTTGACGGCTCTGAGGCATTGTCCTCATCCCCCACCTGCCTCGAGTGCAAATTATAACTCAAATTACTTAACCGGTCAATGGCATGCTGTTGAAAGGCCGCTGCTGACTCGGGCCACAGCTTAGTTTTTACGAGCGTAATGGATATGCAGAGGAAGTAGTACTCCCGCATTCCTTTTTCCAGGACAAGGAACTTCTCCTCTAGCCAGGATAATGTTTTCTGGACCAAGGATATCAAAATGTCTGTTATGCTTGGGATGGCCTGGCGAACTACAGATGACGCTGAAGTGAATTGAATAGCTGCCGTTAGCTAGACTCACCAGGCGGGAAAATTAACAGTGCAGAAGAGTATCGAGGGAAAAAGTCTTACTGAACCCACTATCCGAGGCATGCAGATGATGACAGATGGTAAATGCAGCATGAAAGGTTACATCCGCCAGCGCACACCAGGCGAGCTTCCCGAGATTATCAATGAGCAGCTGTTGTTGGCAGAGAATCATAACTGCAACTTCAAGACGAGCCTGTGTTGCATGGCTGCTCATGGAGCCCGGAAGCCCTCCGAGGGCGGTGTACGTATAAAGAGAGAGCTGGCATCGCCGCAAATTCGCTTCCAAAAGAGTTCGCCAGAGAAGTAGTTGCTGTTTTTGTGTAATGAACCCCCCGGAAGAATTCGTAGCCTGCCAGTCTGGAATTTCCGAAAGGTTCTTGTTGATCTCCTCTTCCAAAAGCGCAAGTTCGCTGGATGATATGGAAACACGGGGGGCATTGACGAGAGCGCATATCCGCAGCCTCAGGCCCACGGATTGCATAAGAGCAATCTGGAACGAAGAGTCTGTCATGACGTTCAGCGGCTTTTCTTCGAGACTATGAGTCGTATTTTCTCGCATGTCTTCGTCATTGATGTTCAGAGGCGGGGAGCAATCGTAGTCCGACATTTGCATCGTCGGAGGCATCCCACGATCAAGGGATGCCTGTAGGTCCAATTCTAGAACAGTCGCCCATATCCTCCTTCGCATTTCTCTGTTGAACTCCGAAATTTTGGTGGCCGGCAGTGGCTCACGGTGACATCCGGCTGACATGGCTAACTTCACCAGTGTTCCCGCGGCGCTCCAAGCTTGATTTTTCTGTGTATAGTTTGCCTCTTTGGCCAGCATAAGCAAACAACGCACCTGCAAAACAACTAGAGTTGGTCGTTTGATGTTGGCATGGAAAAGCCACGCCTCGGACCAGTGAATCCAGTCCGTTGCAACACGATGAGATAGAATCTTCGTTCCTGTCGCCGTAAACGGACTGGGCGTGTTCACACTCCACACCGACGCCATTACCAGAAGGAGCTGCACAATAAAATGACAAGGGGTTTCTCCCGGTTCGTCCCAGAGCTGCTTCAGCTGCGTGTGAAAGGATGGCAGGTGAAGAATGCTGTACATCTTCCCCACATAAGAAAAGTAACAGTTAACCAATTTCTCCACCAGTGGTCGAATTGGAAGGAGGCTCTTCAAGAAATTAGCATCTATCGCCAGCTCTCCGGACAGTGGTTTCTGTGGCCTGTCCCTCCCTAGCCTGTGGATTTCACGGTGTATCGCCCCGAGAGAGGTCGAAGACGTCAGATTCTGCATAAACGTATTCAGCCCCTCCAGCTATAATGTTTCTTCGTTACTCTCCACTATGACAAGTATCTCGAAAGTTTCCTCAAAGAATAAGACATGAATAAATTTCAATCAACTAACCTCGCACGACAACTTCGACCCATTACTACACCCCCAAAACCGAGTCCGAGTTTCATGGCCATCAAACCGGGGGCGACTGGGAACCTCGCGTCTCCATTGCTCTTTTCGCGCAGATACATCGTCGCAAGAAGATGATTCATTAGGCCTAGTGGTGGTTGACCGTAGCTGGGACCTGTGCGAATGGGAGAGCGAATCCGTATTGGCTGAAACAGCGATGGTACCAGGCGGCGACGACGACTGGACAAGGCTCTGCACAAGCCTTTCCAGTTCCCTAATCCGACTTTCGTCTCCTTGCTGCTTTGCCGGCTCTGCAACAAGGGCAGGTACGTGTGCGTTGGGCATATTAGCCTCTGCCGAATGCCATAGGACTGATGATGCAGATAGATCCTGCGGCTGCTGTTGCTGGCTGTGGGGTTGATGCTGCACCACATGAATCGAGGACTCATACACGCAGGCGCCCGGATTAGGCCCCTTCATACAGCGATTACATGTCGGATAGCCAAAATCACACTTGACTTTCCTATTCCTGCATGGGGCGCAGGCAATTGTCCTTCTGCGCCTTTTGCGCTGGGTGGATTCGGCCGATCCATCCTGGAATGATAACCCGCCATCTGATAAGCGGAGTCGCTGCTGCGCCTGAGTGGCGGGTGTCGCGTTTGTCACTTGTTCGTGTTCTTGTCGGGGTTGTTGTTGGGACTCCGGGCTTGTGCTCGATGTCATAGTGGATATTTATTTCTTGTTTGGATCCCCCGTATCGATATCGGCCATACATACATCCAATAAGGATCCTTTACTGCTATGGAAGAAGTCAAATAAATTGGCTTCTGAGGAAAGGGATCAGTTCGTCTCAACCGTAAGGGCCGAGGTTGCATCGAACTTAGCGGGAATTAGCAGATTAACTATTAGGTGGCATTAATGTTCGTTCACCAGGGTCAGGATCATGTCGATCTCGGGAATTGGAAAACATATTTTACTGCCCAGTCCGTGTTTCCGAATTTTCGGTGAAATTCGAAAAAACAATCTCGACGGAGTTAGTTATCCACGAGCTCGGGTTTAGAGATGACTGACTAGCGGTTTAAGTTAACACCGAGAGAGCGAGCTCCTGCGTGGTCATCCAAGGAGGTGACAATGCATAAAAGGAGATGGCATGCATCTTCTCGAGCGACATGCAAAATGTACGGTGGAGGGTGCGTCGCAGATTCAAAGCAAAAGCATTTTCTTAATTAATTTCATACCTTGCGTGATCAAAATAAATAATAGGACCAATCCATATTTTAACAAAATATATATAGTCCCTTATCGTTCTATGTATTTTCTTCCACTCGCCAAACTCTCTCGATTGAGACAGAAGAGATCCATCGAAAAAAATTCAATCCTACCAAACTATAAGAAAGAGACAGAAAAATGTTCCGCTCCTTACTCTCTCTCAGAAAACAAAATCCAACCAAATCCGGTAGTGAAAACTGCTCAATTGAAAGCAACATATTCCCTGTCGTTAATCCCGCCATCGATGGGCTTGATTGCAACCAAGATTGCGCCGATTGCACAATCAAGTACTCGTCCCGATTCAAAATTAATACAGACAGGGAGCTATACGGAAGCATAAAGCCGTTCGTCAAACATGTCCTTGTCGCGACGGGGAAGGCTGATTGGGCCGAGAAGGTTGAAAATGAGCAAGGCAGCGTAATGGAAGGGTTTAAAAAGGGGTCGTTTTAAGCCGAGAACTTGGGTTTGTATGGTTTTCCGTTCCCCATTTTTTTCCCCTGTCCGTTTGATCACATGAACCCCCCAACGCCTTTTGCTTCTGTTAAAAGGCGATTTTAAATAGCGCATGATGGTTTCGGCGTCGAACATGTCAATTGACCCGGAGCGCAAAGACGTCGCAGGCCAGGAAAACGCAACAACAGTCCTTGTGCTCCCGTTGTTCACTTTCGTCGACTCCGTAACTGTCTCAAAAATACCAGAATTCATGGACCGTTTCATAGATTCCCCAGCAGCAGAGGTACAGTATCTACCGATGAACGATGCTGAAACAAACGGCCAAACGCCGCATCCCCACCAACAACAACTAACCACCCGCCCCTGCCTCCGCGACCACATAATCCTCCTTTGCTCCCACAACCGGCGCGACGCCCGCTGTGGCATCTCCGCACCCCTCATCCGCCGTGAGCTGGAGCGGCACCTATGGCAGCTCTGTCTATATCGCGACGAAGATGACACCCGCCCCGACGGCGTTAGTATCATCTTTGTTTCGCATGTGGGCGGTCACAAATTCGCTGCGAATGTGTTGGTGTATCGTAGGAAGGAAGAGCAGATGATTTGGTTAGCGCGGGTGACACCGAAGGATTGCGAGGGGATTGTTAAGTATACAGTTTTGCAGGGAAAGCTGGTGCATCCTGAGCAGCTGAGAGGAGGGTTTGACGAAAAGAAATGTTTGACCAGTTGGTAGGAAGAGAGGTGAGGTAGTGGGGATATCGATAGACCTTGCTAATAAATATCGGTGTTCGTTTTGTTGCGGCATATTAACATTCGCCATCCCCAATCCCACCACGCGGGTCGTGGAGGATGTAGCAGGATTGGAGTTCCAACGGGAACCAATATAGATTTATCTCATTTGACATCTTGGGGCCTGGCCTTTGATTGGATTTGACTTCTTTTGGTTATTTGAACGGATATGAGAATGCAACTCAAGAAAAATCCATAAATAAATAAATAAATAAATAAGGTGTTAAGGAAAAAAAAGTCACCCAGATCATGCTGCGATCGTCGCTTTATCCATGATCAATTTATAAATCAAAATATAACCAATCATACCAACACAAAGCTGACAATTGGTATATTAGCACTTCCGCGGTCGGAATTGGAAGTGAAAAGATATCCAAGACAGCAAATAGAAGAAGTTATGTCCCAAAACATTACTGGTCTGTATATGCAAAACTAAATCCAATCAAATAGATGTTCTCTTTACCAAATCGAGGGGCTCAAAGATGCGCCCACCCATTATAGACGATGACCTGCATCTCATCAATCAAACACGGGATTCCTACCTCTTTATTAGACTTACTATCTCCCACACCTTTCCGTTGCCAATGTCTAACTCTCTTAGCAATATCTGCAGACTGCCAAGGCAGATCGAGTAAAGAAGCGAAAAGCCCTTTCCACCAGCCAACAATGGCTTCACGCTTCGAAGGGAACGCACGCGCAGCCTCGTACGCAACAAGGTTATATCCAACCCTAACCCTTGGATTGAGCCATACGCCCTTTGATGCTGTTAAAGGGTTATCGTAGTGGATGAGGCAACACTCACTGCCTTCGAGGTGATATGCAGCGAGGGAATCTGGTATTGCACGGAAGCGTAGGGGATTGAGAGGGTTTTGAAAAGGGGCAGCGTCGAATATGGCTAGTTTGATGTTAGAAATGATGGCCCCTTTTGTTCCCCAACAGGTTAAATTCAAGGTTGGATTGAGGAAACGTTACCGATTCCGTTCCAGCAACTCTGGACGGGGATGGGGTTGCCAGCTGTAAGGGCATTTCGCGAACGCCTTGAACTGAAGTAGGGATAGCGTTGGGAAAAAGCAGGAGACCCATTAGAGTCTCGAAGGGCAAATGTGTCGTAGAAGAGACTCGATTTTGCGAAGTCGAGGGAACAGGTCGCTGCATATGAGCCGGATCGAGTATTAAGAAGAGTTATGATATCCGTCATCTTTTTTTTTTGGAAAACATATCGATCAGCTTTAACTGCTTCGTAGTCCTATTTCGTTTCATATTCACCCTTGCTTTAACAGAGTGCCTTACTGAAAATATAACGTCATTCAAAAAAATTATCTTATCAAAAGTCCGTCCAGCAGCAACTAACCTCTCCAGGGGATCCAGGGATTTATTCCGCATGCGCGCCAGGTACGGAATACGCCTAAGCTCTCTTTGCCCCCGTGGAGTATCAATCCACCCTTCACTTGCAGGGGGCTTTTTTATTTCATCCTCATGGGTAACTGGATCTAGGACAATCGTCCTCTGCACTCCCATCTCTTCTAAATCCTTATCCAGCTCTCTCAGCGCGTCCTTCGAATTATCCCAGCTCCCACTCTCATACACTGAAACGTATATATTATCCTTGCCAAATCTCCTAGCCAGCTCGACGACCGCAGCATTCCAATGACTTCTCAGAATCGCCTCATTGTTCCAGTGCGTGCTGGCCACATACACCGACTTGATCTCCGGGATGACAGTGGTGTCAGTGGGATGCAGCGGTGAGCGGCTCAACGACAAAGAGGTAAAGGTGAGATGATCGACGATGATAAAGAATAGTATGCAGGAGGAGAAGAGGGAGCCGATATATCCATATGAACCACGCCGGGGGAAAATTAGGCCCAATAACACCCGCCACCAGCGATGGTATCCGCGAGGAGACACCAACATAACCGTATGCTACTACAGAGGACGTGCTGCGAGGAAATCATCAATAGCCTAGGTAAGGATCGTTTAGAAAATGTCCAACATAAGAATAGCATCACAGCCTAAGGGACCTTGTTCATGCAAAGCAGGACCAGTGGCTTCGAAGCTGGAAGTGTTTGGAGCGCTGTTGTTGGCTGGCTGTGTGAGAAAAAGCTACGCGACGATAAACTTATACACAGGATAACCTCGTATTTAGCTGCAGGATGTGAAAACGAGTGAGGGCAGCTCGGATTTTGTTTGATTCTGTGAACTTTCAAAGCTATAATGAAAACCCCATTCGAAAGAATCCACAGATGAAGAGCACCGCACAATGCTCCCGTTCAACGTCTGTTGTTGTTGTTGTTGTCCACAGACGAAACCGCCGACAAAATTAACTTCGTTTAACTAACACGGAGGCTGGTTACTCTCGCTTAGTCATGCATGCGACGCGGGGCAGAATCTCGAGTCAAACGCGTTGGGAAGTAATTAGCCAACTCTTTAATTGCTCCCGAGTATCAGAAAATATCCGAAAAACATCCAGTATCGGAGGGGAGTACGGAGAACAATAGTGCGAGTACGGCAGTTTCGTGCTCGTTTCCTTCAAGGGCCGCGTCCAAACCCAGCTCTTAAGTACAAGAGTGCGCTGCTTGTTTCATCATTGCGTGAATTGGGTGCATTAAATAGTTGCTGGCCTTAATATTCCATTGACTCAAGACATGCCAGTCACAATTCACCAAGATGTTACTGAGCAGGACCAAGCATCGTCCCTTCGTGTGGAACTGAAAGAGTGGGAGAGGGCTTTTTCCGTCGCGAATGGCGGTCGGAAGCCCGGGCGTGATGATATCAAACTTAACCCTGCCATCTGTACGGCACACCACCACCGGCAATTATTCTTATGGGCCTGCTAACCATAGAAAATATCATTCTAGCCGCGAAATACAAGACATATTCCCGTCTACGTTCACAGTCGTCGAAGTCCAGCCATATCAGAACAGAGGAAAATGGCGAACAAAACGAGTCCCTCCAAAATCGACACAGGAAACGCAAACGGCTGTCAAATACGGAGGGGAAAGAAGGCGAACGATCTTACTCTACACCGCGGAAAGCCCCCAAGCAAATTCTGGCCACACCTAGCAAAGGATCATCGTCTCTTCCAACCTCCCACCCTTCCCAGCTAGATCCATATGACTCCCCATCCACTCTACGGAGACTATTCAGCCCCAGTAATCATCAGGGACCCCACTCATCTTCGCCCCTGCCACTCCGTGCGGCCATTGGTCCCACCCCGCAGCGCAATGGGAAAGCTCTGGGTTTATTTGACCTCCTCTCTTCGTCCGGAGGTAGTTCCCGAGGCGGTGCCATTGCAGCAACGCCGTGCTCGAAGAGAAAAACATATAACCAGGAGGACAATGTTTTTCAAACTCCCACACGGCAGAGAGGTCAATTCAATGTGGTTGATTTGAACGAGGACAACGACGATGATGAACGCTACGCCCGCGTAAAAACCCCAGCGTCATCTGCGAAGAAGTTTTACCTGGCGAATTTCTTCGCCACGCCTCCTGCGTACCGCTATACCAATCCTGCTAATGAGCATGACGACGGGAATCTGCCCAACATCAGCCATAACACGAAAGGGAATGGACAAAGCCCTAGATCAACTGGGGTGGGCTCAGATACACCCTCATTCCTTCGACGGAGGGGTTTATTCTCATCAATCAACTCGCGTCAAAATGCAAGAGCTGGTAAGCTGCACGACCTGAGCCCCGTGGCGGTACGGATGCCACAGAAACTAGTCGGGAAGGGTCTCAGTGCCATCGTCAAGGGCCTGCGGGATATCCAAGAAGAGCGATTGGACGATGACCTGGACGTGCTCAGGGAACTTGAAGCGGAGCAAGCTGGACAACATGATAACGTTATCGTCAGCGATAGTCAGTTTAAGAACGGGGATGGCGATGGCGATAATGAGAACAAGGGCGGTTACGGTGATGGTGATGCGCCCGATAACCCAAAAGCGGAAACACGACAATGGAAGAAAATGGGACAGAAGCGAAATACACGACGGGTTATTTTGAGGCCCGTGCGCGCAAAGCTGCAAGCAGCACCTGAGGTACCCGCGGCGGCCATTGATGGCGAGAGTGACAATGAACTTGCGGCCGTATTAGAAACGCAGCGCAACATTCCTCCACCAGAGCTTGGCGATAAAGGCGCGGACAGTGACCCAGATTTCAACTCCGCGACCGATTTGGACTCGGACTCAAACTACGAAGAAAACGCGGAACTGGCGTCTCCATCGCGCACCAGGAAAAGTAAACCTCTTCCCAATCACAGTATGGCAAAGGGAAAACAGGCTACGACTGAAGCAACAGCTATAACTGCTGCTGCGAATACTGCTCCTGGGACGGCGGCAGCTAAGTCGAAGAAACCAATCAAACCAGAGGCCCATGCGAATTACCGTGCGCTGAAGATCCGAGGGAAGGGGTCGGGGCCTAAGCGGAGGTTCGGGGGGAGGTTCCCGGGGAGATTTGGTGGGAGGAGGTAGGCGAGGCTTTGCGAATTGCAGGGGTAGAAGGATTGACGTGGTGACTACTACTACTGCTTATGGATTTACGTACATATATATACATGGCGTGGGAAACGACGATTAAACGGGATGGAGCCGGGACCTGGGATGGTCTACCGGTGTGATGAATTACGGCGGTGGTGTTGGAATACTTTGATGGTTAGGGATGGAGTATATAGATCGAGTGTAATCATAGGAGTTTGGAATTGAGTTATTATTATTATATTATATATATATTTGCCTTCTTTCCATTTGCATTAGTTTTGTGTTGGCCAAACACCCATTAATTTATTTGGCAGAGATTGATAATATCTTCTAACTGAAAAAAAGGACTTCAAGGCAGGAATTACTTTTAATGCCACGAAAGCATAATTAAACGGTTAATACCATTTAAGGGTTATCAAATAACACCAAATCTATCCGAGTTTCACCTCGAAATATCACAGCCCACACATCTAACAATGTACAGAGTACATCACCCGTTATAGCTATATGCCCATCGCTATGATAATCCAAAAAGCGCAATTGTTGTACATACATAATAGGCTAACCAGAAACTAGGGGACGGACATATGTCCAATTCAATCAGGTTGATACCTATCCCGCGCACGCTGTATCCTCCTCGCCCGCGAAACGGAGCTATATCCATCGTGAGTATCCCTGGTATAAACCCTATTACCAGTTAAGCCAGTTTTCTTCGAAATCCTTCCAGGACACGACCGTCTACGGTCACGGTTCCGGGAAGTAAAAGACGGTGCCAACGAGGACGAAGAACGGGAGCTTGAATGTATATATCTCCCTGCATCTCCAGGCGTTTCCACCTCTGCACGCGGCAAGGAGACTCGCTCGTCCCCCACCGCAGGCTCCTCATCATACTGTACCGCCCGATCCCAATCTGTCAACAAATTATACGGACTCCGCAACCACGCCTGCAACTCATGCAGGAACAAACGCGCGTGATCGCGTCCGATAAATTCCTGCAACAACTCCTCCGCCTGTCCACCACTCCCCTTCATGTCCACTGTGCGCAATATTGCAATGATGTATTCAAGCAGGAATTCAGCGTTGTTGCTGATGCGCCCGCCACTATTATCTGCGGCTGTTGAGTTACCATCTCCCTCAGTACTGTGCGGGTTCAAGAAGGCGAAAACCCGCAGTTCGCGACGGATCCACGTGCGCGCCCGTGAGACGAGGTCTGTGTCGTGATTGAAATGCTGGGGTGTAAGCTCGCGGTATTGAGAGAGGCGGTTAGAGCCTACTCGTCGTGAGTAGAGTTGGTGGCGATATATGTGCCGTCGTCGGATGATTGGGTCATCTGAGGCTGGGGGTTCAGGTTGCAGTTGGTCTCGGCGTGGGCGGCGGCGAAATCTTCTTGGATGGAAACGTGCTGCAGTTCCAGCAGCTGAATCTGGATGTCTAACTGTGGGTGGTGATTGCGGAGCAGGAACGTAATAGATTTTTGGGCCTGAGGGGAGATCAGATTCTAGTCCATATTTGACCCTCGAGACGACAGCTTGGCCTATGTATCACAGTTAGTTATCAGTACCAAGGGAGGAGAATAAATCTTCACATACACAATGGGCAAAATGGGCGTTGTTCCAGCCAGCTCAGAAGGCATAGAAAGTCGAAACTACCATGTTCACAGGGGAGCGCGATGGCACCCTCCGTAACCTGGTCGAGGCAGATCACGCAGGGGTTAAGATTGACATCATTGCAGCCGGATTGACTCTCAACCACCTCGTCTAGCGTTTTGCGGAGGATTGTCTGCTGCAAATCGACATCGTGTGCCATGGGAGGGAATTACTTCTGCTGTTTGATGTTGATATCCTGATGGATGTCTCTTTGATCGGATGGTTCGTTCAACTACTAGATGCGACGGAAGAATAGATAGTCCGTGGTCGGGATAACTTCCTATTTCAGGACTAGTACTGAAGTCACTGGGAACTAGTCCCAGATAGGAAGGTATGCCGAGGTAACATCTTTGACGTTCAACAAATCGCCCAATGAGGAAATAATCTTTGTCCGTCCATCAATTGAAACCATCGCAACGTCAACCATCTCAAAGTCAAAAGCGCACACCCGCTATAGCACGGTTGAGGGGCCTCCTCTCTGGTGGCACACCCTCGCTTCCTAACCCTCTTCTGCACTATGCCGTGTGATGCTTAAGTGTGCAAGAGTTGTTGTTTCATCACGGATCGCAAGGCACTCGACTATGGCTGTTCCATTGGTGAATGGGCCCTTGCACAGCGAGGGCCGAAAATCTACATATACCACCACTGCGCTCAAACGATGGTCATGTCACAATAGCGGAGAGCTACCTGGTGAATTTGACCTACTGATCCTATCCTGGTTTTGTTTTCTAATGGATCATAAAGCTAATAGCCCACTTTCACAGCTGTCCTGCAGATTAAAACTATCCATGTCTACGATTTTGATAATACCTGTATGAGCTCCGCCTCCCCACCAATGATTGCGAATCCAGAAACTAAAGTTTTCTCAGTGTTTTCGAGCCCTCTCCCTAACCCCCAATTATGGAATGGGCCAACGATTGGCTTCCTTTCTACCTACGAGTGCTTTGCAAATGGAGGATGGTGGCATGATCCCAACATTCTTGCTGCAACGGGACAGGGAATTGAGGCAGAAGAGCCCGTGGGTTGGAAAGGGTGGTGGAATGAGCAAATAGTATAGCACCACGGCATCTCATCTATACGGCTGAACGAACCTACTGACACTTTTCAAAGGTACAATTGGTGGAACTCAGCATGAAACAGAAAGATGCGTTGACGGTTCTGCTCACTGGTCGGGCAGAGGGCCCGTTCGAAAGCATCATCAAACGGATGGTGAAAAGCAGAAACTTGGTCTTTGATCTGGTTTGCCTGAAACCAGAAGTCGGCCCGAATAGCCAGCGGTTTTCAACCACAATGAACTTTAAGCAGACTTTTCTCGAAGATCTGGTGTTTACCTACAAAAACGCCGAAGAAATCCGCGTGTATGAAGATCGGATTAAACAGTAAGGCGGGCCCTTGTGTATCTCATGAGCCAATTCTCACATCCTTATTTTTATAGCGTAAAAGGATTCCGCGAGTATTTTGAAAAGTTGAACCGGTTTTTACAATCTAACCCGCATCCTCAGCCACGGAAACCCATCCACGCTGAGGTTATCCAAGTTGCGGAGGGTGCCACTTTCCTTTCCCCTGTCACTGAAGCTGCTGAGATTCAGCGGATGATCAACTCGCACAATCAGGCTCTTGCATCGACTTCAGGCAATATCACCAAATCGCCATACGGGAGATTGAGAATAAAACGCACAGTTTTCTTTACGGGATACCTCCTATCCAATACAGACTCATCCCGCATCATCAATTACATCCTAAACCCCTTGATACCACCCAGTCTTTCCGATTCAAACGACATCAAGTTTATGGCCAACTCCATTCTCATTTCCCCGCGTCCGGTGTCCAAGTCCATACTCGGCAGGGTAGGTGGTATCGGGAAGACACTCAGATGGCGAATCACCGACACAGGAGTGTACGAGAATAAACTCTGGGCCGCCAGAGTAACGCCCGTTGTGGAATCGGAAGTCATATATACCGAAAGCCCAGAACCGATCTTGGTCCTCGCGATGCGCAAGGGCGTACGACCTGCCGACGCCAGCCGGATTCGCAACTGGCAGCCAGTCATAGGTGATAATGCGCTCGTCTTCGACACAACCGTCGGCCAAAAGATGGCGCTAAAAATCGAAGAGGAGATCTCTGAGGACGGTGAATGGGATACTATACCGCCCTACAAGAACAACAAGCGTAAAATCGCCCAGCAGATCGCTATGCGTGAGGATGAAGATGTGCCTCTTCCCCGGTTCATGCGGGAAAATAACAACAACAATAACACTAGTAATAATCGGGAACGCGACCCTCCTCGCAATTACGGAACAAATACCCATGCGACCACGAATCAGGAATACCCCTCCTATCACAACCGGAACAATAACCCCGTCTACCCACGCTACCACGGCGACAGCGGAGGCGGAGGCCCAAGCGGAGGTGGTGGCGGAGGTGGAAGTAGATACTATGACAGTGAGGGCCCCCCCCGACGTGGTGGTGGGGCTGGCGGAGGCAGCGGCGGTGGTGGCCCCGGTGCCAACTATCGAGGAAGTCGTGGACGTGGGCGTGGAGGACGAGGGCGAGGGCGTGGCCGTGGTGGTGGCGGTGGTGGTGCTGGCACGGGAGGTGGTGGGCCCTCGGGGTCTCACCAATATCGGTCGTTGGATGATCATGTAGGTGGTGGTGGAGGCTATGACGGGACGGGGGCAGGGACGGGTGATGAGAGGAGGTTTGGAGGGGGTGGGGGTCCTGTTATGAATTATTGATCACTTCTCTCTTTTTTTCAAGTTCATCGATGTACATAATTTTCCTTTCAGATTTTTACCTGTTTTATTTTAAACATTTAATGGATATATGCCTGATCCATTTTACTTCATTTGCTCTACTTCCCTTCTACTTCATTTCCTAAGCTCGGGTGTTCTATGTTTCTTCTTTCTCCTTCATCTTCTTGTCTTGCGTTGTGTCTCCTACCTCATTTTATTTATTTCAATTAGTGTGGCCTCTACAGAGTTTATAATCAACGTTTGCATTTCCATTAAGAAAGCAGTTCTCCACAAACACGGTACAAATCTACAATACACTTCCCCGGGCTTTTTGTCAAAATTTCAACTGCGATTGAACGGATGGTATCAATGGCGAGTAAGAAAAATCGACAGCATCCAGGGGTTGAGGTTGAGAAAATCTCACACCCCTTTCAACAAAGCTGGATATTTGTTCCAATCATTCATGAGCTGAAAAGAGTGCAGTGGGGTAAAAAAGAAATAAAAGGAACAACTAGCTCAACACTTTCTGCATTCACTGCGTATTCTTAGTATATACAGGATAAAAGATCCCAGTCTATAAGTATCAGAACATGCAAAGCCGATAAATTGAAGAACCCCAATAAAATGCTCGTGAGAAGGGTGAATGGGGAGAGGAGGAATGGGGGATATCAAGCAGAAAGAGAAGTAAATCAATAAAACATTATACAGTACATGCATGTATTATATGGATATCCCAGGGCTTCCAAGCTCTTTCCATTCAGTACCTAATATATCAATTCAATTGATTGTTCGTCAGATGCGTTCAGCTCCATATCCATATCCCATTTCGTGATCGTATTCTCATGCTTCTTGTTGTGAGAATCGTTGTCGTATATCAGTTCCCCCCATTTATATCCATATCAATCTTACCTTTTAAGATAGAAACAAGAAAAAGAAAAAAAAAAACCCAATCCCCAACAGAAGAAATGAATAAAATCCAATAGAGTCACAAAATTAACCCAGAAGAAAACCCTCAACCATCCGTCAACTTCTCCAAAAGACTCATACTCAAAATCATCACCAACAACCCAACCGTCACAATAATCAGCAATGCAAACCCAAACCACCCCAATATCATCGCCGATGTCCCCACCCCACTCCTCACCACCCCATTGCCTAGATCCTGCGCTATCGTGCTCGCTGCCACAGATGCCGTATGCTGCCATAGCACTGACACCAGGACGAACACGGACGAGATGAAGATCAGCGCTAATGCTATTTGCGACACGAACCGGGAGGGGAAGGGCTTGACTTCGCGATCCGAGCCGTCTTCGGTGATCTCTTCGTGCCAGCCGGGGAAAGTGGCGAGGAGAATGAAGCAGATGAAGGCGAGGATTATGGCGACGATTCTGATTGGTCATATATCACGACAGCATGTGAATAAAATGTTCGAGAAGAGGGGAAAGGAGGATGGGGTTGGGAGCTCGTACATTAAATATGGAAAAACAACCGCATCCTTAAACGTCGCAGCAACCCATACGAGATTCAGCGGATCGTCCTCGGACTGCAACATGTCCGCCAGCGCCGTAGCATTTTGATTACACATGAATGCACCGCCGGTGGGCTGGATACATATTCCGTAGTAGCCCACGCGGACTTCCAGCTGTGCGCCACCGACGATGTTCGTCATGGCTGTGTTGATGCCTGGGGAGACGATGGCAGGGTCGAAGACCGGTGTATATTTTTCGTAGAAGAGGGATATTAGGAAGATTGTTGGGATTTGCGGGGAAGAAGATGAGCAGCCTGCTAGTAGGAGGGCTGTCAAGGGGGGGAATGGTTAGCAGTTTTCTGCGCATAGGTATTGGCCGAGGGGATTGACTTACATAGTAATATTATAGCCAGGGCAATGAATATCATCAGGAGATGGTGGTAGCCGATTAGAGGAATAAACCCTATGGATTGGTAGAGGCAGTCAGCATGTCGTTGTTCATCTGTACGGGCTTTCCAAAGGACTCAATGGAGCACATTCCCCTTCCTCCCTCCTCCTCCCCCTCCCGGGTCCACATGGATCCCAATATCATATATCATCAATAGAAAGGGGGGTTATCACTCACTCATAAATCCCGACTCAAAATTCATCTGAGGCATCCTGACAGAGCTCTCTTTCCAGTCCAAGACACCGGATCGACACGCAACTTCAAAAGAAAAAAGTCAAGAGGAAAAGAAGAAGAAGAAGAAGAAGAAGAAGAAGAAGAAGAAAAAGAAAACCGAAACCAACCAAACCCAAACAACCCTTTTCCTTTGACCCAGCAACAAGCGGAGCGTAGTGTCCCCCCGCGTGTGTGTCTTTTTCTCTTTAGCGGGGAACTCCTATGCCTTCTGTTCCAACTTCCTTGGCAGCAGCAGCACTTGAGCAGCAGAGGCAAGGGGCAGATTGACAGCTAGTCGTCGCAGCACCCTCTTCTGTATATATATATGTATATGTATATGTATATGTATATACAACAGCAGCCCGGCCAAGGTTCGATGTCGCCTTCACTTCTCGAGACCTCAATCCGTCTTCCGTAATGTATCGACAAGCAGGGCCGTGGGGCGCCTGCTGTTCGTGAAAGGCGCCGTTTTCCCTCTTTCTGTAACCTTTGAGATACCTTGTCAGAGGCAGTGGACGATGAGATGGCTGCAGTGGTAGTTCTTGGGTCAGGGCAAGAGGGTAGATGGGATGTATGAATGTAGGCAGAGGTGTAGGGATAGGGAGGGAGGGAGGGAAGGAGGTAATGTGAATGGATGTAGATATATATGTAGGTATTGTAGTGTAGTGTAGTGCAGTGTAGTGTAGCTCAACGATATGACTCTGCACTCAATCTGAATGTATGCATGTATAGCATGAGTATTGAGTAAACGAGCGAGATGAGATAGTATCTTCAACCGGGTAAATGCCGTATGTTCCCCGTTGTCGAGAAGCGCTATGGAGGACAGAGAGTGTAGGAGGAACGGAGCAGAGGGGAGAAGGGAAGAGAGGCAGTATCTCGGGTAAGGCGAGGAATAGATCGGTATCACGACGACGCAATATTCATGGTGGCTGGAGCAATCACACGGGTCGACAAAGTAGTGTAAGTATGAGTGCGAAAAAGAAAACAGAAAGAGAGGTAAAAGAGGTTGGGAGAGTAACAACTTATCCAACCAAGCATATCGCCTGAATATCCCCGGACTTCCGCTGGCTGTCAAATTGTGGCTGGGCCAACCAAACTTTGTTTACTCCTGCGCGTTGCCGAGGCAACAAGGGGCTGAACCCTAAAACGTGGGGCTGGGCGGGAACTAGGCCCAATGCAGAAAGATGTTTACCCTGGACGTCATCGTCGTCGTTTGGTGCAACGGGCTATCACTCACTCACTTGGTTGGCGTAAGAACATTTCGACATAGATCGCAGTTAAAACTTGTCATCTAGATGATCGCCCAAATCAGCCCTCTATACCTTATCTCACGAAAAGAAGAAGGGAACAGCGCAGTGTATAAATATACATATATATATATATATATATATTTATCCTGACTCGGTAAACCCTAACTAACCATCAATAAACTAAAACCTACTGCGTACACCATCTATTCCGCATCTCACCTTGTCTACCACCCCCCACCCGTTTCCTCCCGACTTGTACATGTACCTAACCCAATCATCCTACCCATACCTCCCAAAAAGCAAGTGGAGAAAATGTAAAAACTACCAACGCCACACCACGTTCATCTTTCAAAAAGATAAATCACTTTTGAAACTTTCGCAAACAGACCCATTTCACCACTCACCTACCAGCCGTGAACATAAAGCGCTTAAAGTCCGCATCAACAGCGACAGCAGCTGGAACAGCAGCTGGAACAGCAGCATCCCCCTCCCCCTTTTCTTCCTCTTCCCCTACCTTTCCCACATCATTCCGCAACAAATCCAAATCCACCACCTCCTCCCCCTCCCCCTCCTCTTCTTCACTGTCTGGCACAATAAAATCCTCACTCCCCCTCCCTCCCTCTCTCATATTCAACACAGGGAAACATGGTCCCTCAGTTCCCGCCATAAACTTCTTCGTGGGCAATGACACAGGCCGAAGTCGCGACGGCGTATCATCACTGACAAAACCAACCTCCTCCTCTGCTTCTTCTCTCCTCGTCTTTTCCTCCCCATCTTCCCCACCATCATCAAACCCATCTGCATCATGCACCAACTGCCTCGACCTCAAACACTCCATCGACCTAGACCGATGCAACGCAGCCTGCCTCAGGCGCTGCAAGGGCGTCATCCGCGCCAGATCCCGCGCACGGCCCCGCTGCTGTTGCTGCTGCTGCTGCTGCTGGAGTATCGCACTGGGGCTCTCTAAGATAGGCGCCTTTTTTCTTGCAATATCATGCACCCGTTTGCTTTCAGCAGCCTGGTTCACGGCTTGCGCCTTCGATTCGACGAACGCAAATCTATCAAGTAACTTCGAGGTCCTCGTCGTCTTTGCCTTGCTTGCGTCGTCGTCATCGTAGTCGTATTCAAGCGGCTCGATGAACAATTTGGAATCAGCCTCACCCTCACTACCAGGTGAAACCCCCATCATCGCCTGCGTCAACCCAGTCGTGGCTGCAGCACTATTGTCTTCTTCTTCTGCTTCTTCTTCCACCGTCACACTCTCCTGGGTATCCCCAGTATCCCGCTTCACATCCACATCGCCTCTCGCTACCGTACTCGGAGACAAACCCATTTCACAACCCGGAGTCCCACCATCCAAACCCACCTCATCCGGAAGCTGCACCATGATATCTTCCACAATCTCATCCGAAAACACACCAAAATCAGACATCCTAGCCTTCTTAACCCTCCCCTTCTCCCGACCACTAATACCAATGCTAGCCGTCGGACTGCTTTTGGCCCCCACAGCACCTGCAGCAAAGAACCGACTTCGTTCCCCATCAGGAGTCCCTAGCACAGCAGCAGCAGCAGCCACCTCCTCGTCGGTATCCGAACACAGGCGCTGCCGCTTAACAGGCTGGAACTTCGACACGGTTGAAGCGCTGGCGAGGAACCTCTCCCTCTCGCTGCTCTGTGGTGTTTCGTATACCCGCCTGGAAAGCGCAGGAGCAGAGGCAGGAGCTGAAGTTGAAGTGGAAGTGGAAGTGGAAATAGAGAAAGAAGCAGGAGATGATGAAGCGAAAGAATCCATTCTGCGACCACTAACCCTCGCCGGTGCGGAGCTAGCCACCCACGACCGCTGCGTATTCGCATCTAAAAGGCGTTGTTGACTAGGTGAGGGCGTAAGGCTGTTCGGGTCCAATTCACCCAGGGGAACGCGTTTTGGCGTGAAATATTCATTTATAGATGCTCCAGGTTTCTTAGACCCCACCGACGCCGGCATGGTCTGGCGTCGAACCAACCTCGATCGCTCCGGGTACGACGGTCGTAGAACTATAGCTTCCTTCGTCCTGGGGTCCAGATCCCCGCAGGCGATCCCGATAGCCGTATCTGGATCTATATCCGCACCAACAAATGGCATACTTTCCAGCGTCATGTTGCCTGAGAGCGGGGACAATGTAACCAGCCTCCTAGCGACGGGGCAGAACACCAACTGATGCAAGAAGGTAAATTCAGCCCGTTTAAAATCCTCCAGGTACTGCGGGGGCACCCGACTACCCCCCTCAAACTGAATCATCTTCATAGTCTTTTCGACAGTTTTATACTTCCTTATATTTCGATACGCCGTCTTCAGCCCCATCCTCGGCAGGTTATCCAGATAGTCACAACCGGAGAGAATGCACATAGCCCTAAACTCTGCATCCGTCCACCCAATCAAGCTAATATCCTGACAAGCCGTAAAATCACTTCGATTAATCTCCACACAATCGCCATGCTTATCAAGCTTAGACAACAATCTCTTCGCGCCAAAGACAAGCATGTCCGAATCTTCCGATATGATCCCGTCAATGATCCCCTGGCGCTCGAGGTAGACGAGCTGTGCATCCGCCTCGTAAGGTGCAACGATATACTGCACCTTCACCCTTTTCAGCTCCTCGATCATCAGCCGGGCCATGTAAGGTGTGACGTCGATGGCCTTCTGCAGCTCCTGCTGGGCCTCGAATATGCGGCCTGCATGGAATAGTTCTAGGCCGAGCCTTTTGCTCTCTTCGCGCCGTTTGGCTCTGGAGGATTCGGTGCCTGCTTTGCTGGGGAGGTTGTCACCGTCGAAGACTAGGTAAGGGTTTATGCCGAAGTGGAGGAGCATGCGGACGCGGTTCATGGCGAAGTCGACGTATCTGTACTTGGGTTATAAGGAAATGTTAGATACGTGACGAATTGGCCATCCATGTTGATCAGTGGGCTGTTAAATAGCTGTAGGCGGGCAGGTAGTTTACTTGTGTATAAGGGGGAAGGGCTGACCTGGTATTATGCTTGTCGAGAGCGAGGTCGATGGCGCACGCGACTGTTCCTCGATGGAGCCAGCCATAGGCGTCGACGCCTAGGGTCTGGCCTTTAAATTTGCGCAGGTTACATGGTTTCTGGATGGATTTGAGGAGGCCGTGGAGTCCTATATAGAAAGTCAAAAGGAAGTAACATGATAGGTGAGTAATAATATTTGTTATATATATATATATATATATATACAATAAGGGAACAACACACCCGCAATCCCCATTCTGTAACCCTCGCTCTATGTACTTCCCGGGCAGATCTCGATATCGGATAGAACAGATGCAAACCCGCAATCTGCAATCCGCAATCCGCACTCCGTTTTCGTTTTCTCGCAAGGAAACTCTCTAACCAAGTATAGCTTCTTTCTTTCTGCCTGTCTATGTCTCTAATCCAACAAGGGCCGAGTGGTACAGTCCAAGACGAGCAAAAATGACGACGGGGAAGAAAGAATGAAAGCACAGGCGGGCGGAATGGGATGGGAGTTGTGTTTGGATCTGGCTGCTCTGTCCCGTCCCGTCCAGTTGCTGTGGGAAGTTGTTGACTTGAACAATCAGAAAACACACTCAAAATATACAAGTTACGCGCCGCGGAAGACGCGATTGAGGGACATTGCACGGACCAGCTGGATATATGATATTGCCGGGCGGCGGAAAGAGGGCGTCACGTGGGTAACTATTTATCTTGCAACAGGCGAGAATTTTTCTTTCCGATTTCTGTTTTCTTTCATTGATCTTTGGTTTTGGTAATGTTCAGTTGGCAGCTGGCAGTTGAGGAACTTGAGTAAATAACTTGAAGGAACTTGAGCTGCTCTTGTCGATTAGACGGTTGAAATAATTTTATTCATATTTGCCGATTCCTATGCGTCTCCCTGCTCCCAAGCATATCTGTGTATGGCCTTGATCATCTATCATTTAAGCACGAGAGGAAAATTCATAATTTAAAAAGTCGGTGAAAGAGAGTCGATTGTTTAACATCTAGGGAACAGACAGGAACACAGTATTATTCTTCTACAAGTGCCAAATTTACACCAGGAACTGTTTGTATAAAAGAAAAACGCAAGGGAAAACGATGCCTAGAAACCTCAATAAAGTGCAGAAGCAGATCTCCAAGAAGAGGGGGAAGCTTGATGCACTGCATGAGAACAGTCGGGATGCAAAGCGCCTGCGAAGAGCCGGGGGAAGAGAGGATAAATTGGCCAAGGCTGCGGCGGCGACGATGCGGGGGAGGCAGACCTTCGGTATGGTATACTTCCACAGGGAGGACATCTACATGTATACACATACATTGTTTATGTTGATGGACAACGAGGATATGGGCTAATTACGAACTGCGCTCTCTGTTTTCCGTGAACAGTGGACAGAATCCGTTTCTTCCAGGAAAGCATAACAGATCCACCCGCTCCCTTCTCGGATGAGGATATACTCCGGTTGATTACAAGGTGCGTATCGTCACAGAACTAACCCCCTCCTCTCTCCCTTTGAAACCAATTCATCCATCCATCCATCCATCCATCCATCCTAACCCAAAAACCCAAAATCCAGATTCATCGGCCGCAACCAACCAGAGCTCGATCAGCTGGCACAAGACCGACGGCCGGGCCGGCCACCAGTCAAGCGCGAGGAAGTGCTCCGGGAGAAAATGGATGCAGAGAGCAAGGAGTTCGAGAGCGGCTTTTGGATGCCGGACATGGGCGATGGGGAGAATCTCAAAAAGCTGGCGGCGTGGAACAGGGAGTGGTCGTCTATGAGCACGTTGGGATTTATTAGGGTTGCGAGGGACGGGGGACGGCAGAGGTCTATATTTCCGCCGAAGGGGCTTTCGTGATATTTCGGCTTTTGGGCTTTTGGGCTTTCTTTTCTTTGTCAGTTTGCTGCTGGGGCCAAGTTAATCTCTATAGCATTCAGTGGTTGATTTGCGAATTGCTAATGAAGAAACGAGAAACGAGAAAGAAATGGGAGAACGGACGTCAGAAATTGCCTATTTGGGAAGTTGGCGTCAGACTTCCCGGCCGCCCGCATTTTCAGTTTTTCCGAGTTCCGCCAACCAAAAAAAAAAAAAAAAAAGAAAAAAAAAAAAATCAGAACTGTGTCAAAAGCTTCCGTCAGTTATAAAACCAATTGGTTGGAACAGCCAGCATCAAAAATAGTCAACCAACAACCTCTCCTTCAAACCTCCCCCCTTTCCACCAGCCCCATAATGTTCACCCTCCGTGTCTTCACCCGTGTTGTTCCGCGCACCCTATGCAGCAGACCCCTTACCGTAGCTGCCAGATCCACAAGAACCAGCCCCAAGCTCTCCATCCTTCAGCCATGGATCCTCCGTGTTCCCCGACCTTCCTACCCAGCTGCTACGTTCTCTACTACCACTCCAAGATGGGAACCTGCAGGGCAAAGTGAGTGAGAGCTGAGATTATCCCCAATGATACAACCCGATCCCCTCTGTATAGGCTTTCGCGGAATAAATTGACTTGGCTGGCTAACTGTTGATATCACTAGCTGATGTGGAACTTGCGGCTAAGCTGCAGGAGGAGATCAAGTATGAAGCGAGTAATTCAAACGTTGAGACGCCGCCGGATTCTATTCAGTATTTCCTTGAGAATAGTCCCTTTGAGGTATGTTTGCCGGCACCCTAGCTTGGTTTGGCAAGAAGATAGAGAAAGAGAAATAAATATGGATCTGAAGCTGACATCCCGCCATAATCAGCTTTCCCACAAAGAAGGTGAAGATGAGGTCGTTCTCACAAGAACGTTCGGAGATGAAAAGTACGTTCAAAATATCCATACCCTTATTCTATCTCTCAATCCAAACCCCCAATACTGACAAAAACCCCAGAATCCGCGTTGCCTTCACCATCTCCGATATCCAAGACTTAAGCGAGAGCGACCCCACCATCACCGGCGAATCCGAAGAACTCGATACTCGCATCGACCAATTCCAACCCCGTGAGTCGCAAGTCCCCGTCGCCCATGAAGAGAAAGTCTCCTCCGCCGACGAAGAAGAAGCCGACCTCGCCGATGAAGAAGAGCAAGTCTCCAGCTATCCCGCCCGCGTCAGCGTCACCATCGAAAAGAAGGGCAAGGGCGCCGTTCAGATCGAAACCCTCGCCCAGGACGGCTACATCCACATTCAGAACGTGTCCTACTTCGCCAAGGCCGATTTGGCGAATGCAGCCAGCGCTGAAAAGGAGTGGACGCGCCAGAGCCTGTATAGCGGGCCGCCATTTGGGAATCTGGATGAGGATCTGCAGACGCTTATGGAGCAGTATCTGGAGGAGAGAGGGGTTGATGCGGCGCTTGCGCAGTTTGTGCCCGATTATATTGAGTTTAAGGAGCAGCAGGAGTATATTCGGTGGTTGAAAAGTATGTTTATCTACTTTTATTGAGATGTTTTTGTGTGATTTTTTCGTATGTTCTGTGTAATATACGATGGACACTTGGCTGACATTTCTTTTTTCCCTCTCGTGCAGACCTGAAGAGTTTCATCCAGGCATAGATGCGGTCATAGCTCTTTCCAGTCAACGCCCTGCTCCTTACTCGACCCTCCCCTCCTTTGTACGGCCACCGCATCTTTTTCCCCTCCTCACCCAAGCAGCAGGATCTCCTGCACTCTAATAATTCCATCTAGCTAACTCCATGTACCAGCCAATCAATCAATGAGACCATCCCCTGAACCATGCGTGCCCGTACACAAAAAAAATCACCTCTGTATTTCTCCTTTTGTACTGTGCTATGTGAGTGCTCTGGTATTTTGTAATTGTTGCTTTTCTCATTTTTTCACTCGCCGCTTTTATATTAAATAAATGAATCAAAGATAATTTTTTATTAACTTTTTTTTTTTTGAGATGTGCGGTATGGTATGGTGCATGGTAGTGGAGAAGAGGTTATATACGTGCATAGAATATGGGAATCTGGGCGAATGAACATGTGCATGCATGTAGATTGGTAAGACAAGGTTAATGCGGCAGAGTATACAGGACATACAGTCCGTGAAGAAAAAAGAGAGTAGATAACATTTTGAATTTTGCTTCATCCTCCAAGGTATAGAGAGATCTATACAGTGCAAAAAAGAACGCATGGAAAAAAAGGACAAAAATAGAGCAGTTAGTCACTCACGCAAGCATCAATTGAATAGTTATCGTATTGAGCTTGTGTCAAGTTCAGTCGTCATATGAGGAAATTTTACATACATGATCATCAGCTTGATAGCTCAAGCAGATTGTTATTTGCTCTGTTGCTCTGGCAGGTTGTTATGTATGCATGAATAAGATGTAAGAAACCAAGGACATCATTCATCCCCCCTTTTCCTCTTAAAAATAAAAAATAACCCATTAAACAAGACATCACTTCCAAAAACACCAAAACCCGAAAAACTCAACCTAGCCCAAAAAGCAAACTCACACCTCTCCATATCCGCCGCCACCCTCAAAACTCCATAGCACTCTCGTCCCCATCTTCATCCGCCCTCCCCCTCTTCTCCACCCCAGCCCTCTCCGCCTTGATCAACCCTGCCACAAACGAGCGGAAATAATCAATATATGGCTTCAAGCTTGTCTTCTCGTAATCCTGCAGCCGCCTCCCCTTCCCATCGACATCAGCCACACAAGACGGAACACCCCCTCCCACCCCATCAATCCCATCACCATTCACTTCTTCATCCTTCGCCACCGCACCCTCCCCCTTCCTCTTCCCCTCATCCCTATCCCACTCATTAATCTCCGCAATAAGTCGACTAACAGTAGGGACATCCAGCGGATCAAAATCCTCCACCCGCCTCACATCAATCGGCACACAAACCCTTCCCGTGCCCGGATGCACCACAAACGGGCTCTTGAGCAAATGTATAAGTTTCTTACTAACCTCCGCATCCAGGCGCGGATACGTATATTCCAGCGCAATATCCTGCTTCGCCTCCAGCAGCGCCTTGGTATCCAGTGCCTTCCCACCACCACCAACACCCCCCTTCCCCTTGCCATCCGGCCCGCGTGACCGAACAGACTTCGCCAACGCGTCAATGTCGTTCCATTTACTCGTGCTCGAGCGACCCGGTGCGGAGTCCCATTTCTTCCGCAGCGCGTCCACGAGGGGTTTATCAGGTAATAGGGAGAGGAGCTGCTCGGCCTGCACCGCGGAGCTGAACGTATCCTGATCGCCGAGGATCGTGGAGGCGAAGTACGGTTTCAAAATCTCCAAACTGCGTGCTACATGCGGATGCAGCGGGCGCTTGATATTAACTCTCTTCCCACTTTGGCTACCCCCACGAACAACCTCCAAATACCCCGCAATAGCCTTGCGGCGGTCATCAGACAAACTTCTGGCCTTGGCATCGCATACCCATGCATGCGCCCCTCGCCGACCCGAGTAGACCCAGAGAACATGCTCGAAGCCAAAATCCTCTCGGAGCGCGGTGTCGATGACCTTTATGGCCATTGTGACAAAGGACCAGCATTTGGAGCAGATGTTGGCCTTCGTGCAGCAGGTGCGGATGTCATCGTAGTCCGTCAGGTCGATGTCGAAGACGAGTTCTTTGGCGATGGGTTTGAAGGAGGAGGCTTTGCGGAGGGATTTGCGGTCGCGCGGGTTGGTGCTGTAGATTGGGCCGATTTCGAAGCGGGAGGGGTTTAGGTGGAGGATTTCTTTGCGGAGACTGTGTGTTTTGGGGGTTGGGAATGGGTTAGCATTTTTCTGGTTTTCTCTGAGGGAGCCATGTATTTTGTTTAGACTTGGTGAGGTTAGCGTACAGCTCTGCACTTGGAAATGATTGATAGCGTAAATACGCATCGTTCTGAAGAGTAAATGCGAACTCCCGATTCCCGAAATCCGCTGATGGCTTTACGCCGTGATTCAACCATTGAAAGTGATATCTGAACGGGAATAGGCGTAGGTAGAAGGCGTACATAGTTCCAGGGTCGACTCCTGTGGGACCCGGATCGGCAGATCTACAGAGACAAATATATTTATCAGCTTTCAAAACCTCCTGCCTCTACGGAAACAATAGGCGGGGAACCAGCATACTCAGGGGTCTCGAGAGAGCTCTCCACTTTGGCAGCCACATCATTAGTGGATGAGGGGAATTCCTCATCGTCAGAGTCATCGCCGTCGAATAGGTCTTCTAGCTTGACAGTCTCTGTGGGATTGGGTTTTGTGTCCTCCGCCTTTCGGGAAGCATCTGTGGCATTATCATCGGCATTGCCATTGGCATCACTGTTATCCTGCGCTGGTGGAGTGGCACTTGATGTCTCTGGCTCTGGGGCATCTGGCAGGATCTCATTGCCATCTTGGTCGGAATTCGACATGCTAACTGAGAGCTAGAGGGAAGGTAATATCGTGAGTTTGTATGTGGCTAGCTGCTCCGGTCTGAAGTATCAGAATATTTAAACATCTTTTTTTTAAACTTCACTCTGGGACATTGACGCGACAGGACGCGTAAAGTGATTACCTAATATCTTTATTTTCTGCCAATCAATGCGGTGAGGAGAAAGCAAACGGAGTATGCAGAGCCTGCGCTAGACCAATAAGGGCTTAGCCTCCATTCCAACCCAGCGAGGCAGCCGGAGATACGTTGATCCACTTCCTCTTTCAACCTCATTCATCGGTAGACTGAGATATCTACAACTATTCTATACAATTTGCTTTGATGTATGTAAGTTATCCCTTCTTCAATCCCGTCCGTCCTTTTATGCAATTGCCCGTGTGTTCTGTTTACTTTGCTGATTTGTCAACACAAGCTTGTCTCCAGCAGCCGACAGGTAGTTACTTCATGATCCTGACATGCCGCTAAACATCCATGGATAATAAGCGTCTTAATCGATCATGATCAGAACCCAGAACGGCACGGTGTTCTGCTTTCATTTCATTTTCCGTGCCCAGTGGGATACGGTCTCGGCTATTCCCGGAGTTGAATATACCGTGAAATTCAAAATGATCTCGGCCCTGTTCCCTGAGCTTGCGTCCTATTGTTCATTCTGGAGTTCTATTTATTTCCAGTCCCAGCAGGAGTACCTAGGTATCCCCGCCAAACCTGTGAGTATGCACTCGCACCAGTACTGCTACTAGCAGGACAAGGTGGGAGAAATGGCTGCAATGACTCCAAGCAACATCTTAGAGCTTTCAACCTCCAACTTCAAGGCCTGATATGTGATCGTTAAAGTTGCCCATATTGAGTCACAATGCTTAATTTCCGGTGCGACAGAAACGAAATTAAGGTAACTACACATGGGTTCTTCACTCCCTTGGAAACGCCATATGATCAACCCACTTTTTCCACCCACTCAGCATTTCAGACATCGGGACCAATTTGGTCCATCTTTGGAGCATTCGAAATATGTATTTAGAAGGGCGGAACAACCCCCGCTCTGGCACGGACCCGAGCTCTTCCTGTTCAATGTGAGCAGGGATACTAGGAAAAACGATGTAGCAAGCTTAATCTGTCAAATGTGGTCCAGCATTATGCGTGACTCAACAAAATTTTAATAAGCGAGCTCAGTTCGCTGAAATCAAATACTGCGCGGGATATCCGTCCTCGCAATGGGTCTTGGAGCTTGTTCCTCTCGCTGCGCAGAGCTCTCTACAGCTATTTGTGGTAGAATCACATCAAATCATTAATTCAATCAGGCCTAGCCAGGACATTCAAGCATTGGAATACACAACCTCTTTAGGTTTGCAAAATAACCACTCCAAGATTTCATCTGTATTTGCATTCAGAATATCCCACAATGTCCCGAACTTCAGTGGAAGTGATCACTACATCCGCCTGTGCCCAAACCATAACATTAAAGCCATCAACAGCATCAAAGGATCCGGGAGCATTAAAATTACCCACAGCAAAGCCCAACCGTCTCGGGGTGCTCGGTGAAGATCCTGAAAATCGAACCCAGGTGCAATTGCACCCATTGGCAGTGACGGACCCAGAAAATGTGTCAACAACTAAATCCCTTTCTAAATCGAAGTCGGCCGTGGTAGTTATCTCGGCGTCGAGCATGGTTTTCATGGTCAGTATATTGAACGGCATGTTAACTGTGGGCTTGCCAACAATGGCTCGCGAGACAAATTTGTCAGAGGGTCTGATGCTATGGTGAGAGACTGATCCTAGCCATACATAAATCTATAATTTCTGGCTTGCGATTCCTGCCGCTCTTTGCTGTTGTTGTTGCTGTTGCTGGTTGTGTTCTCCATGTTGATTGCATCTCCAAATCCAAGGCCTGCATCAGCATTCGGGCTTACATGCGGCTGCACGCTTTTGCTCTCCGGTTCTATTGGCGATCTAGTCGGCAGCCGTACAGTATACCTTACCGGCTCTTTCTTGCTTGCCGTCTTCACATTAGCCTGCGGTCTGGCGCAAACAGGCATTCAGCTAATCATGTTCCGCGCAATGTCCGGAATTGCCATGTCGCTCTGTCTCCCCACCGCCGTGAGCATTATTACTTCAGCGTTCCCAGTAGGTGGAGGGCGAAACATTGCCATCGCTTGCCTGGGCGCTGCTCAACCTGTGGGATTTTCCATAGGAATCGTTCTCGGAGGAGTCTTGGTTGGTTCCATTGGCTGGAGATATGGGTACTATATTTTTGCGGCTATTAACGTTCCTTTCTTCCTTGTTGCTCTCTGGGGTGTTCCTAAGGACCCGCGGAAAACCCATCCCCTTACGTGGGGACGTGTAACATCGGAAATCGACTGGGTAGGAAATATGCTCATAAGTACTTCTCTCGGAATGTTCTCCTACACCTTTGCGTAAGTAACGTCTCCATCACATCAAATAATCCACATCCCCTACATCCATGCATTAACATCCCACTTACAGCATAATGTCCACGGGCCCAAAATCCATCCTCCGCCCCGCAAACCTCTCAATCCTCACCCTCGCCCTCCTCTCCCTCACCACATTCATATACTGGATAATCCGCCAAGAATCCCAAAACCGCACTCCCCTAATCCCCCCCTCCCTCTTCCGCTCGACCCCAACAACCCCGCACCGTGCCCGCAACTTCTCTGCCGTCTGCATCTCCGTCTTCTTCACCTGGGCCATCTTCAACGCCCACCAGTACTTCACAACCCTCTATTTCCAGCGCCTCCAACACCTCTCCACCCTGCAAACATCCGCCCGCTTCGCCCCAATGATCCTCTCCGGCGCCCTCGCAAACATCCTCACAGGCCTCGTCGTCAGCCGCATCCGCGCCGATCTCCTGTGCTTCTCCGTCGCTATCGCTTCAGCAGTGGCTCCGCTTTTAATGGCCCTCGCGCATCCGTCATGGTCATACTGGAGCGCCGCCTTCGTGGCTACGGCTCTCATCCCTATATCGGCCGATACGCTCTTTACTGTGTCAAATCTTGTAATCACGTCGATATTCCCCCCGAAGACACATGGGTTGGCTGGTGGGGTGTTCAATACTATTTCACAGATTGGGATGTCCGTGGGCTTGGCGGTGACGGGTGTTATTTCTAGTACGGTGACTGAGCAGGAGAGTCGTGGTGGTGGCAGAAGCAGTGGGGAGAGCGCGAGTGATGATGGTCACGCGCTATTGAAGGGTTATCAGGCTACATACTGGGCATTGTTTGGGGCGAGTATTTTGACTGTTGGGCTGAGCTGGTGGGGATTACGGGGTATTGGGAAGGTTGGGCTTAAGAAGGATTGAGGATGGTGGATGATTATGTTGAAAACGGGTGGGATTTAAGGATATATAGACTTTGATGGTTTTAGGACAATTATCCTTCCCGATTTGAAAGACGTAGCACATAGATAGCTGGGTATAATGTCCTAAGGTGTTTAATTACAGGATCATACAGAAATATCACTTCAGTTTTCTTCGAAGATAGTATTCATCACTTCATTGCTAGTGTGCTAGGTCATCTTCTCTCACGGTGCGATCGCAAAAATAAAGATTGGGTATAAGGATAATTTAATATCATGCTTCGTCATATATACAATCATTCATGGAACAAAAACGCCAGTTTATACAAAGCTAGTTGATTAATGGGCTTCCACCGGTTTACTGCTAACCTGAGCGCTCTCCTTAGCTAAACCCTGTGGCTTCTCAGCGACCTGATTGTTCTGCGCCTGCTCATCTCTGATTTTCTTGAGCAAAGCTGGGTACTGCACAAAAACAAGGGGGATTAGCAATCCTAATACATATTACCTGGGACATTCAACAGAAGATCAAATCGACGAACAAATGGAACAGTGATGTAAAGGAATCCAGCCCTCTCAAACCAAAAATGAAAGGGAAAGAAACGACATACCCAGCGCTCTCCAACATCCGGATGACTCTTTATCCGATTCATCAGCGTCGCCTCACCGAGATGACCCCATTTCCCCTTCGAAAACGTGAATTCAATATCATCCTGGCGGATACCGTTGCGTTTGATGACCTCCTCGCGCAGCGCCTTGACATGCGCGGGTACATCCATGCTCTCGAACGTGGCATCGTAGCTTACGCCCTGGAAGAAGGGGACGCTGTAGCGAGCGCCACTTCCGCGGGCAGGGCTTAGGACGCGGTGGGTCGTGCTGCATGTGATGTTAGATATCTGAGGGGAAAGTATCCTTGATGTCATAGGGAAAATATATGCCCGTCCATATGACAACTAACTACCATCCCCTTCTCCCTCTTTTCCGTGGAGAGGTAATTGAGCAAAATGGAAAAAAAAGGGGGTAACAACTCACCTCTGACAAACACCCTGCGTCATAGCCTCCAACCCCTGCCCCATCGCCACAACAAGAGTCCCATCAATAGGCGGACAATCCACCCACTCTCCCCGATGATTCTGCACCTGCAGCCCCCGATGCTGACTCGCCTGCAACAAATAGCTCGTAAGCATACTATCCTTATGCGGACCGACACCCTGTCCCTCCCCCTCCTCCGCCGGAACCCCCAGCTCATCCAGATCCGGATACTTGACGATCTTCAACTTGTGCTGCTGCGTTTTATCGAAGAAGCGCTCGAAAGCATTGGCCGGCAGTCCGATGGCCTCCGCCACCAGCGAGATGAACTCCATGCTTATATCGCCCATCTTGGTCATATACTGTTCGTAGACGGGGCGAAAGTTGGGGAGGTAGGCCGATTCGGGCCATTGGTTGGGGGCTAGGAGGTTGTGGTAGAGAGGGGCGGAGGGGCCGGGGAGCGGGTGGGTTGTTGAGAGGTCTATCTGCTCGCGCCAGTCGGTTTTGAAGCGGGTTATTTCGTTCCCGAGGCGGGAGTAGCCTGTGTAGATTTGGTTAGAGGGATCAGATCAGTCTTTGCTTTGCTTTCTTTGGTGTTCTTTTTGTGCCCGGTGCACTGCGCTGGTGGGTTTGGGCTTGTCCCACTCCTTATAATCAACAGTCCGCAGGGGTATATAGATATATGCGCTCCGCATATTGAAGCTATATCATACCAAGAAAACTAGGCACATTCTTCATCTCAATCTCCAACTTTTTCTCATCAGGTAACTCAAAGAACTTCTTTCCTTCATCAATAACCTCTTGTATTAGCTTATCATCGATGCCTGTGTTCTTGATATATAGGAATCCAACTTCCAGTAGCGCATGTCGCAAGGAATCGAGGAAGGCCGGCTTTGTTGCGGGATTCCGCGCCTCAGCCAGATCGAGGATTGGGATGGAGTCGAACGACATTGTTTTTATATTGTATGCATATGTAGATATACGAACAAATGTAAGTGTAAGCTGTGTATATGTGTGTTGTGAATGTGTCTACTGCAGTAGTTGAATTGAATGAGGGGAAGTCGACTGTAACTAAGTATGACGACACATCCTCGGCGAAAATGATTCAAGTGGCTGTCGACTTCGCCGGGGCATCCAGGGAACGAAGCCGATGAGATGTGATCTAACTATTCCGTACATAAACTCTCGGAGCTAGAGCCGAGATTATTTCTGAACATATATTTAACCCCCTGCCTGTCCAGTACATGTCCAGTTCCTCCACCAACAAGAGCACTAGCTCGAGTTAGAGCACAGATTTCCAGCTGCCACAAGATATCAAAAACTTTCCACATACCGCTAGCTTGAATAAAGAAGTTCTAAATAACTGCCAAACGCCCTTGTGAATCCCAATAAGCGGCTCAAGCCAGTAAGTTACATGGACACAAATCACCCTCTCCTTTATCTATCTATGCCGTAACGGCTTTTGCACTAAAATGCTTAACGACACCTTCAAACAACACTTCAACACTAGGCAAGGCAAATGACGGTCCCACATCAAATATATCAGTCAAGTTGCCTCCCGCATTCGCATTCGTCCTACCGTGGCCGAAGCCAATCTGTCGCAATGCTGATAGCGGCTCTACAGCACCTGTACCGGAGGGCAAGCTTCTCCGTTCAAGTGACCCATACGTGCCGAAAATTTTCTCTAGGTCCGTCTGTATCAGAGATGACGACACGTCAGCAGCGATTCGTGGTACAGCCTGTTTGAAATCGCCCGAACCAATCCGATGAATCCGCGCCGCGGCATCGATCAGAATGTATTCACCAGTCCGAAGGTTGGGGAGGAGGGCGCGGCAGGAATGATCCAATTTCATCTGGAACACTGGTTCCAGGGAATTTATGTTGAAAACGGTTAGATGGTGGACGGGTTTTGCCTGTGGTTCAGCCCGTGGCTCATCTGGTGCTTTCCGTTTGATGCTGGCGAATGACACAGCAAATGTTTGGCTTTTGCGGTTTATGGAGAGCAATTTTGGGTGTGAGTCGGGTGAGTATGTTTTGTCGTCTTCCACAGCCATTATTAGTCTGATTGTATCAGCCACCGTATCCCAAACTACCAGTTGGGTTGAGAGGATGACCATGTACCGATCCAAAAAGCTTACGCCGTGCGGGGTGCCTTGGTAAAGGTTATCCCGCGTATGACATATCTCTCCCGTATGAGGGTTGATGAGATATACCATTCGGGCTCCGCTCTGGTTAGTCCAGCAGACAGCAAGAACCGATCCGTCATCTGAAAAAGCGAGGCTTGAGGTTTTGGAGGGTGTTGGATCAGATCCATGCACAATATTTTCGAGTGGGATATTGTGGATAGGTCTCCATGTTTGCAGTGCTTGATTCTGCTTATCTTTGACCACCTGGCCACTGCGATAACGAGTATGGGGCGACCAAATTCGGACGACGGCGTCTTCTCCAACTGTAACAAAAGCCGAGCCGATAGGGCTGGCTGTTAGGTCCAACACTCGTGTGGAGCCTTGTGAAGTGTTGAAGTGCGGGGAATCAATGCGGGTACTAAGCTCCCATTCCTTCGAGCTTTCATTCCAGCGCCAGAATTTTAGGAAAATTTCTCTTTTCTCTTTTCCGTGGGTGATGCTGGTGGGATACAAGACGCTCACGTCTTGGGGATAGTGTAACCATTCATCGACGGTTGACAGCCACTCTCCGTCCGATGTTATACCAAGATACTTGATATCCGGCGTGGTTAATTCCGTACCCTGAGGTCCAGTCTGGATGACAGAAACATTAGTTCTCGCAAGTGCCTGGCGTAATACATGTTGGCCTGTGAGCAGATCGAAGGTCTGAAGGGATGATGCGCTGGAGGGGCTATCGAAAGAGCGTGCTGGTGAGGAGGAAACCGCTGCTAGGAGATACTCAGATTGCACAGGGTGTAAGATGGCGGGCAAGCGGCTTTGGGGTGCTTCGACGTGTTTCGAGCCTGAGGGTTTATCCTTTCTGGTTGCTTGCGATGCTAACTGCAAGCCACTCACGCTGGCAATAGGTCGTAGTTCTGACGTAGAAAGAACCATAGCAGAGTTGTCCGCAAGTCTAACTGCGTAAAATTTTCCTGTGGGCGATACAACAACGGAACAAATCGTGGACGATAGATGGGGCAAGAACTGTTTTCTTCCAGTATCGAGCTGATATTGTACAATGACAGTCTCCGAACCACCCGAGATAATATAGTTTCCTACGCAAAAGAATGTTAGCTCTAAATTTGTATGTTCTTGTAACTTAATGAGGTTATTTACCGTCTCGCGACCACTTTAAGGTTTTGACAGCGGTTCGGTGCCAATGCAGGCGGTTTGTCACTAAGCTCGTCCCGAAATTGCCTCTGCTCTCAGTCCGAAGCAAAGAATTGAGGATGTCATGGTAGATCAAAATTGCACCACTTTGGTCACCCAAAGCTAAATCGACTACTCTCGACGCCGCAGAAGATATTGAGGACTTCGAAGAAGAAACTTGAACAGATGGCGAACGCTCACGAATATCAGAGCAGGTAACAGAAATTGGCAACGTAATTTCTAGCCAGGTATACTTGATGGAATCCAGAGAGTCCAGTCGTAGTTTAGATATATATCCGACGCAAAGTTGGTCATCAACAATGACGATAACGACCCTCCCATCCGCGGCAACTTTCAACTCACTGGCTGGCATGGAAATCTCCCGAATGGTTCTGCTTTCCCAGGATTTGGAACCACCTTTGACGTGGATGGATATCTCAGTCTTCCTAGAGCTTACCCGACTCATTGTAAAAATAACATCCTCATTTGCAGAATCCTGACCCCAAGAGCCGGAGCAGGTATCCATGGAGATTATGTTATGGCCAGCTTTCCATGTTTCAATCCGTTCGCCAGAGAACCAGTCCCATTTCGAAATCGCTCCCAAGTGAGTTGCTATGTACAAATGCTGTTCCGCATTGACCGCGGAGAGCTTGCTAGCCGCAATCTCTTTCTGTACGTCCAGTGTCCTTACTGGGCTGGAAGTTGCTACGGAAAATATCCGAGCAGAAGTGTTGGAGAAAAGGATGAAGTGTCTATGCCATGTTAACAATTTGATATCTGTCACAGAAGCAAGTAGGCTGGCGAAATATATATGGATACCACGACTTACTTTTCATCAGGCGTGATAACAGTGTCAATATCACTAAATCTGCCACCCACCGTTCGTGATACGGACCACTGTGTCGATTTCCTCAATTCACTCGACAATTGCCCATCCATTATCGAATTCATTTTGTTGCGCTCTGAAACGGCGGTGGATGGAGTCGTAAAAACATCGTCACCCGCTTTCACTATCAGGGCACCATCATCTGGCTGAGGTGCCTTTCCATTTCGGTTATGTTTCTCCTTTTTCCTGCTGTGTTCTTTCGTTGGTGTTTTCCGGTCACTTTTCCGGTCTGGGGATTTAGCAGCTGTGCTGGCCTGCTTCGTCGTAGACATAGGAAAGCCGATTTTCTCCTTCGAAGAAGAGTGATGCGCTATCCTGCGCCTCTTCGTTCGATCCTGTTCAGGAGCCATCTTCTGATCTGTCGTATCATCAACAGCCAATGGTCGTTTATCCGCTAAACGTGCGGGAGACTTTTTCGAGGGCATTTGGGGTTGGAAGTGTTTCTTAGGTCCTCGGTCAAGTTTCCAGGGGTAAAACCCATTCTATAAAGACACAAGTATGTGTGCGGTTTTACCTATCCCGTAAAGTACTAGATTATTACTACGGGTAGAGTCCATCCCTCATTCCTGTCCCCTTTTTTGCTCGTCGTTTGTTCTTGAGAGAAAAAATATGCGGTTTGGAGCTAACAAAAAGTTCGCGGCAGAATCTACACCGACAAATAAAGCACTAGACCAAATTGGGAAGCAGCATCGAGAATCTTTTGTCGGACAAAAAATTCAAGCCTCAAAACCAACAACTTCATCAGTCAACGACCTACGGTTGTCTCCAGCGCTCTTGTTTGAACTCTTGAATTGCTGTGCTCATTCGGTTCCATCAGAGAGTCCCTTCACGCACACACACTCTCCCAGCGTTCTCCAGTCCCGTATCTCATACTATTCTGGCCTCTTTCACCTCGTCCGATTCAACATGATTATCCCTGTTCGCTGCTTCTCGTGTGGAAAGGTGAGCCCTGCCCAACCCAGAACCCTTCTTTTGGGCGAGAGGCTAATAATGGTATAGGTTGTTGGAGATCTCTGGGAACGATACCTAAAGCTTCTTGATGAGGGCGTGCCTGACGGGTAAGTTCGATTTAACATTCAACGGCTTCGAAGAGCGCGCAAACCCAAGGGGAAAGAAGTCATTATGTGTCTGATAATAATGCGGCATATGCAGGGATGCAATGGATCAGCTTGGGTGTAAACGATACTGCTGTCGACGAATGCTCATGACACATGTTGACTTGATTGAAAAGCTTCTTCGGTACAAAAAAGCCCGTTTTGTTCTACATCCTTTCCCATCCGGAATATTCCATTCTAACCGATGATACGTCTGGATAGATATAACCCTGCGGAGAGAGATCGAGCGAAAACCCAACTGTAGATCGTCGGATTAAAACACCTCCCGTTATTTGATTGAGTTCAGAAAAATGACCTCCACAGCCACGCACATATGCACGAGCGAGAGGCCCTTCATCCACCTTAGTTCCTTTGATACGCCGTGACGACCCTTTTTGAGCCCCCTTTATTCGGGACGATGAGATGACGCCCTATTCCATCCGTCTTTTTTATTTACCGGATCTTCGGTTAGAAAACAATGAGCTCACCGGCCAAATCCTCGTTCAAACACCGACCTTTCGAATTATGTTCCACGAATAATTGCCCAAACCTTTTGGGGGAAACATTCGACAACCAGTAACTAACGTTCTTCATCTACATTTTACTTTACCGGATAAAAACCAACATTAAAAGGCCGATTACGTAACTTTCGCGGGGTGGACTAGACAGATTAGTTACTGGTCGAAGTGCAGAGAATTATGCAGCTTGCACTGGAGGCGCAGCAACAGAGCAGGTTAGACTGACAGCTTCATGTGGAAAGGGAGGGGGAAGGAAAAAAAAGGAAGATCGAAGGAAAAGTGCGATTATTGCCTAAATAATAGTGTATGATAATATTACTGAATAGACGGATCTAAGGCGGATTTTCTACTTGGACTGATCAGTTCCTCTAGCAGTATCCAGAGTATATATTCTTAAAGAATTACTGGCAGATTTGGGGGCCAGGGTCGAAACCCTGATACTGCACCCTGCAACATAAATACAAAAACAAGCAAAACAAGGGTGTTATCTCTGAGCATAACCGAGTATGTGGTATGCGGGTTGTAGTTATGAATCTAGGTAAATAATTTCTATGAATCTTCAGATTGTTTCAGCAATCAAAAGGCGATATCCAGGCATCTTCTTCGCGCAGGGGCATACGGGAGGAGTGGTTTCGGTTGCAGCGAATACCGAACAGGGAACTCCGAAATCCGATTTCCCGAAGCGAGCGCATTCGCTGCCTTTCAGAAGTTACCAAGGGAGCAAGGGAGCAGTCAGTTAAAGTAAGGTCGTTTAAAGGGCATATTTCGTTCTGCTGAATGAGGACGAGAGCAGGGATGCATGAGCAACCATCAGCACTACGAGAGTTACTAGTCCCAGGTTTCAATATCACAGGCTGGTCAGTGATAGGGAGAGAGGACGCCATTCTTAACACAAATCCCGTCTGACAGGATTTTGGATCGGACGAATTCGTCATGACACAACCTTAACACTGTGCTGGGACTGGAGAGGAGTTCGTCCAGTCCAGTAGCCTAGCAGGAAACAAGGACATGAATTGGACCCCAATTGTCCTCAGAAGAAGGAATTCTTTCCACCAGGCAGCCTAGCCTGCTTAGATACATTACAGCTTTTAACAACCATCGCCTTCCTGCATCTGATCTATCTGGTTGTTTTCTGTTGTCGTCGCCGAATGGCAGTTGGCCAGTTCATCAGAAGAAACAGCCAGCCTTGCCAACCCTGGAATGCCTGCAATGATACGAGCCAACTGGAAGACTGACATTTTCGTCCGTCCAAGAACAAGCAGCTAATGCAGCTGTCGAGAAACAAACTCGCGCTGTGACTGGTCGATGCGGCCTATTGGCGTCCTCCATCACTTTTTCCCAGCGGCTAAATTGCAGTTAAGACTGCTAAGGATTTGCCAAAGCGGACGGGATCATGACAAAGCCAACAACCCCCCAACCACAAGCCCGTGTCGCCATTGGCCGTGGCTTGCTGTGCCATCCATGCTAGGTCGCTATCTGGGTGGTCGGTCCCGTCTCCGATTGATTCTTCTGTTCTCTTGCGGTGGAAAAACGAGGAGAAGCACAAGAGGGATGAACGGCGAAACCCACTCATCCCCATATTTACCATACCCGTTGGACCCGTGAACAAAGCCAGCAGCGGATTTTGTTGACTCTCGGACAATCCAAGGTCTCTTCTGGCTCTGTGGACACATCCTCTTGTCTTCTGCAACGAATCCCCTTGACTGGATTTTGGCCCCCTCTTATTCTTTGAGCGTCTTTCAGACCTCGCCTCCCCATCCAACAACAACCTTGGAGACTGGAACAGACGGTGTAGCCAGCGGAAGAAGACCTGTGCGGGGTGTGCAGTGTAATCAATCATCGATTTGACTGGCACCGTGCAGATCCTGGTTCGGGTCATTGGTTTCGAGCATTGGACAGCTTGTCGTGTTGTGTTAATTTTTTTTAAAGCAAATTTTATAACTTTTCTTTCTTGCTACCAAATTTATACACTCAATCCCTCTTCGTTTCCTCTATTTATGGGATGACAGGCACTACAGGTCTGTTCCAGAGGGCATAGCCATAATAACTGATTCTGTAGCTAACCTCCAGTGAGTCCCGTTTATCACTGAGATACGCTCCGTCAACGCTGAAATAGGTCTCTCTGACATTATCAGCCAAATTCCTCTTGAGGGTTTGGCTGGCCAAGCAATCACCGACAGCGGGGTCATTCGTATCAAGAGCACGAGCATTGAATGATCGTCAATTTGCTCTTCTAAATACCTTTATATAACAACATTTGATATCTCTCTGATGATCCTCCTGGATCTCTCTAAGAAACCGACATGCTAGCTGTTAGATCCCCGTCTTCTGTCTCCTCGGGACCCCAATTATCCGCATTCTCCCCCTACTCTGCGTCACCAAGTTCACCAGCTCCTCTTTTCTCAATGTAAGTTGAAAGTCGTAAGATATATACCACTACAAGTTCCCCTCCGATCATGGCTCTAATTCCATTCCTGCTAGCAAATCTGACAAACAACGTCCCTCTCTACGATCGCCTTCACCCTCCCACATGTCCGCCGATTCTCGATCGACCGAAGAGGCTACCAGTAGGACCTCCCCAAAGGCCCTCACCCCAAACGGACTTGATGTTTTGGAGAACCAAGATGCGATGATCAACGGGGATATTGGCCACTACATTCCGAGGTCGGGAAGCTCACTCAGTGTATGATTTCCCGCTACATGCTGTGCAGAAACGCATGAGCTGGCATCAATTGATATCCCTATAGATCCGCACTTCCGGTGCTGGAGTGAGCGACTTCAAACATAGCTCGGACGAGGATGAACCCCCGCAATCTGTAATTCACGTCCCCTCCGGTTTTGGTAAATTTGTAGGTTTCTCCTTTCCTTCTGGCTTTGTTAAATTTGTCACTGTTTACATTGAGACTCACAATTCAGCAGCTAGATAGTTCACCTTCTCCCCGCGCAGAGTCTATCAGATCATCGTCGGCACTATCAGATGTGACGGTCACTACGCAACTGGCAGTCCACGGCCAGAATGCGGGCAAGGTTGGCTCCACCTGACAAGCCCAGATGTGAACTCCACTAAAATGGGCTCTAGAAAATGTCATCCAGCCCTGTATCGCCGCCGCCAATCACCACGCAAATCGCACCTCCCGAGGACTGGTCAGATCGAACCACGCCTCTTGCAAAAACAAGACAAGAGGTTGAAGATTTCAAAAAAAGGGCTAGGAAAAGCAACTTGGAAGGTACACTCAGTTATCCTTTTCTTTGTGTTTATATAGCAGTCTGACTCTCTTTGGCAGATATACCGGAGACCTTGGACACCGACCAGCCTGTCGAAGAAACCGAAGATGAAACTGAGCCAACCCCAATTAAAATGACTTCTACAGTTGGTAAATTTCAGGATACGGAGGATGAGTTGGATGCCCTGAGAGTTGCATTATCGGAATGCTGGAATTTGTGTAATACCCTAGCGAACTTAAGTTATATCCATCGAGAGCGATTGTTTAACTTTTCCGGAAAGGGAGACAAGCAGGAACAGGCTTGGAAGTCGTGCTGGCAACTTTGTCAAAACCTTTATGAGAATCGAGATAACGATGACCATCAATTCCACGTACGGCCAACGCTAGATCTTTGCCGCGACTTTTGTCAAGCGCTGTTTGAAGTTCGCGTGCGTGATAATGAACTCGCCGACTCCGTGCTGCGTGTGAGTTTTGAGCTCAACAACCATCTGTATAATACTCACGATCGAAACCTGCCCGAAGCATTTCGGGAACGGACGTTGGATTTTTACATCACGCTATGCCATCGCCTCATGAAGCAACGAACACGATTAGCGGAAGAAACAGACTCCCTCTTGAAGGCTTGCTGGTCACTGGCTGAGATGTTGTTCAGCCTACGGCAAAGCAGGCGGGAGGGCAAAGAACCCGATGAAGAGCTCCTCGGGTCCGCCGTGCAGGCATGCTGGGAATTGTGCGATCTTTTCCGCGAAGGCTGGACTCAGATTCGACCGGATCGTGGCACCCCACGGCCCAGCCAGACCACCTTCACCCAAGCGTTTTACCAAGCTAAACGATCCGAGTATGCCGTAATGGCCGAGGAGTCCCAATCTCAGAACCGCGGAGGGAACCCGGAAACTCCCACGACAATATTTGAAGATACCACCACAATTTCACCTGATGAAGCTCCCTTGCCTAACATTCTCCTCCTAGGCCCTGGCCTCACCCAAGTAACCCCTCCTAAGTGGTCATCTAACTCCTCCACGCTGTCCGGCTACTCCCAATCCTCATCCGGAAAGACAACAACATCATCATCCAACAACACTGTCAAATCCCCCGCGGAAGACCCGAACCTTACCTGCCTGAAACTCCTAATTGTCCGTGCAGCCATGAACGGCGGTTTCCAGCGGGGGACGACTCAAACGCTATCTGCGTTTGTGAAATCCCTCTCATCAGATTCCTTCGGCACGCTAGTGTGGCAACGCACACTTCTAGAAAATTATAAGAAACTGGTTGTCTTTGACGCGGCATTCCGCGACGTTGCGCCGCCTGCCCGTGCGGGTGCCATGGATGTTGCCAACGCGGTCAGATCTATGGTACTGCATAATGGGCAGTATATCTGGCTGCAGGACCTGTACCGATTGGTGTTTGGCTTCCATACCGAGGAGGCATTACACCGAAAGAGCGTTACTGTTCAGACGTAGATATAGCGGCCTTCTGATTTTTCTTCGTAACTGACCCATAGAAGGAAGGGGCTTGCTTTTCCCCTCAGGCGGGCTCGAATAGTTCTTATATAATTATTACCATTTTATAAAAGAGATACCCCACACGCTGTTTGCGCTCTAGACCTTTCCTCTGGCTTGTTTCCTTCCATGTATAACTGGTGGCTGACTTGTTTTATTTCAATATTCCTTGCCTACAGTCATGTCGACGCCTCAGTATATTCTCATTAAGCAAGCCCGCAGCGGTTCCAACAAACGTCATAAATACTTATTTCCGACCCCATTCCCCTTTCTTCAATTCTCCAACCATATGATTCTCCAAGACATATCAGTCCCCTCCCACTCTCATCACCACAACCATCGTATATCTCTCTGGATGTCCCTTTGGATACTATCTCCTTAGCCTCAACTCATCTTCCCCGACCATGCATTTGGACCTCCATTCTCCCATCTCCCGTTCTGGTCCCATCCCAGCAGTTTTCTTCCCATTATCCTTGGACACCTACAAAGCATTTACATTTACCACATTTCTTGCTTACTCGATTGATTGATATCATCTCCTATTCGTCCAAAATTTATACCAAAAATTTACGGATTCGGCCCATATGGTGAATTAGCTTTAACACTCCTGTCTCCAAACCCCCCAACCCTTCCCTTTTTCCATCTTCCCCTCTCCCATTTTGCTGCATCCGGATCTCTTCCCCTGTCCGAAAGCAGATAACTTCCTGATCCTGCTCTGCGAGTAAGGCAAGCTAAGCTATGTGGTTTTCTCTTTTTTTCTTCTTCCACTAGTTCTTATGTGATGACTGGAATGGGAAATGGGGTCGTGGGTCACACTTCTTTTATGGTATAAACATATAAATATATACATAGCTCTTTTGCCAAACTGATAAGCATCTATCTCTCAAACGTATTTTTGGCGCTTTTCCCCTCCATTGTTCTCCTGGGAATTAACAACACTTGAATAAAAGTACCTGGACTCATACAGCCCGCACGGACAAAAAGGAATCAAATCAAGCCACTCTATACTCACAATCTCAACTTTCAAAGGGCACCTCACCAGAGCGTCTAGTCATTCTGGATATACATTCCAATGAGCAGACTGTCTCTGCGAAATCTGTTCTCCTTTTATCTTTTTTTTTTATCGTTTTTTGGCGTGTGTATTTCCATATTTTGACTTTCGCCTACAATACGTCTGCGCATGGGGCGCCATCCATTGCAACATCATAAATTAACTAATTAAGGTGGCAATTTACCCATCGGGCTAATAGCATTCCAATCCGAGAAGCAAGGGTTCAGAGGAAAATGTAGTCCAGCAACTGAGAAAGGGAATCTCCCGGGGTAGTTTCATGTTGGTCAGAATGCGTCAACCTCTACCGCGTACCCCGGTAGTTAGTCTGAGAGCAGATGCTACGTACAACACCATTTCCCGTGATTTGATTCCACTACTAATTTCCAGTATTTGCCATTATGAATAATGAAACTTGTATAATGTTATTGTCTGCTTGTCCTCTTTTATACGAGTCGCATTAAGCTTAGCCAGGGATGAGTGTTAGCCGCCCAGACTGCAGCCCCGTATCTCAACTTGCATGGGGGTTACATATTGCGCAACGTAGGGAGGATGACGATGACGACTCACAGGATATTTCTTTTGCTCAAAAGCACACACCCATGCCGAACCACGATATAGCTATTGTTATCCCAGTTTCTGGAAATCTCGATTTATATTTTTTGAAGTAGTTTTCTCCGTGGATTGTACCTTTCATCCATGCATCTCGAAATAGGCTGCAGATCCAGGCATTTGCGAATAATCCACTGCTTGGGTGTTCAAGGCAGGTTATCCGAGATTCTCCAGTCATTTTTACCTGCTGCAATCCCTGTAAGCAGAAAATTCGAGAAATATGGTGCGCCTTCAGGGGGGCTACCTTGGTTAAATATCGGAGATGAAATGGGACTGCATTGCGTCCTGTCCCCCTCCTCTCTTGATGAAATGACAGCGTATGGAGGCTTTTATTTTGAAATTCTCTGAATTTCTGTTTGTTAGGAACATGATAGTGTGATGTGATTGAATATTCCGGGGCTGGGGATTTCTATATACTGCCCCAAATTCAGCGTGTCAATGACGAGATTGATACGCAACATAATGTTATGCCATATCTGTCTATGGAGATCCTGCCACCAACATCTCTTCTTGAAGTAGATGCTTAGCCGAGCTGCCCTGGAAGTTCTCACAGACTCACAGACATTGACTGTCGGGGATCATCAGTTTACTTGCATAGGTTACACTATGCGTATTCCTGAACCTGGCAAGCCCTCCTGGCATGAAGCGGCGGGCGCATACGGCCCACAACAACGCCACATATGTTTGCATATCAAATTCATATCTCAAGTCAAATAGTTATTCAGCATCCATATTTTATCATCATTTTGGGCGGCCACGTTTAAGACCCTTGATGAACCTTCCAGGGGCTGCGACTTAGAAGCTGCGAATCTGCGATTCTTGCGGTTCCGCACCACTGATAAGCGCTGTAGAAGATTCGGCAGCGGAGCCCAGAATCGCTAAGCGGAAAATCCAGCTGGCATGCTATCAGCTGTGTGCTAAGCTGCTGGACAAGGTACGTTAATTTAGTAAGAGAGGTGAGTGGGCAGATTCCTTTCGTTGATTGTTTTCTTTTTCTTTTTTCTTTTCAGGTCTCATATTCATATGCACCCCCTGGCGTGGGAGTGGAAAACTTGGCGTCTGGCTGCTCTCATCCACATCCCCTGAGTTACAAGTCAAGGACAATCCACTCTGGTATGCCTCCGACATGTTCCCAGTGCTAGTAGCCATCGTGGAAATTCCCACATGAATCCATGACGGAAATGTGTATTTAATGCTGCTGGAGCCCATCCCTAGATTTTGCTTCTCCCTCTTTTCCCAAAATTTCCAGCTTTGTATTCCTTTCATTTCACGACACTCCATCCGATGATTTGCAGTGCAAATTTAGCGTATGAGACATCCATAGCAGTGCTTGGTCACCTTTTCTGTTTGTGTCGGCTGTCTTTGCTGCAGGTTGATGGTTCTTGATTCTGGGAATCGAGAATATTCTTCTCCACAACCCCTGTAGGCGTTGCTTCCCTTCAGCCTAAGGAGCAGTGACAGTATATGTATCCCCAGATATCCCAAGGTCCGTCGTCTCCACCAACCCCACATCCTGCAAAGATGAAACGATCCAGGCGCTCCCAGGTTCGCGGGCCTGACTGGCCAGGATTGTTGCTCGCCATTTCAACGGTTGCCACTACGGGCCTTTTGCTTCTCGGTTATGATCGTAGGTTTCCCCATTTTTGCAATGCTGGTGCCAGACATTCTGGGAGATGGATTAATCACCTTGTTGTTCCCCCTTTTTTTTTTCTTTTTTACGACAGAAAATGTTTCAGAGAAGCAAAATTGACAAACTTCTTCACCGGAGGGTGTTATTTATGGAATTATCAACGCCTAACCATTCAATAACGCTTTCCCACAGGCTCGTGATAATGCGCCGTACAGGGTTGTGTGATTGCAATTTATGAAGTTAGTCCAAATCCTTATTATTTACTGCAAAAATTATAAAATATATCTACTAGACTCTGCTCTTTTCTCAGTTCTCAGAGATTTATATGATACTATAAGTCTCTTTTATTATAATATTTAGCTGCTCTGGAAGAAATCATTGCAGTTTAATTTTTTAAGAATCATTGAAATCAAAATCCATTATTCTTAGTAACTAATCTATTACAATCAATCTTTTTCAATATTTAACCATTATTATCAAATATATGAATATCAAAGTACTTGGTTGTTATATTTAAACCTATTCTGATGAATCATTGAAAATCTATTTTTTTTACGGAAGATTAACTCACAACTATTTAATATCATCCAAAATAACGAGTTAGAATGAAAGATAAAGTAGATAACATATTATCACATAGCTGCTGAGATATTAGCTCAATGAGGAGAATATGATCATTTACTGTCGAGTGTTTGTTTGCTCCTAACTGTTAAGGTGCGAATGCGAGCTGCATAAGAAGGAAACTCTCTGCGTTGCTAACTGCTATGTAACGGAATACTAAGCTTGATGGGATGAAAAGGGGTTGCTGGGGCCTGCCTGGATTATGTTGGAACGTCTGAAGTGGTTGTATTGGTAGCCTATCTCAGGGATGCTATATACTATTGTGTGGTGCGCTAGTCCATAATAGGAAACCTAGGCTCCAACAGATTAAGTTGGGCTGTTGGGCCCTAGTAGCACCACTCCACCGCACGTGATGAACCCTATATAGTTAGCTAGCTTCAACCTCAACAACAAGAAGATTATGTTGGGCGTATGGTGGCCCGGGCTGCCGCCCCGCCGCACGTGATATAGCGTATATTAGATAGCTAGCTAGGCCTCCCAATATGAGAGATTCAACCATCCTACAATAACAACCCGCATGGAAATCAAAAAACTACGAAAACGTCTTAATCAATCTTGATCACATCCCTATAAGCTCTCTCCCATCCCCTCAGGCAGCAAGCCTGATGGCATGCCAACACAGCGCCACCAGCGCGCCCAGCCCCCCAACACCACCGAACGCGTCCTGAGCCTTGACGCGCATTTGCTCCCCCATACACTGACCACCCAAGAGACCTCATCTCTCCACCCCAATCACCCGCTGCACAAGTGAACTGAATGACATGGAGCCTCCAAGCTCCCCTACACCAGCAGGCAGCTCAAAGAGCATAAATGTCGCACCAATATGTCTCAACCTATGTGGCTCAATGGCTAGTGAGCTCCTAACTGCCCACAAGGCTGAGGCATAGAAATCTCATGCAGAAGCACTAGCTGCTGCAAATATGCTTGATCAGATTGAAGAAGACTTAGATGGCATGAAGGCAAAAGACCTATCAAAGGCACTGGCCCTTGAAGTTGCCATGAAGGTATTAGTCAAGGACTGATATAATGAAAGTCTAGAAACAGTGAAGCAGTCCACCACAATCAAATCTACTGATTTCACTAATGCAATTGCTGCAAGAGCTTCTACCTATACAAAGACAGCTGCAGACAGCATTAACATAGCAAAAACATCAGCAATTATACCACAGAAACTCCTGTTTAGAAATAACTCTAGAGAAGAAAAAACATCATGAATTCTCACATGCCTGTCTTCAAATCATCTAGCTTGCAAAGCAAGTTCAATTGCTACTCTTAGAAAGCTAAAGACTGAACTTTCAGAGTCTTTGACAGCAGTCATCACAGCAGTTCAAGTTATCTTCACTGGCATTGTCATCATCTTTAGAAGTTTACAAGACATGAAGACTCTGCTAGTTAGAAAGAATGATGTAGCAGCCACTCTCATCAATGCTTAGATAAAAAAGAAAGAATATTGAATCATTTGTCTGATTTCTGACCTGCTTATGAAGATTAGTGACTATGATGATGAAACTCTGCATCTCTCAGTAGAATTTATAACAGAAGAATTCACACTTTAAATCAGAATTAAGTCTGTTTAGAGTTGCTGGACAAAAACATATTCTGAAAATTCAAACAGTTATTATTATATTACATTTTTCACAAAAGATAGCAGCAAATCTGTCATCAAAAGTGAAACTATATGAATATCAAAAACCAGTGATTAGAAAGATATCTAAGATCAAAATACAACAATGCAGCAGATGTTGAGAATTTCATCAAGAGAGATACTGTTTCTGTATTTCTCACTGCAAAAAATGCAGCTCTAAGAATTATATGAAAGAAAATCTGATCTATCATAAGAAGAATAAAGTATATGAATGTCTCAATTGCTGCACTAACTGTCTTGAATCACATCTTGCAGATGATTCATTCTGCTCCATCAGATCAGAAATAAAGAATGAGATTGTTCAAAAACATTCAAGAAATTAGCTGAGAGATATCTGCAATGCACAGAATAAAACATATTTGATCAAGACAAATAATAGCAAATGTGATAATTGAGATTCATCAGCAGATCTGAGGATGAATGACTCTACTGAGTGTAGATCTAATCTCACACTAACATTAAACACAGTATCAAGCACAGCATTAAGCACAGCATCAGACACAGCATTAGACATGATGCTCAACTTAACATCTAATGCAACATTCAACAGAACATCTCATGCAACAACACTCTTCTTTCAGCTATTAAATGAAAAAGAACTCTAGATCTCTGCAATTTCTGCAGATTATACAAGTCAATGTAGAAAAAGAGAGTTCAGCATACAAGACAGCTCTCAATCTAGCATTCAAAAGAAAAACTGACATTCTTCTCATACAGAAACTCTGAATTTATAGAAATGTAAGCTGACATATCTCTATAAAGCACCCAGCATTCAACTGCTTTGCTCTAATTGAAAAGTGGGACAGAAAGTCACAGGTTCTCATCTATATGTGTAAGGATCTATAAATTCATGCTCATGTAGTCCCAGGCCTCTGAGCAGAAAACTGAAACATTCACATGCTGTATATACAGATCTAGAATCTACAGCTTTAGACAGTCAACATATACAATGCATTCTCAGATGCAGAGAATTCTGAACAAAATATTAGCTGTCTTCTCTTCTGATCTGTCTCAGCAATTTCTTTGCTTCTTGCTGATGATCTCAATATCAAGCATCTCACATGGCAATCAGAGGTGCCTTCAAGCATGTAAGCAGAATTATTTCTACAATGAATCATGAATTTCAACTTTACTCTCACCATGAACTCAGACACTCTCACATGTGAGCATAACATACTAGACCTAGTCTGAGTCACTTTGAAATTAGTTATCAAAGAAGTAAACAAACAGATGGACAGATCTTTTTACACTTTCTCTGATTACCAGACTCTTTTCATCAAAATCAGCCTTTCATAAGATGTAAGATCTGACAGATCACCTCATCATTTCTGTCTTGACATCATGAATAAGAAGGTCTTTAATCAGATACTGAAGGTCTATAAGTCAAAACTAGACAAACTATGTGATATTTCAGAATACTCCAGTACAGATCAGCTGGATGCTCTGACTCAGAGTATCATAGATGCATTAGTAGCTTTTCTGAAAAGCTTCATCAAGAAGAGCACTGAGCAAGACACAGGTCAGTCATGGTGAAATGAGAACTGTCAGAAAGCAGTGACAACATTATATCAAGCACAGCATCTAGATTCTAGATTTTTATGAGAAGTAAAAGGCAATGTAGTCAGAATCACTAGAAAAGTCAAGAGAGAATACTGATAAGATAAGATAACAGAGACCTCAGCAGAGAAAGATATCTTTAAGATGATTAAATGAGTCTATTCAACTGACTTCTTTTATTCTCCCCCTCTTGTAGATAAAGAGACTGGGCTAGTGTGAACAAGCTCTAGAGAGAAAAGAGACCTTCTGCAACAGATGCTCTTACAGAAGACTGTATAAGAGGTTGAACCCCTAGATTCGCTCTGGCTGGCTGACTCAGCCTAGCCATCGTTTGCACGTGCGCACGTGATCATGCTACGCGAGCTCGCTTAAGCTCGAGTTCTCATCTCATTCTTTTCTTCCCTTTCTCAAGCAATTCGTCCTTGTTATATAGGAGGACTAGCCTCTAGTTCTTAGAGCTTAACCCTTTACAACAAGCACCTTTCATCTGTACCATTGTATCCCAATGCCCCCCAGACACTACTGTCCCCTATGAATACATCTTTAGAAATTGAAAGTATGCCACTACCCTCATCTTCTGTCAAAATAGAGAGTGTCTCATGTCTATTTATATGGACAGCAGCTGCACCATGATACTCATGAGCAAAGCCTTTCTCATGAAGCAATGTTACAAAATACCTGTCCTATCCTGCCCATGTATTCCAGTCTGTGGCATTGGTGATGGGACTGAGTCAACTCAATTAGTTGTTTTCCCTCTACACTTTATCACATCCCTGCTGGGCTCTTCAACCCAAGTCCTGGCTCAAATATCTGTTGAAGCACATGTTGTTGACAATCTTCAAGTCAATCTACTTCTTGAGATAGACAACATGGCTCCTGTGGGTATGACTATTGATTTAGACAAGTGTATTGTCTGAATCAAATTCTGCAAGGGTGCTAAGGTTAGAATCTCCATTACCCCCAAAGCAGATCACCAGTCTTCGCGCCCTGTGTACACAGACACAGAAGTCATAATACCCTCTCACTCTGAGGCCAGAATTCCTCTATGCTGTCACTTGCCTGGTAATACCAAACTTTCTACAGACTGTGACTATGTCTTTGCACCAAAACTACCCCCTCTGTCTTGTTATGTTCAGATTATGAATGCCTCTCTACCATTTGCCCATGTAGTGAACCCTACATTCAAATGGGTTGTTATCATCTGCTGGTCTTGCATTGGCACTCTACATGAATATGATGCTTCTGGTGCCTACCTTGTTGACCCCTCTGCTGAACCACTTGCCCTCACCTCACTGCCTGTGGAGACTCTTCCTCTTAGCCCTTCTGGCCCCATGCCTCCTAATTCCAACCCCATGGGTTCCGAGACCCAGCTATCTAATGGCATCACCATGTATGGCAACCCATGACACAGTTACCAAGATCACTGGCTTATGCAATATGTTCCTACTGTGGGATGATTATGATAACACTGTTGATCTACCCCAGGATCAGTGGATGCAAATCCTGTTGATCCCTGGCCGGAAGCCTCAGACATCTGCCAAAGTATATCTCTTGGGACAGAAACACAGAGAAGTTGTTGATGATGTCTTTGATAAGCTACACCAACAAGGCTGTATGGATTGAGCAACTTCCCATACTCCATCTGGCTACTCCATGTTTGTCACTTGGAAGACAGTGACCATCAATGGGAAATAGGTTCAGAAAGACCATTCTGTCATTGACATTCAAAATTTGAACAGAGTTGTTGAGCCAGACATCTATCCTATGGCTCAACAAAATGAAATAATCAATGCTGTCGCAGGTTGTCACTTTATTTCAGTCATGGATTGTACTTCCTTCTTCTACCAGTGGAGGATTCACCCAGAACACTGGAATCAGTTATCAGTAGTCTCTCATTGCGGACAAGAGATATTCAATGTCATTGTTATGAGATTCATTAATACGTCTGCCTATGTACAACACCTGGTTGACACATTTCTACAGCCTCACAAGGCCTACACACAGTGCTACATTGATGATCTGGTTGTCTTCTCCAAAACCTTGAAGGATCATCTACTCCACTTGCATTCAATATTTGACCTGCTTACTTCCAAGAACATAGTTGTCAGCTCTAAGAAGACTTACCTCACCTTCCCCACCATACAGTTGTTGGGACAGAAGGTTTTCTCCCTGGGCCTATCAGTTGCAGACAATAAGATTGCTGTGCTAGCCATGCTGAAATTCCCACACATCCTTAAAGACCTGGAGGTGTATCTAGGCCTGACTAGCTGGCTCCGTGGATATATCCCCTGGTATGCCTATCTATCTGAACCTCTTAATGCCTGCAAGACAGCTCTGTTGAAAACTGCCCTCTGCAAGAGACAGCCCCACCTTCAATTTTCTCTGTGTACCAGCCTTGGGACCTCTACATCAAAGGAGATTGACTCTTTCAAGTCTATTCAAGCAATCTTCACAAAGAGACTCTTTCTAGTTCATCATGACTGTACTAGACATCTATTCGCGGACATAGACGCTGCAAAGCAATGGGGATATGGAGTCATGCTGTTCCATGTTAAAGATACATGGAAATCACTGACAACTCTCAACTTTTCTACACCCCCCCTCTCAACACTTGTCAAACCAGTTCTCTTCCTCAGCAAAATCCTGATCAAAGCAGAACAAAATTACTGGCCCACAGAATTAGAAGTCACATGCCTAGTATGGATGTTGAAAAAGACTTGTCATATGATAGAAGCATCCTTCTTGCCCACTATTATATACACTGACCATTTCACCACTCTTCAGATTGCCAAACAGACCTCCTTATCAACATCCTCAACAGATAAGTTGAATTTATGACTAGTTCAGGCTGCACAGTATATACAGCACTTTACAACTCTACAAATATTTCATAAGCCTGGCTGAACTCATCTGATCTCAGATGCACTTTCTCACCTTGAGTCCAACGCCCCCTCTGATCATGATGAACCTCTGGAAGCATTCCAGGACGCCTTCCACACTGATGCTGTCCTGGGACAGCAGTACACCACAACACTAGTTCAGATGTCTCATGAATTCTGAAGAAAACTACTGGATGGATACACTCAGGACCCTCATCTACACACTATATTGGACATCATTTGCAGAAATGACCTCTGCTGAATTGAGGATTGAACCTGCCTGCCATACTCCCTAAAAGACAGCCTGTTGTACCATGACACTGCTGCAAGTGATTCTCAATTATGCATCTCACAATCCCTTACTGCAGATGTTTTTGAACTCACCCATACAACTGCCCATCTAGGATTTGCTAATACACTACATAGGCTATCCTCACTCTCCCTATACAAAAAATCTCAACTACTGAAGCAGTACATACACCATTGCCCAGGTTGTATGCATTTTCGGATTCCCTGTCATAAGCCCTACAGGTCTCTCCAGCCAATCATTGAACACAACCTATTTCATCCTGTTACCATTGACATCATACTCAGGCTACCACACAGTGGAAAATATGACGCTGCCATGACCTTAACTGATAAGGCCAGCAAACGCTCCACCCTCACTCCTGGGTGTCAGGACTGGCCAGCTGCATCTTGGGGTAAGGCCCTTGCCAACTGCTTCATCATAGGTGATTGAGGTATACCCACCCGTTTGATCTCTGACAGGGATCATAAATTTTTGAGTGACATGTGGAGAGAAATCTTCTGTGCCATGGGTGTCAAGCTCCTATATTCAACTGCCTACCACCCACAGACAGATGGCCAAAGTGAGATAACTAACCAGCACTATGAGATTGCACTACAATATGTCATTGTGGGACTGGATGACCCTACCACATGGCAACATGCTGCTATGAGACTACAGGCCATATTTAATTCCACTGCCTCCTCAACTACTGGTATCTCACCTTACTGCTTTATGTACAGGACTGATCTCAATGCCCCCACCCCCCAGGACTTCTCATGTTGGGTTGATGCTGCAGAAGCCACTGACCTCACAGCTATATATATGAAGAAATATTCTGACAAGAAACATGCCCCCAAGTTCTTTGACAATGGTGACAAGGTCTTGCTCCAACTGGACAAGGGTTATACTACCCCTATCACCAAAATCCATGGCAAATTCGCCCCTAAGTTTGCTGGCCCTTTCACCATCCTACAGTGTATGGGTCACCTCACCTACTTACTAGATCTCCCATCTCACTTCAGGATTCATCCTGTCATCTCAATCACCCATCTGGAAGCTGCCCCACCTGGATGTGACCCCTTTGGCTGATAGCCCACGCCCCCTGGCCCTGTTATGGATTCCCAATGTGATGCACATGATACCCAGGGCAATGAATTCCAGTCCTATGAAATTGAGTGTATATTGGACATGAGGGACTATGAGAACCAGATGTGGAGACAAGATTGAATATTTAGTTTGCTGGAAGGGTTATGATTTCTCTCATGATCATTGATATCCCCTGCATGCTCTAGGCGATGCGCAAGATGCTGTTGCTGGTTATGAGAACATGGTCACTGAACGCACTCTGCTCATTGATCTTCCCCCCTCCTCAAACCCTGCCCCACAACATTGTGGGTGCCCTTGAAAATCTCATGCTTAGACTATCCATGCTATTACCTACACCCCCTGCAATGAGGGCGCTGCTTTTTTTCTTTTCTGTTTGAGCATATGTTAGGCGTTGCCTACTTGCCTACCAACTTGCCTATCTACCAGCACAGATATATGTTATTCTGACCCTGGGTCGAGGTGTACATCTTATAGCTCCCTAGCTCGCCATAGATCTTAGAGAAATCCAACCTTCTTACACGTACTCATAACAAAAATATAAATATAATATATTTATTATATTTTATATTTTTTTAATTTATAAATAATATTTATTAAATTTAAAATTTTTTATTTATAGTATAGTTGTTTATAATATAATATAAAATTAATTTATTTTAATTTTAAATTTTTTCATTTTTAATTATTTATTTATTCTATATTTTTAATATTCTTATTATAACTATCTAGTTAAATAAATAAAAGTAAAAGTTTTATTTTATAATTATTTTAATACTATATTAAATTATGATATTATTCTTCTATAGAAATTATATTTTAATATAATTTGATTATATATTTAAATAAAAACTTAGTAAATTAGTATATAAATTATAATAAAATAATATTTATTTAATTTTATAAATATTAATAACTAATAAAAGTTTTCTTTTTTAATTATAAACTTGATATTAAATTTAAAAAATATATTAAATAATTTAATAAATATAAATAATTTATAATAAAAAGTTATTTATTAAATACTATTATATATATCTATATAAATACACTCAATATAAATAAAATAAATATCAAAAAAGTATAAAAAATACTATAATTAATATCAAAAGAGAATAAAAATATAGATAAACTGATATAATAATTTAATTTTTTATAAAGTATTAATTTTAAAGTATTAATACTTCATAAAATACTAATTTTAAAATATCAATTTTTTATAAAGTATAAATTTCTCATAAAGTACTTTAATAAGTAATATGTAAATAAAAAACTAATATAAAAAATTTTAATATTATAATTTATTTAATAATTAATTATATTATAAAGTAATTTTTTTAAATTTTTTATAATAATATTATTTAATCAATAATCTATTAAAATATAATCTGAATTTTTAATTAAATTATAAAAATATATTTATTTAAATTTCAATATATTATAGAAAAAAAGTTTTATTTTAAATTTATCATATATTTATATATAAAAATTTTTTTAAACTTAATTTATATATTAAAAAATATATTTTTTATCTTTCTTTTTATATAAGCTTAAAAAATAAATTTTTATATTAATTTTTAAATTTTAATATTATTTATTACTATTAATTTTACTATTTTATTTTTTAAAATATTAATATTTAAGATAAATAAATTTGAATATCTTTATATATTATTTTAATTTTTTAACTACTACTTAATTATTCAAAAAAATATAATTATTTTTAATAATAAATTTTTTTAAAATAAGTTTATAAACTATTATAAAAAATTTTTAAATTATAAATAATTTAGTATTAAAGATTTTATATATATTTTAAAATTTTAAAAAAATAACTTATACTCTAAATAAAATTTATAATATATTAAAAATAAATATATTCTCAAGTATTATATTTTACTTTTTACTTTATTTGAATATATTATTAAAAGCTTTTTTTATTAATATTTTATAGCTTTTAAATATATAAAATTATTCTCTTTTTTATAAAATTTATTAATAAAAATATTTAATAATAAATTTAATTTTTTTAAATATAAATCTTATTATAATTTATATTTTTATATTTAAGTTTGATAATTAATTTTTAATTATTACATATATTTTATAAAATTATTGTAATCAATCATTTAGTGAGATAGATTATCTACTGAGATAGATCTTCATTATTTAATATCTTTCTAATTAAATATCATCACAACTAAATAGTAAAGTTAGCTAATTATATTATAAATTATTCTCTGTACACTGAGAGCATGTATGAATAGTATGTTTTATAATATTACATTTATTACACTATGATGCTACTCACTTTTGTGATTGCTTATCAGACTACTCTATTACTTTTTTTTTCTTTGCAATGTTTTTTTGTACATAATCTATCTCTTCTTGAATAGTCAAGCTCTCTTTCTGACTTATGTATGTATGACATCTTTCTCACTTTCTCTTTTGCTTTACATTTATAGTCTTCAGCTCTTTGTTATCTTTTGTCAAAATAATAGCACTATGTATAGTCATTTGACATCTCTTGACTAGCTGTTCTAGAGCTTGATTGATTGAACTAAGTAGACTTTATGTACAGTGCTTGAGATATTTCTTAATCTTCTCACTCTGAAGCTTCAGTTGTCATATATTATAAAATATGACATTGGCCTAGAAGGTCTGAGAGCTATGTGAGATCTCTAAGAAGATTGATGTATGTATCTAAATATTGAGCTAAGAAAAAATCTGCTTTGAATTGTATAGAGCTAGTTCTGTAGCTCTAAATTCACTCTGAATATTTTTTTTGCTCAGAACTATTATATAAACTAAAAAATAGATAGTTAAAAACTTATTTTTATCAATATGATTGATATCAAGTTTTATTCTCTTCTCAACCTCTTTTCTATATGCTTGCTTTAATGAGAAAAAACAAGCAATTATCTAAAGACTGTAAGAGATGAGAGGAATAAGCTGAAATATAAAGAGAAATAATCAAGTTTTAAATGCAAAACTGATCAAACTCAGGATCATTATAACTGCCATGTTCATCAAGAATCAAGAGTCAATATTAATTGATTATATAGATTTAAGTATATTTATTGAACATTTCTTTAAGTCAGATTAAACCCAGCTTATCAGCTGTCTATTTATTTTCACTGATTTCAATCCTCCAGTTATATGGTAGCTCATTTTCAAATCAAGAAGTCTGATGTAACTTCTCCTTGAAAATGATTATTAAAAATAATGATCAGTCTGTTAAATTGACTCTCTCAATAATGATAACTCATTCTGTATTTTCAGACTGTACAAACTTCAGATGAAAAGTCTTCTCTGACTCAGTAATCATCTTGACTGTTTCAATAACTCTCATTTGAAACTCAGTCTCATCAAAGTTGTATATATTCTTCTGTACAATGCTATATTTCTAGATAGTAATTTTATACAAGCTTAAATCATTCTTGAATAATCTTAGAATCATCACATAGAGCTTATTGATGGTCATACAATTGAGAGAACTGGGTTTTTAACTCAGAATGGTTGTTAGGGAGCGAATGCGAGCTGCATAAGAAGAAAACTCTCTGCGTTGCTAACTGCTATATAACGAAAATACTAAGCTTGATGGGATGAAAGATGGTGCTAGGGCCTGCCCGGGTTATAACCACCCACATGGTCACGTGACGAGGATTAGGCCTAATCGTGCGCCAAGCTTAATCCGACGTCGAGTCTAACCGGGGCACCGGGCCTCGGTCGGGCGCTGAGCCTAACAATGGTGGTCAATGAATTGTTTAATCCAGCTTTCATCAACAGTTTTTGAGTTGGAAGAGTTGTCTCAATTGACAAGAAGAAGATTGACTGTTTCTTGTACAGTGCTCACTCAGAGAGGCTGACCATGTTCATTCATGGAGATTATTCACTGAACAAGAGATACTTCCTCAATAGAGGTCAGTTTTCAATTTCTTAACTGAGAGTTCTCTCACATCATATAGCTATAAAGTCAATAATAAAAAGTGAAATGAGAGATGTTGTACAATCTGGCAGCAGCTCTAGAACTAGAAATTTGATCTTTTTTAACTGCTTCAATAGCTAGAGTAAGTCTTCCTTCCTTGTATAAAGAATTATCATCTTTGGTTGCTGACATTTTGATATTTGATCAATTAAGTAGTTAAACGCGTTGTGTAGTGAAAACCTGTCTCAGTAGATGATCTGTCTCACTAGGTGATTGATTACATTAAAAGATAAGATTTTTCTCTAATTTTCAAAGTGTTTATTTCAATTTAAAAACTTATCTCTATTCAAATATATATATTAAATAGATATAATCATTTAATTGAGAGATTTATATTGATTTTCATAATTTTTAAAGCACCATGTTATATCAGAGTGAATAGCTGGTGATGAAATCGAGATCACTATTTCCATTGCTTGAATAAAGGGTATTTTAAATACGCTCACTCTGCATTCTTCTTAGAGCTTTGCTCCGAAGCTTTTGAAAACAACCCACATAGGTTTTTTGACGTTTGCACCGGATCCAACTGCAAAATCAGAAACAGAAACTGTAACAAGCAAAAACACCACAAACTAGGCATTGTGCGGTTTTTGGAGTAATTTCTTCTGTTTCTGCAAAGAAGTGTCCAGCACCCATCTTGTCCGGAATCGGACGATCGAATAACCTTTTATCACCCACGACCCGTCGTCCATCGATATCCTGCAGGTCCAGGTAGAAGAAGCGCGACGACTGGCAGCAGCGAAGAAGCTTCTGAACCTCTCTGGGCTCCTGGGAGAGGAGGCGCGAGTGATTCACGCTCTCGAGGGAGCAGACGGGGGGCCTGCTCCCCCTTGTGCTGGATTGAGGTGTGACGCCCATCGTGGAGTTTTTGGTCAGGCGAGGAGTGGATTGGAGAGATGAAGCCCGGTTGCAAATGGTTGTGAAGATGCGGGAAATTGTGCTGTGATGGGGCTTCGTGCGGGAGGCTCCAACCCCTATATATATGGGATCTCGCATTCAGTAAATACAAAAATAAACACAATGGACGCTCGTGTGTGCATGCGCATTCATGAAGAGGTTATGTCACTGCGCCGATATCAACGCAGATGTCCTTGAAAGGTTGTCAGAGCGTTAAATATGAAATGCCCTGCCCGAATATGGATGTGTATAGGATGGAATCTGTCGATAGTGCCTTTCTGTATATTCTCGGCATTCTGTTTATGTACAGGAACATCGAAACATAACAAATGTCTAACCGAAATCAGCGAACTCGCAAAAAGAAAAATATCCAATATGTGGCCAAATCAAATCTCCAGTTAATTAAAGCGTCGAAAACAAAGCTGTAAAATTCTTTCATAGGGAGATAGGTGGTAACGAGGTCGAGTCAAGTGAAAAGAAAAGGGAGACATGGAATATACAAACAAAAATATATCCAGTAAATAGAATAACATTATCTCCGCTCTTTTTCCATTTCCCGCTCTTTCTTCGGTTCCGCATTTGGATTAGGTTTCGGCTGTTGTTTCGGCTGCTGTTTTGGTTTGGGTGGCGGCTTACAGATCATTTCCTTTGCGTAGGCGTTGTACCGAGAGAGTAAATCCGTCGATGTGAGTTGGCTTGATGCATAAAGTTAAAATGCGCAGCGAGAGCGCGGCCCTCAACCAGGACATCTGTGTATATGATAGCATTAGTTTCTTGTTCCCGAATTCGTCAGAGGAAGATCCAAAAGAGAGCAAATCTTCTTGAAAGATGATTTGCTTCTCTCTTTTTTTTATTTTGAAGGACCAAAAAGGCAGCGAACTCACGTCTCTGCAGCTTCTTCGGCAATTCCAAAACAATCATATCTTCATCCCCTCTATCATCCGGCCAATGTTCCACATCGGTATCCAAAACATCATCTCCTAAAATGGCAAGGCAGTTAATCCGAATTCGTTGCCCCTGCATATTCCAAGGCGGTTGGAACTTGTACAGATGCATTGTGTTACGTTCTATATTCTCCAGCAGAGAATAATGCTGCTGCGCGGCAATTGCCCAACTTTCATACGTCGGGCCCCAAAAGTCATACGTCAGCTTCGCGACGGGGGTACGACAGAGGCTCTTGTCGTCTTCGAGGCGGAGCCAGCGATGCGTGTTGCCAGATGGTGGCTCTTTGTCCAACGACCATTCGAAGTCGGACTTGCCGGCCCAGAAGGGGTGGCTGGACGGGCGCCAGTTCTGCAAATCACTGCGGTTCTTGTGGGTGGCGTGTTCCTCCAGCTCCGGGAAGAATGGGTGCAGAGCGCCTAGGTGGAAATGGAGGAAACTGAGTGGGGGTCCGTTGATGACGTTGGCGGAGACGGCGAAGTTATCTGGGTTTGCTAGTTTGGTGGTGACCATGTGTGGGATGGCGTCGTCGGCGAGCCAGACCTGGTTTGATTATTGTAAGCGATGAGATGTGGAGAAATGAGTGAGAGTGAGACTGCGGGCCGCGTATACGGGGGCTGGGACTGAAAATGGGAATCATTCTTCGGAAAAGGGGAGGGGACGGAGGCGTACAATATCATCATCGATCTTCACGTAAACAGTACCCCTTTTCACCACCCTCCACAGTTTTGCATAGTCTGGCCACCCGACAGTTCTGTCCAGTGGGACTTTCTTGTAACGCGGGGACCGCTTAAGTATCTCGTCGAGATAGGCGAGATCCTCTTTGTTCTTTGTGTTGGCGAACCACAGCACTTCATCCAGCCAACCGCCATTCTCTACCAGATTTCTCTAGTCAAAGTTATCAGCGATATGAAAGAGTTGATGAAAAGTAGAGAAGGAGAAATCGATGGTATATCTCGTGGAGATAGCCGATGAAAAAGAACAACAAGAGGAAACCAAAACTAACCTCAACATAACAATGCATCGACTCGACCCGACTGCGTCGTCCGTAAAATACCATGCCTGTGATATTGACGTTTGTAGGTTTAACAAGGACCTCTCCATGTTGTGCATGTTGCGGTTGCTGCCGAAGCGGCCAAAAACCATTACCTTCAGGTTTCCGCCCGCCTGCAGAGGTGTATCTCGTCCATGGTCGGTGGTCCAGCGACTGCGATAACTTGACCAAGCCCAGTATAAAGGCGATGGAGATGAAAGCGAAAACTGCAGGCCTACTGCGTATTACCTGTAGTGAGACCATGTAGGTGAAGTTCCTTTTGCTGCCACCATGCGTTATGCAGCTTCTTGCTGAGTGGGAAGTGGAAGCAGCTACGTAAGAATAACCGCAGTGACAACAAAAAAGAAGAGAAGAAGAAGAAGAAGAAGAAGAAGAAGAAGAAGAAGAAGAAGAAGAAGAAAACGAAGGAAGAGAGCCTTCGATTTATCAGTGACCGATCGCCACTCGATTAAAAGTGTTGGTAGCAGTGTGTTGATTACACAAGGATGATGCCAGTGTTATCGATCTTGGTGGTTAGGAAGAGGAAGAATGAATGAAAAGAGAGCGTCAAGCTCACATGGAAGAAAACTTCCAAGTGAAAACAATAAAAATAAAAAATAAAATAAAATAAATAAAAATAAAAATAAAAAAAAATAAAATGAAAAAAAAAATAATAACGCCCATTTCCTATTTTCTGGTTTCATCGAGCTGGGGTCCCCCAGGGCTTCTTGACATGCCGCTGTCTGGTCTTGTCCCCGTTCAACAAGGCTAGTTGGATTTTTAGAGGCTGGCTGGCTGGCTGTGGCACCCCCAAGTAGCCTGTGTTTATTTCAGGGGGATAGAGTTCTTTCACTAAAGTGGGCCCCCATTTGTTAAGCAAAGTTTAACTCTCTCTATAACCAACGTCCGGCTGACGTTCCAGCTGTGGGGATGTGGACTACTTCCGTCGCGCAGAGAGTCGACGGCGGGTTGAAAGGACTAAAATCCAAAGGATCCTTAAACCTGGCAACATTCGGGTTAACTTGTCTCAGAATGTTTGTGTTCCACTTTGGGGAAACAAGTCAAAAGCTGCTTTCACCCATGGGCCTGACAACTTTTGAAACCCAAGGCCAAATACTACTACTGCTGCTGCTGCTGCTGCTGCTGCTGCTGCTCAGTGGGAATTTAGTTTGTTGTATAGCGATTTTGTGATTATGAGTTGAATGTTTAGCCTCTCCTGCCTGCAACCGGGCGCCGGTTGGGAAATCCTGATCCTCAGGGATCAATAAGCGAGCGGATCACCATAAAACAGCCAATTTCGGACTCCGCCAAACGAACTAGATTATCATCCATTCCCACTGCTCAGCAGCAAGCTAGTTGATGATTGGAATTAAAAAAAAAATTGCAGCTGGTTCAGGACACACCGTCTTCTGGCATGCCTGGGGGGTTGGTTGTGCCGCAATTTGCCTCATCTCTAAGGCTCCTCATGTACGTGGCCTATGCTCTCTGCTGGTGTGGGGGAGAGGAGGGGAGGGGAGGGGGGAGGGGGGTTTGAAGAGCAAAACACAACCGCAGGCGGATTAGCGGGTTCAGTCGCTTCTCCCTATATAGCTAGGGCCTCTGTCATGCTGAATTAGACGACGGCTAGATCTGGTATATCTCTAATTGTTCTTTCTCATTTACAGCGAAATGCATTCTGATACTGCTTCTTCTTAATAGCTGAGAGTGTGATTCTCTTATCTTCGCAGATTTCTAGTAGGTGGAATGACTGATGTGAAAGGAAAGAAAATTTATGTGTAAACAAGAATCATCTGAGCGTTAAGTTTTGGTATGAAAGGTTGATCAATCAGGCGCTAGCCTATCACATCGTCCTCTCTCGCCCATAGAGTGGATCATTCGCCAGCAAGCTGCAATAGTGATTGGTGATTCAGGCCCATCAAAGTGTGGCTGTGTTTTTCTTAGTGTTGGACCAGCGCCCGGCTCTCCCGGCGCCCGATTAGGCCTAACCCTCATCATGTGACCACGTGACCATGCAGGTCATTATTTAGGATGGTTAATCTCCTTGTTGTTGTGGTTGAAGCTAGCTAACTATATAGGGTTCATCACGTGTGGTGGAGTGGTCGCCCAGGCTGCTAGGGCCCAACAACCCAATTAGGGCCCAACAGCCCAACACCCCCACGCGCCAATGTGCGTGATGTTGTTCCTACTAATCTTCTATTTCTATGCTAGCTAGCTATTTTAACCTAGATCCTTCCAAAAACTTGCTACATGTTAAAAATTAATCATTACTATTATCAGTGAAAAGCCCTAGTAAATTAATAAAACGCCTAAATGCTACTATGCCCAGAGGTTTGGTTAATCCGTCTGCTGCCATATCCTAAGTGGGAATGTAGTTGATTGAGATAACACCTTCATTCAACTGCATGTGAGAATAATGGAAGTGAGTGTCAATATGCTTGCTACATGCTGTAATGGCAGCAATAGTAGCTAGATTAATTGAATCTTTGTTGTCTGCTCTGATAGGCAAAGAATTCTCTATTGTAATGAATTTCAGATCTATTATTATATTGTATAGTCACATTGCTTCATATACTACTTCACTGAATACTACATATTTTGCTTTATTTAAACTCAAAAAAACACAAGATTGTTTGAATAAGTGTCATGAAATTGATGCATCTGCTAGCTTGAATATGAAATATGAAGTAGATTTGTGATTATCATTCAGTGATTCTGCTCAATTCAAATCTGTATAATCTAATAGCAGATATGATGCATTGAAGAAATCATCAATTTTGTTCTTTTGACCTTCATATAAAACATCTAGATTGCTCATTTCTTTTAGATATTGTATGACGCGAAGAAGTGCCCTTCATGTCTTAGATATAGATGTAATGTTCTTCTGCGCTAGTAGAGATACTATTTGCATAATATTCAGATGTAATTTAACTGCTAGATATTGCAGACATCCTACTTCATGTTGATATTGTTGTTTGATAAACCCTCCTTCTCATTCTGATGCAGAGGCATCATTGATCTTCAATTCTTCTAGCATTGATGTTGAGACAGAGATAGCATTATTTAGATAGAAATCATGCACTAAGCAATTGATATAATATCTTAATGTTAATTTTATCCCATCATCAGAGCAACATTCAACTTCTATGCTCAAGTATTTAGAAAGTTCTTTCAAATTCTTTATTTCTAATTTATTTATCAGAGTATTGACTAGTCAATCAGCATCTGCTAAATCTTTTGCTATAATATAAGGTCATCCACATAAATTGTCATATAGAGGTGCTTGCAGGACATATGACATTATAGAGCAGAGTTATAGAGGCTAGATTTAAGACCATTCTCACAGAGCAATGCTGTAAGAAAATTATATCAGATTTTAGCTGTCAGATTTAGTTCATATAGAGAATTCTCAACAGTGTATATCATTATGTGTGAAGTTCTCATCTCAAATTCAGAGAATTATTGCATATAGATAGTCTTATTTAATTGATCATGTAGATAGATCATTACTATATCAATCTAATGTAAGATTCAATCTCACTTGACTGCAATCACAAACATCATATAGTTAGTAGTATCATTGACAACAGATGTATATATTTCTTCATGTGTGCTTTTCTTTAGTCAATTGTTGCATATTACTCATTGAGATTTTTTTAAAATATCATCAGAATCTGCATTTATATCTTTCAGACAATTTTTTTTGACATAAACCCGGCAGTCAGAGGCTATAGACTTATCATTAGAAATGTCAGAATGTGAAATCATTGTTCAGATATTTTTTCATTTCAAATCTGCAATCTTATATTTCATTAATCTTTTCCAGTATTCATCAATCCCCTCTGATCTATTAATGATGTTCTTATATTCTTTTGAAAGGGAACTGGTGAGAAAAGAAGAAATATATGTGCTGAATGCTTTTGCTGATCTTACCCATTCAGCATTAGCTATTTCAAAAGTGATAGTGTTTTTCATAAAATATGTTGCTGGACTTGCAGCTTCAGCTGTCACATTGATAATATCTTCTTTTAATATCATAGATGCTTTTGCAGGGAAAATAACATTACTGATGATAATTATTTTGTTATTAGTAGAACTTCATAGACAGTAGATTGAGTTACTGCAGAATTCAATGAGTTTGAAGCTCTCTGCCCTAGCAGATAGCTTATCAGTAGATCTTTGAGATTCATGAAGATGAGCATAAACATTAATGTCTAACTCTTTAAAATGATGAAGTTAGAGCAGGGTATTGATAAGTACTGAGATTGAAATTGTATAAGAGTATCTCATAAATGCTTCACCATTATTGCTGGTAGATCAATACTTTTCATTATAAAGAGTAGTAAATATTGATGTATTATTGATGATTGCAATTACTGTCTCAAGAACATTTGCCTAGAACTTCTTCAGTAAATTCATGCCTATAAGCACTGCCTTAGCACATGTCATTATTATGCGGATTCCTCTCTCAGAAACATCATCTTGATGAGAGGATTGAGATGTAGTTGATTTCTAAATTGTGCCATCTTTGACCATCATCTTAGTCATTTTTGCTGATTGAAAAACACCATCAATGTCTGTCCTAACTTGCGCTGATGGTGTAAAATCAAAATTCTTCATGAATTGAACTCAGTGAGCATAATAATCCACAGCTTGGTCCTTAGTGTGTAAAAAATATATTTATCTATGACAAATGACATCATCAGTGATGAGCATATAATATTTGATTTCTTATCATGATTTAATAAAGTAATCAGATATGTCATCCAGTGTACAACTACCGCCAGTGAGGTCAATATGAATATGTTGCATTGCTCATAATACCTGTGGTATAGAGGTTTGTGAGAATTTATGTATCATATCTGCTTTTACATAACTGTCATAAAAGAAGTCTGTTTTATACCCTTTGATACAAATGCCAGATGAAGGGTCTTTTGCTAGTGCAATGATTGCCTCAGTGTGAATATGCTCTAGATTGACATGCCATTTCATAAGAGTTTTGATCAAGGGGATATGATTATCAGATTTTCCCATCATTATCAATATGGTATCTCTATACTTATGAGATTTAGCCATAAAGTTGATGGCTTAAGACAAATGATGGACATCATCTTAGAATTCTCATTCTACTATCTTATATATTGAATTATAGGTGTACAAATAGCAGTAAAATTGACATCATTCAGAGCCTTTATTATAAAGTAGAAAGAGATAATGTTTGAGAGCTGATATCAAAAATCTTGATCTTCTAGCACTGCAAAGAACAGAAGATTGACAGTAAGATTGAGAATTCAGCAGATATCATTGATTAAGATATCCTCTTCTTCTGATTTTAGAAGAATGATATCTATCTCTTTGATCTATTCTTGATCTTCATCTGCAGTATTGATTCTTAAATTCTTCTTGAATGACTTTGCACACAATATTAAGTGCTTTTCATCTATTATATTGAAGCTTAAACAGATGTCAAGATACCAGAATTTAAAGAGAGTATTGAATAATGTAGATAAAATAATTACTGCATTGATATTTGATTGTAAGGCAAGAAGATCTGACATTTTACTGCCAGGAGATTTCTTATTATTCTTATTCTTTTTCTTATTCTTACTCTTGTTCTTCTTTTTATTCTTTTCTCTTTCTTTGACACCCTCAGAGTTATTGATGTCTTTCTTCTTTTGAAGTTTCTTCTATCATTCTAATGTCTTATTAGAGTTTAACTGAAAGCAATGAGCTTTTGAGTATCCTGAAATATTGTGAAAATTGCATCTAATAAATATGGTAGAGGTTTTATTGTTATTGTCTTTAGTGGCTGTGTTGGCCCTTGAAGCTCTAGTTTGCTCTGAATCTTTTGTCTTGCTTGTTCAATGAGCAAGTTGCTTCATCAGACTATTAATATTCAAATTGATGATAGATTTCTGATCTGTACTATAAAATATGTTAAGGTGTAATTTAACATAGGTTCTTTGATGATCGCGGAGGTAAATAATAAAAAAGTCATAGAGAAAGTCTTCATAAGAGTTCATGAAGAAAGTCTTCATAAGAGTTCTTTGCAAGTTTTAGAATGCGAGCAGAGAGATAGTAGAATTAGTATATATATAACAGATAATCACTGTTCTTGACATGTAGATATGTCAATTCTTTGAAAATGTTGATTCTCTCTTTCTCTAAAGACATTACATACTCTATGCCTATCTTCTCCCATAGAGCTGCTGCATTATTTGATTGAATGATCTCAAGTATTATTCAAACAGAGCTCACTAGAGACTGCAACATTCAACAGTAGAGAAGTTTTGAGCATGTTGTCTAATATTATTGATCAAGTGATGATAAGTCTTTAGAAGACTCATGTTGATTCTTGTTTAAAATATCTACATCATTAATCACTTCTGCATCTGATAAAATGCTAATCTTCCATGCTTGATGATTGATTCTATCAAATATGATGATGGACTTAGTATTCAATGAGACCTGCATCTTCTTCTGATAGTCACAGGCTAGTTGTTTTAAGTCTTTTATAAAGATGATATTTAGAATTGAGTGTACTAAGAGCAGTTGCTGACAGAGTGCTCTAAGATCTGCTGCTGACATGATTATCATATCATTGATGTTAGATATAGACATCAGCATAGAACTGGAAGTGTCATCATTAGACTCATCATGTTCTAGCATCTTGTCAGTATCACATGCTGAGCCAGAGGCCCCTATTGTATTTTTCTCTATCATTGCATATTCTGTTCTGTTTTCTTCCACTTTTGAACTGAACTCTTGTTCAATAATAGAGAGGAAGAATTGAGAGACTTTTAATTGTAATTGTAATGTCTTTTTATATTTTGATTGAAAGATTGATGATAATTAAGAACTATTCATGATTGATATAAAAAGATTCTTAAATAAAAATTGATCAAAAGATAAATGATTTTAATCTCTTTAAGATAGTAATTGCTTCTCTACAGTAGCTACAATAGTATTACTATTAAATATAACCAGCTGTGTATGCAAAGAGCTTTCTTTTCAAGAAGATAATCTTGAACTCATTCAATATCACATTGATTTCAGTGTATTCTAATTAAAACATCTTGTTTTTCTTAAAAATCTGTTATTCAGATCATAATCTGTAGAATGATTAATCTTCTTATTATTGAGATTGAAGCTAGCTAACTATATAAAGTTCATCACATGCAGTGAAATGATTATTTAGACTACTAGAGCTCAACAACTCAACTAAAGCTCAACAGCTCAACATATTATAATCTGAGCAGATCTCAGCAACCTCTTTTCATTTCATTAAGCTTAGCATTTCATTATATAGCAGTTAGTAACACAGAGAGTTTTCTTCTTATGCAGCTTATATTTACACTTTAACAGAAATTAATACTTTATAAAAAATTTATACTTTATAAAAAATCAGTACTTTAAATTAGTATTTTATGAAAAATGAATACTATAAAATTAATATTTTATGAAGTATCAATATTTTAGAATTAATACTTTATAAAAAATTAAATTATTATATTAGTTTATCTATATTTTTATTCTCTTTTAATATTAATTATAGTATTTTTTATACTTTTTTTTAATATTTATTTTATTTATATTGATTATATTTATATAGATATAGATAATGATATTTAATAAATAACTTTTTATCTTAAATTATTTATATTTTTTAAATTTAAAATCAAATTTATAATTAAAAAAGAAAACTATTACTAATTATTAATATCTATAAAATTAAATAAATATTATTTTATTATACTAATTTACTAAGTTTTTATTTAAATATATAATCAAATTATATTAAAAATTAATCTCTATAGAAGAATAATATCATAACTTAATATAGTATTAAAATAATTATAAAATAAAAATTTTACTTTATCTACTTAACTAGATAGTTATAATAAAAATACTAAAAATATAGAATAAAAAAATAATTAAAAATAAAATAATTTAAAATTAAAATAAATTAATTATTTAAAGTAGATTAATCTTTTAAAGTAAATTAATTTTATATTATATTATAAATAACTATATTATAAATAAAAAATTTTAAATTTAATAAATATTATTTATAAATAAAAAAAATAATCTTTTTAAATTAAAAAAAATATAAAATATAATAAACATAATAAATATATTATTTTCATATTTTAATTGAATTTATTATATAAGAAAAATAAATTTAAAGATTTATTATATAATTTAAAAAACTAAAAATTAAGTTTTTATATAAATATAACTATAAATATACTTTATATAAATATTTTAAAATTATATAAAAGTAGTTTTAATAAATATAAAATATTTATAACTTTAATAAAATTAACTATTATATAAAAATTATATCAACAATTAAAATTATAACTAAATCTAAAAATTAACTAGATTATATAAAAATATTTAATATAAATAAATTAAATCTTAGAAAAAAGCATGAAAAGTATAATAATTAATATTATAAAAAAGTAGAAGTTGTTAGATTTAGTATTAAGACTAGATTTATCTTCCTCATATGATCATGTCTTATATATGTTTAATGTCTGAAGTAGTTGTATTAATAGTCTATATAATTTTACTGCAATGAGTCAAAAAAACAGTGACATTATTATTATCAAGACTTCTCTTCACTCTGAAAAAAAAAGAGCTCATGCAATCTTCTCTACTTTGCTAAAACCTTCAGATATTTTCCTCTTATCTCAAAACAATATATCTCAGAATATGTCAAACATTACAATAGTCATCTCAGCTCAACTATATCAAATTAATATCAACTTCAATCCCCACTAAGCCCTCTCATTAGAAGGAGAATTCATTGAGAATATAACTGACTGCACTTAAGCAGTTTTATTAATCATGAAGAACTTCTCTTTTACAGCAAATTATAAGCTCAATGCTCTATTGAGTCATGTCAACAACTTCTTCTCTGCAAAGCTAGCTGCAGTGCTTGAGTTATGCAATAAGCTATCTGCAGTACTGAATCTGATACTCTGCATTTACAAGAACTCTCTATCACACTAGACTACTGTACTAAGACAAGTCATAAGACATAATATAATCAAAGTTATTAAAGACCTCATCACTGAATCAAAGTCTATGTTAATATATGCTACTGTCATAACAGCTAAGATGATCTTCTCAAATAATTTCTCTCAGACTGTTTTAGTGATAAAATAATTTCACAAGAAGTAGACACAGTGAATTAATCATCTTCTGCATCAAGAACAGAAAGACAAATGAGTCATGATTAGATTCTTATCTCAGGACTCAAGAGTTGTCATACCTCATAGTGGACCCCAGTAGTCAAAATAGTCAGAAGAGTATATCATACAGCATGTAGACATGGTCTTTGTTAATCAAAACAAATAATATTTCAGACAGAAATTAGAAAAGCTAAGAGAGCATGAAATCACCAGTAAATTGAGAAGACTTCCTTCTTATCAGATATCTACAAGATTATCAAATAATATAAATATCAATCTCAAAATTTTACTTCTTCTTTATAATATTCTGATAAACATCTAAAACGATTTTATACTGGCAAATCTTCTCTACCGCATGAGACATTTTTAATCATACATTTTGACACAGAAGATATCTCAGAGCATACATCAACAATCTCATGCAGAGAGATATTCTGAATACTTCTTACAGAGCAGAAAGTCTACAGAGTTATTTGTTAGATACTTAATACATATTCTGATCTGAACAGCATTATAGTCAAAGTTCTTCAAATGACATGATCAGTGATAGACAATTGAATTATTCTACTTTTTCAACATTATATAAATCAAGAAATTTACCTCTAAAGCTTCAAGAAGGCTGAGGTAGTGATTATTTCAAAGTTAGAGAAAAGAGATTACTTTATATCAAAGTCTTATTACTTAATTACACTACTATTCTGTCTCAGCAAAGAGCTAGAGTATCTGATAGCTAGATAAATATCTCATCTCATTTTTTATTATCACATTCTAGCAGAAGATTAGTATAGTACTATTTAATAGAAATTTGCAGTAGATCTCACCACTGCACTAGTTTGTGCTATATAAGAGGCATGAGACAAATATCTTCTGACTGACATGATCACTCTAAATGTCAAAAAGACCTTCAATGAAGTTCTTCAAGACCAACTTCTAAAATGTCTACAGAAACAAAGCTGGCCAGCAGTTCTGATAAAGTGAATAGTGTCTTTTCTCAATTAACAGCTAGCTTTAATTTAACTAAATAGCATTCAATCAAAGATATTTCAGATTCTCTGTGATTTTTATTCTCTGTCTCAATAATTCTCTTTCTACTCTATGTAGGACCTCTTTTCCAGCTTATCAAAGACCAGTTTGAATATACAGATGACATTGCAATTCTAATGACTGAAAGCTTTTTTAAATAAATAGAAAATTAGCTTCAGAATTCTCTCAATTACACTCTGAAATGAGATATTAACAATGAAATCTCATTTGACTTAGTCAAGGCAGAGCTTTAATACTTTCATAAAAAAATCAAGTACTTAGAGCTCTTTATCTTCTTTAATGAACAGACAATATTTCTTAATAACTACATCAGATAGCTAGAAGTTTTCTTTGACAGAAAGTTACTCTTCAGAGAACATATTCATCTTGCATGCACTTGAGTCAGAATTACTACAGAACATGTTAAATCACTAAATGAAGTCTCACTTGAAAGTTAAACATATTTGCTCAGATAAGTGACTTAAAGCTGTGCCTTCAGCACTCTGTTTTATAAAGTTGAGATCTGATTCTCAAAGTGAATCTCTTAGATAGTTATTGACAAGATTCAAATAGTTTTTAATAATGCTACTTTAGTCATTTTATCTGTCTTTGCCACAACATCTACCTCTGTTCTTCTACATGAATCAAGCTAAAGCTCAGTTGAAGCCTGGATAGAAAGAATATATGATTGACTAGCTGTTCATATAGCTGCAGTTGACTCATCATATTTTCTACATCAAAGATAATATATCTTATATTTTAAATAAATTAAATAAAATATTAAAATGACAGTTATCACATCTGACTCAGAGTTTTTATCTTCTTGAGACAATTCTAGCATATCAAATAGAGAGTAAAAGATACTAGAAATTGAGATTGTAAGATAAGCTGCAGAATCAACAGCTTTTCAAAACTGACTTTAGAAAGCTATATCTTCTTTTAATCTCATTATATACACTGATGACTTCAAAGATAGTCAAGAAGTTTCAAACAGAGACTACTGTTTATACTGAGGAATAAATCAATCTCTGAAGTTTGATAAGCTGCCTCTGAACTGCACTGCTGAGATCTTTGATGCTGAAGTACTTGCAGCAGTTATTAGTCTCAAGACAGCAATATAAAATCCCTTCTCTATGTTTGCACAGCATATTATAGTGACTCTAGACAATGAAGAAACTGCAATAAGACTTCACACAGATATATTCATATAAATATTTTTTCTCATTTTTACTAAGTTCAATGAACTCTATAGATTTTAAGCAAAACAAAGCTCAGATTCAGATAGTCTGAGATAGGTCTATATTCAATAATGCTCTGATAACACTGAGATTTCAGACAATGATGCTATAGATGCTGCAGTCAAGTCAATCTGTATAATGAAATGCACTTACTGCACTTTGATTCTGGTATAGATCAAATTCTATGCTAAAGAATACTTCAATGTCTCACTGCAACAATATTAAAGCTTCAATAGCATATTATGATACAAGAATCTCAATATCTCAATGTCAAAAGAACTCTCTTTTGAGCTCACTCTTCTCTGAAGAAATCTAGGCCACTTGCTAGTAGCTATAACAGATCACAGTGACTTTGCAGCCTATCATCACAGATGAACAAATGACAACATACTTTTCATCTGCTCTTGCAGCTAAGATAAGACCTCTGAGCACTTCTTCTTTAACTGAAAAGATCAGAACATTGAATAAATTAAAATCTCTGAAGCATGCTGAGAATTAAAAAAAGTAATTGACTGACTTCTCAGCATAGTAAGAGAAGTTATGATCTTCTCTATCTGATGCACTAATATCTGCTTCTTAATTGACATTCAACACTGCTATTAGAATCTATTCAACATCTAACTTCTTTCTTTCTCTCTCTCTTTTTTATATTTCTTATATATATTTTTCATCATCTCTACACATTACTCTAGAAGTTCTTAGCTTTCTCAATTCTGTAATCTTCAGCTATCACATCATTCAGAACCTTCAGAATAAGGGCTACTGTGTACATAGACTCTCAAGAGAGCTTCAGCTGACTATATATATCAGACAGCAGACTAGCTACTGCATTGACACATCTGATACTCTTAGAGAGATGCTGTGACTGCGATGATAGACTATTCTTAGTCAGTTGATCACATGCCTCCAGGCATTAAACAAATAATAATAATAATAATAATGTATTGATAGCCTATCTTAGAGATGCTATGTACTATTATGCAGTGTGGTAGTTCATAATAGAAAGTCTAGACTTCAATAAAGATTCAATAAACAATTCATTCTGATCATATAATTTGATTCATGTGATTGAATTATATCAATTCGCTAGATTATATGTTATTGGAGCTTAGACTTTCTATTATAGACTAGTGCACTGCACAATATATACTATTATGTGGTGCGCTAATTCATAATATAAAGTCTAGATTTCAATATCTTCTCTTGGACTAACTATCATACAGACTAGCTATCATATAGACTAGCTATTGTTCTTCTCAAATCAATCATATTCATCATCTATATCAATCTATCTTGTCTTTCACTTGCTGTATTCATTAAATTCTTTTCTTATTTCACTCACAATTTGACTGATCTTTCAAAAGTTTTTCAATATTTAAAGAAATTTTGTAAAAAATACTTGACTTGACTAACTTGCAAATAGATTTTCTGTATTTCTATCTTTGCTCTTATCTCTATTCTTAGTCTTATTTCTATCTCTATTTTTCAATATCTTAATATATTTCTTATTATGCTTTTGTCATTCAGTGCTTATGAGATTTGAGTTCTTGAACTAGCAATGTTTGATCATATGCTCTGTATTCTCACAGTAGTGGCATTGACATTCATCAAATCATTCAGTGGCGGCTTTCGCGGCAGATGAGTTGGAATGAGTTGTAGTGATAGTGACACAATTAGTCAACTGATTCATCAATTCATCAAGATTCAAATTCTGAATAAAGTTCTGCTTGATGACATAGAAATCATTCAGCTTCATTCTAACAAATTTCTGTTATCAGTCTCTCAGTTCTAGTATGAATAAATCATAATAGATACTCTCAACTCAATTTTCACCTAGAGATACAAGTTTTGCCTTTAGATCTTGAAAAGTTGCAAGATAAATATGAAAGTCATTGTTTTTGAGCTGTAAGTCTCTTAACTTCTTAGTGATTTGAAGATATTCTTCTGCATGAAATATAGCATAGCACTAAGCAAGATTTTTCTATATAGTTACTGCTAGATAGAAATTTTTATCCAGTGATTCTAGAAAATCATGTACAATTACATTCAAAGATTGAAAGATTCTTGTGTAAAGAAGTTCATTTTTCTTATTTTAAAGCTCAATTTTCAGAGAAATTATAGTAAAAGATGCTGTTTATTTTTTGTTGAGAATATCTTTTGTCTGAATCAAATAAACATCTGCAAGAATAAAGCTCTTTCATTTCAGATAGTTGACTTCAGTGAAGATGACTGCATGCTTTTCTTTCAATTTAATTTTTACATCTTTGTGAAATTCATCAACTTTATTTTTAATGAAATTCTTAGTAGTATTTGACAAGAAATCTGAGTTTTTCTCAAGTCTTTGTATGAGTCTTTCTATCTGTTTGTTCTGTTTTTTCATGTATTCCATCATCATTCATATTATATTCATATTGCTTTCATTTATATTTATTTCATCTTTTTGATCAGTTTCTTCTCTAGATCCAGAGGTATATGTATTGTATTCATGTTTGTCTCTATTCATGTTGTTTCTTGCAGGGGTATCCAATGGTTTTGCAGCTCATGTTCTTGAAGATATCTGTTTATCTTCTCTTGATTTGATCTTTTTTCTATGATCAAAGCTTTCAAAACAGTCACTTTTCATTAGATTCTTGCTGCAATTTAGTGATGCAGTCCCTGCAAGACATTTTATACCTCAGATTAAAGAAGAAGAAGAAATAGAGTGCAGAAGTAGTGCAGAAGGCTCTTCAAAAAGAAAAACAAGCTATCTGGGCCATAACCTGTTGAACGTCTGAAGTGGTTGTATTGGTAGCCTATCTTAGGGATGCTATATACTATTGTGTGGTGCGCTAGTCCATAATAGAAAGCCTAGGCTCCAACACTTTATAGGGGTTCATCACGTGCAGTGGAGTGGTCGCCCGCCCAACAGCCCAACATTGTTTACATTTAATCACGTGATCATGTGGAGTGGTTATAATCAAGGCAGACCCTTTCTCTCACCAATCTTAGTATTCTATTATAGCAATTAGCAACACAGAGACATTCTTTCTCATGCAGCTCACATTCACTCTCTAACACTTAGCATCATAATATTCTATTTTCATCACTATTTATTTATTTAAATTTTGAGAATATCTAAAATATTATTTTATATTATTATTAATTAACTTAAAACAAAGTTATTTTCAAACTAAAAATTATATATAATAAGTTATAATTATATATTATACTATGTTTAAAAAATAATAATTATATTTTTATAACTAATGATGATAATAATTATTTTTAATTATTTAACTTAATTATAATTATTAAATATCAAAATATAAAGTATAAAATTAAATTTATTGAATATATAAAATATAAAAATTTATAATTTTATAATTTTTTAATTTACTATTATAATTATATATTAAAATAATATTTTTCTAAAAAAACTTTTAATATCATTTATTATTTTAAAGTTTAAATTTATAATAAAGTTTATTAATAATTGATTATTTTTCTTTAAATATTAAATATTTTCTGAAAATATATTATTGGTATGATAATTGATATTTTTAAATTGATATTTTTTTAATAAACTTTTCACTAATTTATATAATTAAAAAAGTTTTATATATATAGTTATATTGTATTTTGAATTCTTTGTAGAAATAGAGATATAGTCTTTTATATTAATATTATTTATCTATGACACTTTGAAAGTATTCTAAAATAAGAGAAGTCTGCTGATAAGTGATTGCCAAATATTAATATTGAATAAATCAGAAGACATAACCTTATTAGTTTTATTTTTGTCTTAATAACAAGTAACAAGCTCATTAGTTATTTAAGCTGAGTAGGTTAATTTAGAGTTGACTAGTTCTAGTTTTAGCTCTTCATTTTAATTGAAGAAGATGTTTTCGGAAGAGATAAAATAGTAGTTAATTATACAAAAGTATTTATAACTCATTAAACACTAAGAGTATATATACCCTAACCCCGAAACGCTGTGTGTCTCCTTGTAAGGCAAGAAGAATGTCATTGATTGTGGATCAGATTAGAACAGAGAGCTTGGAACGGAGCTTGGAGCCTGAGTGGACCCTTGGGAACTAAGTCGTTCGCTCCCGTCATCTATTTAACTACCACGTCTCGGCGAATCTGGGGGCAATAAACCCGGATAAAGATCCCCTCTCCACCTGTTCTGTTCCCTGAACAACAGCAACAAACACAGAAGCTAAAACTATCTAACTTACCAACCTACTATCCTGTTTTCAAATCCATAATCGCCTGTCTCTTCAAATAATGCACTCTACATCTTCTGGTTGTTAGAAGTTGCAACCACCAAGCTTAGGCTCCACACCGCCGTCATCGCATACGCCCGCCATGTACGTAATACCACTTACCGTCACCACTCACACTCCCTTGCTGAAGCTGAAGGCGGAATTCTAACATATCACCAGTGAATTGCACCACCAGCCCGATATCCATCTCACATTCCTCCATCCATCACCACCGACTGCCATCTACAAACAATCCATCCATTATCTTTCCACCAAGCCCTCAAAACATAACAATACAATGACAACCCCCTCCATAAACCCAGACGACACCCTAGGTGAAATCCTCTCAGCCCTCACAAAGATCCAACTCGACAACTCCCAACTCGCCAACTCAGTCGAGAACATCAAGGGGCGCGTTGCTCTGCTGGCATCCTCATCTCACCGCAACAACTTCGCCGTTGCGGATGATGATACAGATGCGGATGTTGATGCAATAACAGCGAAAGTCGATGGTGGCCAAGCAATATCTAGTAGCGCCTCCGTTGCTATTGGGAATGCAGTGGAGGTGGAACAGGGGTCTACTACAGTTCCAACCAGCACATATGTCAGCCCGTTGATGAGTCCAGATGCTGGTACCGGTACCAGTACCCCTCGCAAATCGACAGCATCGTCCCGTATCATCCTGACAACATACCCCGGGCAATCCGGTATAAACCCCATCGCCATGGACTGGGGGAACCCGGACCCCATCAAGCGGGGCCCTGTCGTAGTGAGCAGGCATCCCAGCACTGTCAAGAGGAGAAACGGTTAGTCCAATCCTCTCTGAAAGCAGTTTTGATTTCTTTATAACACTGTCTGCACAAGTGAACACCAGAATACTAGATATACATGAACTAACCCCCGTGTGTTCAAAACCCACAGCAATCGGTGCCCACGGCGGCTGGTATAGGATTTACTACG